CCCCCCCCCATGTCTGCTCATTCTTTTCTGACCGGAAGTGCCGATCCACATACGGTATCCTCATTGGCTCAAAGCAGGAGCCATCCGATCGACCGATACATTCCGCCGTAATAAATGGCCCTCGTAACACAAACGCTATCGCTAATATTTCTCTTGTTCTCCTCTTTGCTTATGCTCTCGGCTGTCAAACAATTCCGAGTTATAAAGTGGTCCCTCTCCTATCTAACGGGTGGCCCCGCAAACTCATCCTTGGACTAGGCGCTGGAAGCATCCGACCATTTCCGCCATTACCGTTGTAATCAAGAAATTAAATTATTGATGAAAATTTCATTTGATTTTCGATCATTCGATTAATTCGATTTTTACAATCCAAATGGTCGAACCATTACTTAAATACTGACAACCACAGTATATTTTGTAAAAGTTTAGGCGACAAGTAATTTAATGGTTTTTTGATATTCCAAATTTATATAAACTCGATCCTTGGCGAAAATGCAAATGTTTACTCGTATATGGGTGACAGCAGTCAATGTGTTAAAGGATTACAACCTGAAATTGATGCGAAGTAAAAAATATTAGGAGGATAGTCCAAATTTGTTATATGCCTTGTAGGTTACGTTCAATAATTTATCAGGCATATTTCCTTAACAGTTTGTATTCAAGGGAAGCGTAAACTTACTTTTTGATTATTCCACCAGGTTCGATCCACGTCAGTGGATTGACGATTGATCGTTTATTGGTTACGAATCATTCTGGATCTGTCGTCAAGATCAATTCGTAAGGATCGATCGATGATGGATCAACGTCTCGTTATTTAGACATCGGGAATATGTTCGATTCGTATTAAATTTTTAGGAAGACTCAGCAGAAGGGAAAAGTCTGAAAAATTTTGTTTCACGATTACGAAAAATCATTTGACAAGAATATTCGTCCCCGTAGCTACGTTTAGGTACTTAGTAAGATATGAGATGGTCACAATTTGATTCACACAGTGAAAGGAGCATTCTACCCAATCCCGTTGGGCATTTATTTACCCAGTGGCCGCAGGATTTTTTGATTGAGTCGTTTCTGGGAAATCGGTGTCTCAAGAGCGATGCACAACTTTCTCCGTGGCGTACAAATAGACACCCCAAGCCCCATCGCCTATCATTAGGACGTTTATTTTCTCGAATTCGTCTGTTCCGCGCCGTGTAAACATCGGTATAGGCTCGTACGGTGGGTAACGTGCGTTTACCAGTTACCTTATAACGGGTGATACAGATCAAACGGAGGTGAATCCTTATATACGGAATGCGAGCGAATTAAAAAAAAAAGAAGCGTGATATCCTTACAGGGTGATAAAAGTAACGCCGGGCCGTGAAATAGTCGATATACATAGGATTCATCGCTAAGAATATCCAATGTAGGGTAGATATTTTTTGTTGGTACCGAAAACAAAAAATACGAGAAAAAAGGAACGCCACTTCAAACGAGCTTCAAAGCTGTCGCGGAGGGCGAAGAAGTGGGAGAAGTGGAAGCGAGGTAGGGTGTCTCGAATTCTCAATGGTAACATCCCTTAATTGACATTTTGTATCGCGCAGTATTTCCGGATAGCGCCAATGCCTTAGTATCCCACCCCTCTCCCCCTCCAACCCCCAACTACTAATCAGGGGGGATGCTGCGCGGAGTTGCGTTAGTGGCGGGGAGCGCAGAGGAAGAACGTCATGAACTGCACAGGAATATGAAAAGCATTCGTGAAGGGTGAGAGAGTAGAGAATGAGAGTAAAAAGGGAGAATGTGAAAGGGAGAAGAAAGGAAAAAAAAAGATGCTGCAAGTAAAAAAGAAGACATTCCAGGGAATCTCTGAGTTTCGTTGCGAGGCCACACACGCACGTAGGACGAAGTTTCCTCCTCTTCTCGCGCGTTACTTATACTCTTTTGCTTATGCGTTTACGTAGACAGGCCGAAGAGGACACGAAGACGAGATGGTACGGGGAGGATTGGGGTGTCGGGTTGCTGTTGGGTCGGGTCGGGGGTTAGTTTTTACACTAATTAGTCACCGGGCCTCTTCTGGCTGTCAAACATTGTGACCGCCCCCCGTCGTGCCTCTTCCTTCTAAAATCTGGCCTCACGTGCGTTTCCATATTCTTCTACTGCCTCTTCCAATTCCTCATATATTCATCCCACCCTGAGTAGTTCTTATAGATATCGCCCATACGAGACAAAAATTTAACGGGTGATACCATCCTTGACACCCGTTACATGTAACGTAAGAATTTGTGCTCGTGTACCTGCATCAAGTAACGTAATAAAATTTTGAAAAATTTATTTACAGATAATACTAAACTCCATGCACAGATATCAACCCAGATGTCACGTGGTAGTAGCACCTTCGCCACCTGGATCAGCGCCCGATCCACGTACAGAGAACTTCAAGACGTTTACCTTCTCCGAGACGAGGTTCACGGCTGTTACAGCTTATCAAAATCATCGGATCACACAACTCAAGATAGCCAGCAACCCGTTCGCTAAAGGATTCAGGGACTGCGAGCCGGACGAATGCGAGGCTCCGACTTCCGGTTCTCAAACGGTACAGAATCCTGCTAAGAGGCCTGCCACCGGTAGCAACGTGCTGCCTACTTATGGGACTGTACCCGCCGTGCCAATAGCGTCGAGCATATCTACCATTCCTAATCCGGAGCATCAATTTTATGGAGCCAGTGCCAGTCATTGGGGTTATCCGACGCATCAAACGCACATTAACTCAACGCATTATCCTGTGCATCCTCATCACGCGCATCCTGGTGCGCATGCGTCGCCACTTTACGGGCCGCGGTAGCCCACCGACATGTTTCATGGTAATTTCATTTATCTTTCGGTGTATGTCCGATCGAATCGTGACTGTACGAATCGCTTTCGGTTGAATTGAATAGTGGCCAAAGTTACTTAAAGGTTTCTTGTACTTTCTTTGTTTAACTAAAAAAAAAAGAAGTGGACACACTCGTACTATCCAAAAGTTCCCAATAGAGGATACAAAAGCCAAAGATTAAAAACTCCAATGATAGGTATAACTTTTGTTGTCGTTAGAATACCAAGAAAAATTATGCCAAAGTTAATTAACCGCCGAGTTACTTAAATAAGCTGTTGCCTTATAGTCGTTTTATGGGAGTGATTGAAGTTGAGAAAAGTGGAGGACGAATAAATTCGTCTGGACCCGCTATAAAAGTTTAAGTCTCTTAATTTATTGATATACTTTTAAGTGTACTTAAGGACAGCAAAGAAGATATTATATGGACTTGGACAATTGTCACTGGATGGAAGTTATATACCTGGTGCCTTATTAAGTGCCGTTCACATGTTAGTATCCATGGGATTGCTAATAGCCAAGTATTGAAAATGCAACGACGATGACGAGGGGGTGTAGAAAGTATATTTTTTAGATAAGTCGCCAATGATAGCGAGCACCGTTAAATTCCCGAAGAAAGCTCGCGCGAGGGTCTCGGAGGCACACTTCGAGAAACAAAGTGCCTTTTGTAGGAGCAAAGTGTCTATTTATATAGGGTGTCTCAAATGCCAAACGAGCACGATGCCGCTCGAGCCAAGACGGGAATGTAAACGTGGCGTGACACCCCCCGAGAGGACGCTAAGTGCCTTAATAAATTATACTCAAGTATTGCGCTATCATACTTTAGTTTTACAGTCTAGATCGTTAAGCACAAGTATTAACTTTGTATAACGAGAGAGATTGCGGATATATTGTACTGTATTATATACATATATGTCAGAACCAGTCAAATATAGAGACTATTATTATTAAATCGCAAGCGCCATCTTGTTCTGACCCCTTATCGATACAAAATTAATTAATCAACGTAATGATATTTTTATGTTCACATAAGAGAACACGTGACCGCCATCTCATATTTCCATCATGAACTAACTGTAACTAATTGTCCAGTGAGACTTATTGTCGACTTCCTCTAGAAGATCGATGGTTCCTGAATCGATTTGACGATTATTGTCACAAGGACACGTGACACCATGTCAAAATGGACAAACTCGACTGTTGCAACGGTCCGGAACGAAACAGACAGTCTACGTATTCCTATGGGGACTTACTTGCTAGGTTAGAGGGACTCCACGGACGAATGGATGGACAGACAGGCTGTGATTGATGCGTGCGTGAAGAACGACGCTGTGTAAACATATTAGCATCCCGACGCGCGGCGTCTTGGCCCTGTGACGACGCTCAGCGTCCTTAATGACTCTTAGGAGATACATGGCTACTTACTACCTTTAACTTTTTCGTCAGCCGACTTATCGGCCAAAGCAAATGAAAAGGTGTCAAAGCTTTGAGGTTATGGCTCTCGTACTTTTCTTTTAGGCGGACTCCAAAGATACTTAGTAGATGCCCGCGTACCGATTATCTGAGGATTTTCATTCATCAATAGATAAGACGACTGTAGTCCACGCAATAGCTATTCGCTTGCTCTAACGGAAAGTTTTGGAAGCTATCACGATTTAACTATTACGATTGGTTGATGCCGTTTATTGTGATTCAAAATGGCAGACACATATTTACCTGGCGTGAACCTATTTAAAACTTTTGAGTTCATTCTACGTTGTACACAAGTAAAACTTGCCAAGTTGGCAGACTGAGTTACTTTTGAGTTTGTGGAAAGATATTGATGGCAATGAGTTTGTCATTGGGAAATGAATATCTAATTTTATCGTAAAATCATGAGAGACTATATACTATAAGCTACATATCGCATCAATCTTGGCACTTTGATTTGTATGAAAACTCAGTAGCTTCTTGCCGGTATCCCATTGGCACGTTTTGTACTTTTAAATATAGGTAGGCGTCGTCTTACAGAGAGGCTACAGAGACGCCGAGAGTCCCGGCGGCGCGTGACGGCGCCGGTAGTAAAATTTTTAGTCTATCACATATTCTTTCATCTTCAGTAGTTGTCGATCTTAACTTGGTGTCAGTCATACAAACATCAGTAAATGTCGCTATTAGTCATAAAATGTATCGATAAAAAAGAGATTTTAAAATCATTTTTACTCATTCAAAATATAGTCAATTAAGTCATTCCGTATATATCGCGTACCAATTAATTTCGTTTTAGAGATTAAAAAAATGCCTTAACGGGTCATAAACTTCATCCGGAAGACAAAAACTGGCACAAGATGCGTATATTGCTTGAAGAGCATTTTGGGTACTGTAAAACTATAAGTAACCAAATCTTAGAAGGTGTCTTGACCCCAGTAGTACGTACCGCGTATATCGTCATGTTCGTTGCCAAAGAAGATTCAAGTGCGGCTCGTAAAACGCGAGACATAAAAGGTTTCTCGGGGTCATGTAACGTGCTGTGGTTTCGCCATGGGGCCACCCTTGCCGATTTACATGGGGGTTGAGTAGGGCATGAGGTTTAAGTCCAAAGACTGAGGAGTCTGGAATTCTTCACAGTAGGTCGTTAAGGTTATGGGCCACCCATCTAGATGAGTGACCCTAGCACTATATTATTAAACCACTTGGACACTAGTGACACTCTCGAGTATAAGACTTCACGAACCGTTCGATTTCTCGCATACCGTATGACGCCGAAGTTAACCTAAAACAGATAAAGATTTTCAAGAAGAAACGTCCTGACTCGAGACACTCTAATTTTGACAGTAGAACTTGGTGTCCTTCCTCGGTAAAAGGATCTGTATCAAACAGTACAGGATATTGTGGTGAAAAAAGTGGTACAAGAAAAGTAGAGAAAAGTGAAGTCGATAAATCTCTTTAATTTTCCGGCGCGGTGCTTGTTGGTCGCGGATCAAAGGCCGACAAATGAATCGCTCGAATAAAAATGCATCCTCGACCTGGCTCCGTAACGTACCCGCAGTCATCCTGGAGTCCCCAGTAGCTCCCACGGCACATGAATCCGTCATCGCGAGCTACTACGGGAATACGTGAATACGTGGGTAACTGCTGGTGGCTTTTATAGTTTCCACGCCATCTGAGTAAACCTCCGAGAACACTCCTTACGTGTATACGCTTACATCCGTGCACACGTGCATACGTGAGCTCCTCTATTCAACGGTCACTGACGGCTAAATGTTGGATATTAGTCTTTCTCAGGGTTCAGAATTTTTATAAGGGTAAGCAACTCACCAGGCACCAGGGCAACACCGTGGATACGTTTGAACTGCCAACTGAATTTGAGAGGTTATGTACTCTATGTTCGCCATTTTTCTCTGTTTATCTAACCAAAAAGCAGGGTCTGACTCCTCGATAGGGATAACGGAGTTGCTATTTAACGTCGTCCGGACTTTTAGCTCGCGAAGGAGGCGTCAGCAGAAGTTCATATCCTGCTAGCCGGGGCGAGAGAACGGACCGACGCGCTTGAATATGGCTGCAATGACAGATTTACAGATTCCAGCCACCGCTTCTTCTTCAGTATTCTTAAAGCGTATACCCGGCGCAAGATGCGTCTCTCCGGATGGCTTGAGTGCACGTCAAATCGCACCTCGGATGTTTACGCTTATACGCTCGGGGCCCTCGGTCGCGGCTTTTGCCGCGGGCTTTATTTAAACTTTAAGATCACGAGGAAATGCCCCGGGGAGCTGCCGTGGGCACAACTACCTCGGCAAGACTGATTTGAGCTCTGCTAAGGGAATCTGATGATAAGGACTGAAATTCACAAGGTAGGCAATTCACTCTGCCATATTATGAAAACACGACCTAACCCGTGTTACTTATTCATTTTTCACTTTTGAACAAAATTTTGAAATTTTGTCTTAACCCCCTGTATTATCTAATAGTTAAGGGCTGGTTTTGAGCTGCTATAAGGATCTGTCAAAGGGTATGGCAAGATGGCAGGAAGGAAGTAAAGATGGAAGGAAGGTATCTGTCGACACTTGTGAACGGGCTAAGCAAGCTTGCCTCGCGAAGACAGATGCTGACCGGGATAGTATCAGGTCCCAGAGAGGTTTACCTTAAGTCAGTGTAAATAAGGAGAATCATCGCTATAATTTACGTGTTACGATGGTTGACAGTGCCACTAGAGGAGGACCTGGGGTACTTAGATTTATTATACAGCCTCTGGCAATATCCTTTTGATGGTACCGCGAGTTACGCTTTATTTTCCTTTTCACTTTTATTAGCATGATTCTCGCGATTAACTACGTCAGGACATGCCAGCGGCGAACGTTGCCGTTAATTTAGCTTTGCTCAGCAGAATCGAACGCCAGGTACAGAGTATGTTGCCATTAAATGACAGTGACCTATTACTTGGAAGAGACAGTCTTGTCATTATAAGATAGATAATTTATGTGATTATTCTCTTACTATTTTCCTGATGGAACTTCTTTTTATCATCCCGTTCGGCACTTTCTAGCCGATCTTTGCCGAGACCCAGAGCGTCGACAGGCCCTGTAGAATCCCACGGATCGCGCATCGTCCAATTAGTCGTCGTCGTGCGGGAAATTTTCGAATAATGGCGAGCAAGTGGGAAGCAAATGGGACTAGGCACACTATACGTGTATACGTGCGCCAGGAAGGTTTAGCCGTTGTAGTCGGCACGCATATCCTATCTCGCCGCTGGAATCCTCATATGTCTGTCAGCGCGCTTCCCCAACACCTCAGGGCTCAGATCACTACGGTTTCAGTCAGAGAGGCGTAAGAGTGTGTTACCATCCCACACCACTGTCCCAGCTGGACGAAAATATCACCTCCTGGTAGTGGCCAGCAGCGTCAGATTCGTCTGCTTGTATCTATCAAGTTTAATGTACATTATGCATCATATTTATCATTGATATTATTCAATGGGACAAAACTCCATGATCCTACTAACTAATCACATTTTATTCTGTATGTATTCACGTTCCGGTCAATTTATATATTTGAATTTCCCGCCTCGTATAGTGTCGACACGCTCTCATCTAGAGCGCCATGTTTTTATCAAACGGTGCGAATATCGATGGCACCTGGAGCGCAGCGACGTTTGTTTTACAAGCCGATGATTTTTAAATGGTCGCGAATCCCTCGACGCCACGGGACGTTAATGACTGTCTACCGTGAGTAACGACCTGGGCTCTTTGTACTTATTGCGATTGGGGACGAGTCAACGGAAGACGCATTGACTATCTTTTGGCACTGGACCCTACAGAACTGTTATAGTACGGGGTTGCACAGTATACCAAGTGACTCGACGTCGCATCGATGTGTATATTTCGTTTTTCTTTTTATTTTGAAATTTGTACAAGATAAATTGGGATGGTGTAGATTTTTCTTGCTCTTTCTCTTATTTCTGTCCTTCTTACATCGCTCGAAAGAACGCTCGTATTTCGATGATTACTGAATACTTTCTTTGCCTGCTTCAAGTATAACACTCGATCTTCGCCCTCGGCACGTCTTGGCGTTTCGCTTAACGATTGACTGACGTTATCAAAATAAATTCGTTACTTCCATGCTGCCGCTCTCTTTACTACTTGCGCTATCTTGCTCTCTGTGAGGGATATTCATGACGTGGATCGTGGAATTTTGGGAATGCTTAGGATTATATAAACAACGTATTTTCTTATAAGAAATTGATCATATAGTATATGATGAAAAGATCGCGTGTCATCGATGACTGTAGTAAATTGTTGAAGAAGCATATTTATGTTTGCTACTTTTTCTTTTACACTTTTTTTTAAATTCAGCGACGAGCCATCTTGTTTCTCACGTGCCGTATACTCCGAACGATAATATTCTAATAATAATTCTTAAGCTTGTTTATGAGAGGGTTGATTAAAATGTTTTAGGAGTACGGTGAATTGAACTTTTAATTTTGTCGATAAAGTAGAAACACGAGCAAAATCCTAAGATTCCGAATGGTAACGTTTATATAGCGACACCCACGGGTGTGGCTTGGTACTAGATAGAAAGCGCCAATGTAAGTAGAACATAACCTTTTTTATTTACAGTCAGTGTATACGTTTGAGCGTTTTTTTATTCGTCAAAATTGAAATTATTGATAATACAGTGAATATAACATTGTAGGTCTTATAGATATTTTTTCCAATTGTTTCTTACAAATAGTATCGTAAAAGGTTTTGTCAATGATACTTGTATAGCTGGAGGAATGTTTTACCTGATATTTTGGTTTTCATTTACTTGTCATTTTCTGGGAATAGCTGTGAAATATTAATTTTTTTTATTTATTTGTGTACTGTAATATTACATGAGTGACTATATGATGCTCATTTCATATGGAAAAAGTTAATTTTGTTGCATAGTGTATGCAGTGAATGTAAGGATGTGCTCTCCAATGGATACTCCAGGCTCACAGGCTCTTGAAGCTGCTAGAAATATGAAGGATTTGGCTGTATTCAAAAAACCTGTTGGTGTTGCTAAACGAAGTAAAATTTATCGTCCAAAAATCCTCGATGAAGATAGTTACATAGAGAAGATGGGAGAAATTATTCAGAGAGATTTTTTTCCTCACTTGGAAAAACTCAAAGCACAGAATGATTATTTGGATGCATTAGAACAGAATAATATTAAGCGAATGAGAGAGCTATATGAAAAATACAGTTCAGGTCGTCCTGTCACCGAAAGACCAGCTAGTCCAGCTACCTTTGAGACTCCACTTCATACTAATGAAGCGGATAGAAATGCACTTCTTCTAGAGACAACGCCAAAAGATCCACGAATGGATTCAACAAAACATAATACGAAAACGGAGCATAAAATTGGCTTAGATACTTACCTGAGTTCCCATACAAGTGAGGATAATGCCAGTTTTGAAGAAATGATGGTAGAAGCGGAGAAGAAGCACAAACTAAAGTATGCCTGGCTTTATGAGACAGAAGAAAAATCCAAATTACTTGCAATTGAGAGAAACACAGAAGCACCTTTGGCAATCCAAGCTGGCGATAACAAACCACTAGAGTTGGACAGTTGGTCTTATAGAAACAAAAATTATATAATGTATGTACCAGATGGGGTAGAGTTAACACCAGAGGAACAAGTTGAGATGGCCAAAAGAAAACAGGAGGTTTTGCATGAGAATACAAGGTTAAAAATAAATCCATTCAATGAACAACAGAACAAGGAAACCATAACCGAGCTGGCCAAAACCCAATCGAAAGTGAATGATGGCAAAATCGGTGTAGACGGTAAGGAGGTTATCAGGAATCCAACCCCACGAGTAAATGGATTCAGCTTTGTGGCTACTCCAAGCCCCAGACCTGGTGAATGTGAAAGTCCTCTAATGACCTGGGGTCAAATTGAGGGTACTCCGTTCAGATTGGATGGTGGCGACACACCTTTATTTAGAACCAGCCAGGGTCCTTCATTCAGAATGGCTGAACCACCTAAACGTGAACAGATTGCTCTCCAATTGGCAGAAAAGGCTGGTGAACGACACAGGGACAGAAAAAACAAAGCATTGGAAGCTGCCAGAAGATCTTTGGCAACGTAAGTTTTTGCGAGAACCATCCAAATTATTTATAAAAATTTATTAGCGGTTTAGATTATTAAAATATTTCTCTGTTACAGACCATCGCCCAGGTCGTTATCAACAATAGAACGCCTAAATACAATGTCACCTGCTGCACGACGCTTGGCCACGCAAAAATTAAAGATAGTAGGAACGCCAACTCCACGAAGGATGCTATCATCAAGAACACCTTCTGTACGAATTAGAACGCCCAACACCCCTAGAGCTCATACTCCTGTATCCGGTACCGGAAGCGTCACTTCTGAAAACAATCTTATCCACGATCCCGTTCTTACCGACAATTTGCTTAATTTACCACCGCAACGACAGAGAGCCGCGGATTTCTTTAATAAGTAAACAATAATACTAAATGCTTATTTTATTGTACATATTGAACATAATTCAGAGAAGGAGGAACATCTAATATCGCATTGTCACAATTTTATACTCAGGACGCAGATTCGCGTAGTTGCGTGCTATTGTGAAATAAAATCGTTATACTAGCCAACTGGCGTTCATATTTCTGTTTTTGTTTTTATTGTTGCCCTGATGCAGATTAACTGCTATAAAGTTTAGAGTTACCATTGTCTGCTTCAGACAGCCGGTAGCAATTAAGTTTAAGATTTCTCAATGCAATATGGCGTCGAAAATGTCACGTAAGTCGTACCCGTTCCCCAAGCAAAATCACAGAAAGATGTACACAATGACAGTGAGTATCACGCAAGCCATGAAAGCGGTCTTCCTGGCAATCTTGCTTCTGGTGGTACAGGTGAGTGCTGATATGTTTTTTAAATTACAATTCAATATTTCAAAACAACTAAGTAATTTTGTATGCAAATATATTGCTAACGATTAAGAGTAGTAGTTAATTGAGAATTTATTTTATTTCCACAGGACAGTCATTCAATTCGGTTGGGACTCATGAATGGAAATGTCAAATACAAGGGAGCGCAGGTTCGCGTTGGAGACGTTGTTACAAATCTAGCCCTGGTTGTCAATGTCTACACGCAGCCACAAGATACAATGCATAGCGAACCAAGTATATTACAAGGAAAACAGATGCCAAAATCTAAATGTAAATGTAAATTTAAATTTTCCTGAGATATGAAATGAATAAATAAATGTGTGAAGGAGAAAATACTGTGTATTTCTACTATCATCTTTCTTTGAGTCTTCCCTTCCCAAAAAGAAATTTAAGTTACATTCTTATTGATCTTGTTACTGAAAAATAATCAGTCCTAAAGCGGCAGGTAATAAAAAAATTTACAAAGTATGATCAGTATTTATCAAAAGGATAAGGAAAAATCACAAGAGATATTAAAAATGTAAAGAGTTTATATTTTACCAAAAAATAAAATTTTACCTACAGTCGTCACTGTAAACATACACACGATAAGTACTTATTATGTCTCAATAAATTTCCTACAGTTCTCACAGTATTAAGTTAATTCATAAACTTATTCAGTACGACCTTTCGGGTAGCAGTAAAAAAAGACAAGACAGAGGAAAGGCTAGAAGCCAAAATTCGAAAAAGTTCCTACACTCTACGGAAGTAGCTTGCAAATGACTTCCGTGAATATTGTTGTGTGGTATCGCATCCGGGTTGTCGCAGGTGCAGGAAGTTTGTGAGTCCATCAGAACAAAAATGGCAAAACAGCATAACACGTCTGATTGCAAAAACCGTAACAGTTTGTTGTTTTGAATTTACCAGTCGCTCGCGCGAGGTATAAGTAAGACCGCCGGATTAAGACAGGAGGACACAAACGTAATTTTAAGTCTCAATAGCCCGCTAATTGGACGGAAGTCATGAAGACTTCTCAGATCGTGTTCCTAGGCCTGGCCCTATTCCTAACAGTGTCCGCTGTCAGGAGTTACCAACGCGAGGGCTGTAGTTGTGGTGGTCTCGGTGCTGGTACCAACCCTTGTAGTTGCAGCGACTTCCTGGTGAGAGCAGCCAAACAACCAAAACCGGCGCATTATGCTTCGCCATTGATCATCAACGAAGCAGCAGCTGCCAGAGCAGCTGCAATGGGTCCAGCAGGATGTGACGGAGGAAGTCCTCAGGCTCGTGATCTCGAGGGTGGACTCAGTGTCCAAGATCTCTTGACATTGGGACCACACGCCAGAGTTGCACCAAAGTAAGAGTTTCAAAGTGATTGAAGATTTTCAAAAAAATTGTAGCTTATAACTTTTTTACCTTATAGCAATTACAAGTATGCTTATATATTATATCAATTTTTTAATTTTTTCAGACTGTCCCCGATTGGCGACCTTTGCTCAATTGCTTCACACAGGTCTGCCGTTTTGCCTGCGTACCCGGGAAAACCAAGTTGTAGGGCATGCCAGACAGCTGCCAGGAATAGTGAGGGAGCTTTGGAAATGGCTGAGTCTTCTGCCACCGCCAATGCAGGTGCATTCGGTGTCCAGAGATCCTTCAACGGTCTCAGCTCCAATTTGAACTCTTTCGATGAAGACGATGGTGCGTATTTTTAACTATTTTTCTTCAATTTCCTATTTTCTATTTTCCCGTGAAGGGAAATTAATTTAATAGATTTATTATTTGATTCTGCAGGTATGTCATTCGACGAGCAGGAGAGCATCTACAACGGCAATGCCGTACCAATCGCACCAGCTGATGCTGTATCCCTCTCTCTTGCCTACGGTCTCGCACGTAGAGTCGCTAAGATCATCCCCGAGGAGAAGCTCGCCTTCGGACCCCGAACTCTCCCAGCTGATGGACACATCAAGCAAACCATTCCTGACATCCCCGAAGAGAGATTATTCGCCGTCGACAAACCTATTGTTGAACTGAGGGCTGCTCCCAGAGTTTACGGCTCAGGTTCAGGACCTTGTTCCGCACTTGAAGAGGATCTTGCCGAACAGGAAGCCTTGGAACAGCAAAGATTGGAACTGGAAGCAGAGGCACAGGCACAAGAACAATCTGGAGCACCTAGCTTCATTTCTTACAGGTACCCTAAAGACTACTGCTTCTCTTTTTATTTATCTAATCAATTGAACATTTTTAAATACCCTCTTATCCAAATGATTCTTTTGCTCATCAGATCCATCAATAATTATTCTTTTTTCATTTTTAGCGATCTTGGATACGCTCCAGTTGGTCCCAGCAACAATAACTTTGTTTCGACCCAACCAACAAGCTACTCAGGTATTAGTGGAGTACCTGGATTCTCTGGGGATAGCAGTGCTCCATGTGGTCCTCTTGGATCACCACTGCCAGGCTACCGCAGTGGGGTTGTGATCTCTGACGACGATCAGTCCAATGATCAAAATGGGGCCTATGGTAATGGATCTTGTGGCGAGAATAGCCAAGAGCAGGATGGTAGCTACAGCGCTGAAGACGAGGACGATGAGGAACAAAGTGGTGGAATTTTGGCTAGGCTGCGATCCGCCGCTCGTAAAATTCATCATCATCAGCATGGAAGCTCCTGCGGATGTTCGCAGTGATTATGATCACTGATTGACAACCCGTTAATTCTTAGCAGTGTTGAATCATACTGATCAACTGCGCGTAGAACTAGTCTTCACCCCTGTACCATGCCTCCCACCCAGACAAATAAAAAATTTATTTCCGTAAAATTTACTGTGCTTTTTCATCCACCCTTAATCCGCTTTGAATACATGCAATTGCATAAACGCAGAAAAGAATTGCACAATAATTTTAAAAACAATAAATAAAACAAACAATGTGCTGTGGAAGCAATCAGAATTATGTTTATTTTTTCCACAACTTCCATACGCAAAAATTTTGTCCAAAAGAAATATCGTCGCGATGACATAATACGTAATTCTTATTTCGACTTCCGGTCAGGACCCATACGAAAAACAAACAGAACGACGAGGAAAACAAGAAATCTGGCACTTCAGGAAGGTCCCAAGTTATGAGCGAAGTCTGCAAATGCGTTGTGTGTTATCGGTCGCGTGCACACATGTGAAATGAGATATATGACTTGTATGCTGCTTCCGACTCCGAATGCGAGATGTCAACGGGTCGTAAAGACCCTCGGCAGTGAAAAGGGAGAAGTCAAAGTGCATTTGCTATGCACCATATGGTGCAACACGCTGATCGCACGCTCGACGGAGTCTAATGTTCTGTTGACAGGATTGCAACTAAAGTCAAAATACTTTTGGTTTCTATTTGGACTTCCAGGATCAATTATTTTCTGTAGAAAGAGAATAATCTATCTCGAGTTTCTTGCATTTGTAAAATCGAATTAAAAAAAATTAATCTTAGCATTGACGATTACTCATTTTTCTACTGTACCCCTTGATTGCACCAAGGAATAAAACATTTTCAATCTGGTGCGTTGATTGTCATTCTGACGGAAAAGGATATTGAAATAGTTTACACGTAAGCAACGTAACGACGACAAAGTACAGTGACATCTTCGGCACTGAGAAATGTCAACAATAAAATTCTTTAACCTCAAATTCTTGCCGGTATTAAATACAGGAAGAACTCGAAGAATTTTTATACAGTTTGTTTAATGCTCTTATAAACGGAAGCGACAAACATTTACCTGTCGCGAGCTTTCTTTATTAAAACAGGAAGTTTCTTGAGTTGTCTATATGTAGAGCAGAGAAAGGCCAGGGACAGGTTTTTCACGAAAAGTTCCCGCGAAATGTACGCGTTTCGGTCTTCGGTCTTATTAGCCTTGGCGGCGTCGCTTATATCCGGTTGCTTATGCGGCGACTGCGATAATGATAATAATTTTATAAGTCCAAAATCCGCTAACGTTATGCCACAAGTTGTAACATACGGGGAGCCATGTGCCTCTGGTATATCATTGCCGTATTCCGTTCAGGTATTTATCAGTGTAAAATTCAATTAAATTAAGTCAAGTAACCTGATCAAATTAAGTATTAAAATATTACGCTTTTTTCAGATTCCAAAGTTGCCTCCTTCTGAGGTATCGGAACGAGGTCGTATTTACGATTACTGCATTCAAGGGCCAGCTAGTTCAGGTCCAGTTAATCTGGGATTCGAAGCACCAATCAAGATTGAAACGCCTCAGATTTCCAGGAGTCTGTCTGATACTCTTAGAGGAAGGTCATATGGTGTAAATGTTGAAAAACCTCAGCCTAACCTGGGACCTGTCCGACATTCTTTCAATTTTGGTATTCAGAAATCGGTTCCCAGTCAGCGCCAATCCAAAGGGTACTTACAATAGTAATCATTATCAGTGTTAATAATGTCTATTCTAATTACTTCATTTTATTTTTTAGTTTTGACTACGGCATTGAGGTTCAACCAGGAATTGTACCCCAGGATTACAATTTTGCTCCTTTGCCATACGCCGTGCAAACTCCAGTTGAGCATCGTTCTGCACCTTCGTTCCTCACCGGATTGACATCAAAGGTCGACAGGATACTTTTACCAGCTAGTGAGGTTTACCCATGCCCACCCGATGATGATGCCCTATCTAGAAATAGTGGATCTTGTTTGCAATGGTATTGAGATCACTATTAACATCTGATGACACGTCCTACTAGTCAGTGTGTCATTTGAGAATCATTAAGTCAAAGATGCATGCACTTGTACTTATATTAATTTTAAAAACGTAGGTCATAGGCCATCATTTGTATTTGAACGAATCAATAAATCATTGCCACAGCGGTCTCTTTTTGAATCTATAATTCCTCCTTTTTTTAATTATTTCATCCTTAAGCTTACATTTGAATTAATCGTGGTTATTGTGCACGTGCTCGTTGTGCATGCTGCTTGCATTGACAGAATACATACATTTCCAAGGTTATACGTACGAGTTACCAGTGTGGCAAGGAATGATGGTGATTGTTTTGTCAACAATAATGTTAAGACAGTTATTGGTCGTTCTTGCGGAAAGCAAGACGTAGCAAAACGGACAGCGTGCTCGATAATTCCAAATCACGGGGAAAATGATTTCTAGAGTTTTCTCAGATTTTCGTTCGACAAGAAATTTTTGGAGATTTAACTTTTAGAAGGAAATCACAAAAAAAATAATATTTCTTTTTCTAGGCAACCTCACTTTTTCTTATGCAAATAGACTTTATTTTCCATATAAGCGAATAAATGAGGTATTGTTAATTTATTTGCCTGGTGCAATTTACACATTCTGTTCCAGCTGCCTCTAGTGCTCGTTTTGTTCCGAAGTTCCGTTTCGATCCGCTCTCCGATATTAATTTTGATCATAATCATTGTTTTGATCAATAGATTCAAAGATCTAAATCAAATATAAAGTTTTTTTGCAACAACAAACAATAACCGTCTTAATATTATTGTTAGTAATCATTGTTAACAAAACAATAATTATCGTTCCTCGCCTCACTGATTACCTGGGAAATATTTGTATCGATTTGTATCGATGCAATAAAGCAACATAGAGTCATCGAATGTATCATAATGAGTCACAATTCGAAAATCAGTAGCAATTATCACCCGAGTGACACGTTAAAAATCGAAGAAGCGCTTGAGTCGATAAATTCAAAATAGTACAATTTTTATTATATTCTACGTCTTAGTAAGTATCGAAAAATTAAAATCTCTTTGAAAAATACTTTTTAGAATTTTTCTTGAAAATGGATGACTCGCTTTAATAAATGCCTAAAATGTCTAATAAGTGGATTGCTAAAGTATGCTAAATGATTTTCATAACTGCATAGATCGTACGTATAGTGTTACCAGTTTTATAATCAGTTGATTTGCTGACTTGATAAATCAGTAAAAAAACAATTCGATATCATGATCTGTTATCATCAGTGTTTTTATTGCATCCTCACGATCAGCGTGCCAAATCGCAGAAGCAGCCGATCTGACAATAGTATAAGAATGCATAAGGATAACACATGAAATCAGTTGTTCCAATCCAAGATGAGACAGACATCGGGAACGTTCATTTGGTGTCTAGGAGTGATCCTTGGTGTCACGGTAGTCCAGGGCAACTTTCAATTTCGACCAGAATGGGAAGACGATATGTTGGAATATGACTCGGATGAATACACGGACGACTTAAACGCACCACTAAGACTTGGTAGACAAGCTCCAGGCAGTCTGCTAACATCCTCTCGAAGTTCATTGGACGATTTGCAATCAATGATTAATCGGTTCGCTCAATTCACTGAAGGTCAGAATGCTCGTCAGATTGGATTAGGGTACGATCAGTCTTATTCCCAAGGATTATCATCAGTCTCAGGATCTGGATTGGGTCAGTCTTATTCCCAAGGATTATCATCAGTCTCAGGATCTGGATTGGGTCAGTCTTATTCCCAAGGATTATCATCAGTCTCAGGATCTGGATTGGGTCAGTCTTATTCCCAAGGATTATCATCAGTCTCAGGATCTGGATTGGGTCAGTCTTATTCCCAAGGATTATCATCAGTCTCAGGATCTGGATTGGGTCAGTCTTATTCCCAAGGATTATCATCAGTCTCAGGATCTGGATTGGGTCAGTCTTATTCCCAAGGATTATCATCAGTCTCAGGATCTGGATTGGGTCAGTCTTATTCCCAAGGATTATCATCAGTCTCAGGATCTGGATTGGGTCAGTCTTATTCCCAAGGATTATCATCAGTCTCAGGATCTGGATTGGGTCAGTCTTATTCCCAAGGATTATCATCAGTCTCAGGATCTGGATTGGGTCAGTCTTATTCCCAAGGATTATCATCAGTCTCAGGATCTGGATTGGGTCAGTCTTATTCCCAAGGATTATCATCAGTCTCAGGATCTGGATTGGGTCAGTCTTATTCCCAAGGATTATCATCAGTCTCAGGATCTGGATTGGGTCAGTCTTATTCCCAAGGATTATCATCAGTCTCAGGATCTGGATTGGGTCAGTCTTATTCCCAAGGATTATCATCAGTCTCAGGATCTGGATTGGGTCAGTCTTATTCCCAAGGATTATCATCAGTCTCAGGATCTGGATTGGGTCAATCTTATTCCCAAGGATTATCATCAGTCTCAGGATCTGGATTGGATCAATCTTATTCCCAAGAATCTTCATCAGGTTCAGCATCAGTGTCTGGATTGGCAAATAGTCCATTGAGTTTCCTGGTACCGTTTTCGGGAGTGGGATCTGGAAACAGACCTACATCTGGAGATCAGAACTCACTTCTACCTAGCAATGGAAATCAACAGGCAAGTTCTGATCCAAGTTCTCTGAATAAATTGTTGAACACTCTTCAACAGAAAGTCGAACAAGTGAAAGTTAATATAAATAGCTTAAATGGACAGTTTAATCCGAGTGCAAAAAGTAATCCGAGTAATGTTGAGTCTCCTGAATCAGCCATAAGTGGATTAAAATTACTAAAAAAACTCCTGAGGCAGAGTCCACCTAGCAACAATCAAGGACAAAGCACACCCTCGACTCTAAAAAATTTGAGTGATCTTTCAAAAAGGAATCAGCTATTAAAACAAGCCGCTATTCTGCTCCGTAATTTATCAACAACCCCAGGCATTTCAAAATTCGATATTATCAAAATCATCCAAGAACATGCTAATGACATCAAGCAGTATCCATCAACTGAGAAGTCAGTTTTGAAATTGGAAATTCAAGTGTTGCTCAATCTAGTTAATAGACTCAAGCGTCTTGAAAATTCATCAACCCTGAAGAGTCCTGTTGAAAATATGCTAAATCCCCTTAATAATATTGTACAAAGTATCCGGAACAATGGAAACGGAAATAGCAAGTTCGGAAATTCCAAAGCAGTTACCGTACCCAATCAACCTAGTGGACCCAGTGGACCCAGTGTATCAAGCAATTCTAAAATTCGTAACATTCTATATATTTTGAATGTCATTCAAAATCTTGTGAATGATCTTCAGAAAGTTTCAAACAACAACACTCCAAGTTCTTCGAATATTTTCTTGTCTAATGGACCAAGCTCTACGGGCACTAGTAAGAAAATCTCTTCAACGTCCAATTCTCCTACGTCCTCACTAAGTACTCTTCAAGAGATCAGTGACGCAATCATAAAACTCGTGGAAAAAGTGACAGAAGATGTAGATGATTTATTGAAAAATATCATCGGGAGCAAGCAGCCATCTGATAATACAGGATCATTTAGCGGAAGTCAACCACTTCAATCTGATCAAGATGATCTAGAATCTACAATAAAGCAGATCCAGCAGGCAGCTAAGAACTTGAAACCTGCAGTGAACTTGAAGTTGATCTCAGAAAATAGTTATGAACCATCAACAAGTTCCAATTCTGAAAATGATAATTATGATGACAATGATGATGATGATGATGATAATGATGATGATGATGATGATGATAATGATGATAATGATGATAATGATGATAATGATGATGATGATGATGATGATGATGATGACGATGATGATGACAACGACGACGACGACGACGACGAAGATGATGGTTGGAGTAATAAGGGATTATTAAAAGACAGCATTACGCCCAATGAAAATGGGCCTGAAAATGTAGCAGCGGCTCTTGAAAAATTGCTGAATAGAGTGAACGCTATGGTTTCTAATCTATTAAAATCAGTAACTAAATCCGGTAATAGAAATCCCAAAACTCCGTTATCACCCATCAATGATAGTTCGAAGATCTTGAAGATTCGTAAACTTCTCAAATCTCTTTTGAATAATCCCTCAAGTACTCTGCCACTTTCCCAGGTTGTCACTGGTCTACGTGTACAAGATGTCATACAGGCTTTGAAGAGTCTAAATTCGCCTACTGGCAATTTAAAAAGCACTAGTAGTCCCAGTAATATTGCAAATTTGAATTCAAACCAGGGCACAATTACAATAGATGAAACGGAAACACCGATTGTAGATTATGAAGGAAATTATTATACTTTGCGACGAGGAAATTATGAGCTCGCGCCATCATCGGGTAAACCTATTTCCGGACGCTATCTTATCGATGATATATCGTCTGTCGCCTATTCTGACGGTTCTATACGCACAATTAAATCTGGTCATTTTACTCAAACTTCTAAAAGATTTGATAATTCAGCTCCCAATTCTATTAGTGATTTGAGTCAAAATTATGATGAAAGTACCAGTCCAAGTTCAAGTACACAAAGTGATAACGAAGGAGAAGCATATGTTTCTAACAATAATTTGAACAGACAGGATGAATCCGAAATGGAAAGATTGATAAAATTCGTTACATCTATGGATGCCACAAGTGAATCGTCTTCATCCACTGATCCAAATTCTTGGTCACCAGCTGATGGCGATAGTACTAGTTCCTCCAGTTTAAGTTCTTCAACAACCAGTACAAGTAGCGGCATTCCGGAATACTTAATACCTGATTTTATGCCGACACAGAAAATTTCAAAACTTATTGAAGAACTTTCTTCATTGCTTTCTTCTTTGAGTAATCCTAATTCTTCATCGGGACCTTCAAGCTCTTCAACTTTTAGCTCATCCACTAATTCTTATCCTATGAATAGTGGATTACCGAGTAGCACTGTAGCTGAACTTCAAAAATTATTAACAATTTTAAGTACCCTGCAATCATCAATAGCCAAATCATCCTCATCGAGTGCGAGTTTCTCATTCAATAACGAAAATTCCGGATCACCCCAATATACTAGCTCTGCTACTTCAGATGCTGAATCTCAATCATCCAGTACTGATCCCTCATCAGAATCACAAATTTCCTCCCCACTTATCCAACTGAACAATTCACCCTTGGGTTCATCCTCTGGAAAATTTCCAAGTTCGCCATTATATCCAGGACTAGACAAGTTACAGATAAACAGCGGCCATGACACACGGGTTATTATAACACCTGGTTGTTCAAAACTAACTGACATCCCATCTTCAGATTCTATATCTGATGGCACTTCTGCATCATCTGGAACATCCTCATCTGATTTATCTTCATCCACTTCAACTTCATCTAGTTCATCTTCATCGAGCTACCAAATCGCTGACCCTGCATCCGGAAATTCATTCCCAAGGGATGAAATTTCGACTTCGACTTCTGGTTCCTCTGCTAGTTCCAATAATCGTTATCAAGGATTCGACATAAACTCTGATACCGCGGATTACACATTGGTACCAGCATCTGTCGATGGGTCGTCAGGATTTGCTTCCGGACATCCGCCAAGAATTGCTTCGGGTCAGTATAGTAACTCTGGTAGTAGCTCTGGTTATGGTAGTGTAACATTACCAAGAACTAATGTCATTTCCGCTATTGGTGATGAAAATATGGTACCTGGTGATCAGGTACAGGTCATTACCAAAAACGGAGTTATACTTAATGGTTACGTTAATGATTCACATGGTCCCATCACTTTTGTCCCTAGCGATCCATGGATTCTACTAAATGATTCCGAAGGAACCGGGAAGATATGGAAAATTTCTTCGAGCAATTTTAATGACGACGACTTCGACCATTTAGAACAATGCGGTTGTATCGATGATTAACCTAATCCGGCAGCTATTTCTTTCGTGTCTTGTACTACCTCATGTGAACCTAATGCATAAATAATCTTTTTCTTGAGCATATAAAAATATGTATTATGTAAAAAGTGACTGTTTCCCTGAAAAATGCAATAAAACAAAAAAATAACTGTACCAATTCAATCGTATACATTGTCGTAAGTCCTTCCCGAGCTTGTGTGAAATTGTGCCATCGACTAAAAATGCGTATGTAATTGAGCACGCGCGTTTATTTAAAAAATGTGCTGATGTTGCGACGAGTCGCGCGAATGAAGAAAGAAGAAGCGTAAAAATGTAAGAGAGAGAAGGAGAGACATTAAAAAACAATTGCGCGCATTCGCACACTGGCAAACTGACATCCGGCGACGTCGTGTCTCGGTACCAAGTAAAAATTCAACCTCTCGAAACCTGTTAAATATTAATTAGAAAGAAAGAGGAAAAGAACGAAAAAAATGAAGAGCTTAGCCGCTTTTCTTTGTCTGATTGCAATTCTACATATATTCAAAACGGTTCGAGTCTCCGCTGGAAGTTCGGAAGAGTCGATCGAGATGCCACCTAGAAGGGAACCTAAGAAGGAGTCGCAATATCATCGCGAACAGCAGAATCGACCGATTGTCGAATTGGTTTTGGGGATCCTGGATACGTTTCATGCATCTTCGAAGGCTGAACTGAGAAGGGCCAGACATAGGAAGGAGGAGCAAGATAAGTTGGCAAAGGAACAACTTGTGGAGAACGTTGAAAACGATATTAAGAAGGATTCTGAAAAATCCTGAAAATAGACAAAAGCTAAATTTGTGTCATAGTAGCGATAAGACTTTTATATTTTGTTGTTAATAAATATGACAGAAACTTCTATGTGTTTTTATTATTTATTAAGTCGATTATTTATGTTTTATCCACTTATACGTATTACAGACATTTTTCCTTGTATTTCATAATTTCGTCATTTCTGTAGTTTACATGTGTATGCTGACCGAGTACGTTATCCAGCGCGTGTTATCCGAATGGATGATGTAACCTTTGACCCGAAGTCTTATCGGATATAACCAATAGAATTAGAGAACTGCGAGTAAATATATAATGCTTGGAAGTTTCTCGTTATAGTCAGCAACGAGACTGCTCTTCGTGTTCATCTTGTTGGACAATTTTTTTGTTACCTTTATTTTCGATTTATTAAAAGTCATCCACAAGATGGTTCGATTTATATTAGTTGCCATTCTGATCGCTTGCATCGCTTGCGAACTTCAAGTAAGTTACAAATATTGTTTGAAGATCATCTACTTCTTTTTTTAATCAGTTCTAACATTGAATCACTGCTTTTATGAGTATTCTTCATCCAATGATATTCTGTCGTAACACAATTAATTTATGCAAGCAAATGTTCATATATCTTTGCATTCCCGTTTTTGTTTACAGTAAAAATGTCCAATTAGTGATCACTGAATATTTTCTGTATGCATGATATCACTCAAATGCGTGGAAAAACTTGGATACTTAAACTTTTATTTAAACAACTTTTTGTGGCAATAATTTTGGACTGTACTTTAACAACCTTTTGATATTTAAATGTGTTCTTATATTTTCTGCTTTCCAGGCAACCCCAGTACCAGAACAAGAGACTAGTAACAAGAACGAGCTTGACAATGCTTTCAAATCTGCGATGGAGTCGATTCAACAAGGTATTCAAAGCATCCTGCAGGATCCTCAGCTGAATGGACTCTACAGGAATGGGACTCAGGCCCTTCAGAATGCTGCCGAGACTGTACGCAAGGAAATCGACAAAATCATTCCAAAAACCAATTAGAGTACGGAGCATGAGGCATTCAAAGAAATTGATTATAAGTATACACGTGCACCTGTATAAAATGTTCGTAAAATGTTAATAATAAATATAAAAATAATTCAACTGATTTTTCAATTATATTAAGACCAAACAGACCGTAGTCCTCTATACTATACGTTAATTAAAAAACTAGAAAAATATCTTAAAAAATTCACAGTATCAGGTAATGCAAACACCAAAAATTGTTTACTGTACGAAATAACTCATAACATTGTCCTCGATCGATCGACCTGTATTATTACCCGTTGCCAAAAACGCTGACTGTCGCTCGTCACGATTCGCTTACCTAATTTCTTTTTCTCATTGGATGAACGCACGAGGAGAGTACAAGAAAAAAATGACACATTCAGTCCGAATGGAAATTATCTTATTTATTTCCAACTTAAATAAGAATAAAAAAAATTTGTTTTGATTTCAGATAAAAAAAAATGTTGAAAAAAACTGATTCATCTCAAAAGCAAATATATAGAAATCTCCCTTATCACAAACCCGGATGTAGGAATAAAGGTTATTGGACACAAGACAAATGAAATTTCCATTCTCCGAATTGGACTTTATTAATCATTCCTTGTTACGTCATGCATATCCAGAAATAAATCAGTAATCAACGAGCAATGCACGTTATCACATGCTACAGCGTGAAATATCATAACGTAGAATGATATTGCACCAATAAAATTAATATGGACAAATTTAATAGACAGATTGAAATATTAATTTAATTTTTCTAAAATCTTTATTGATAAAAATTAATATCAAAAGACCAATGTTGATATGATTATTTGAATAGGGGAGTACAAGAAGATAATGAGAAAGTTAGAAACGATGAATTCCTAGTAACCGAATAAAGATGGTCACAGTTCAAGGTCCCTCAATTGGACTCCGATACCGATAATAGTTCCAGAGGTTATTAAAACAATTTGTATAAAATACATGCATAGGAAATAAATAGTTTTGCGAATGCAGTTCAGTGATTCTACCAGAACATTATGCAATTGCACTAATATATAATAGAAATGAATTAATCGACAATTCAACTGCTGTAAAATTGACTAAAAATATTTTTTTTTCATTACTAATCATTGCAACGAATTAATGTTGACAACCCCCATGACAAATATGACGTATACATTTCTAATATGTATAAACAACTTTTTCCCTTGATATACTTAAACCGTTATTTATATAATATATTTTAGATAGTAAGGAATGACACTCTATATTGATATTGTCACCTCTAATATCTATATATAAAAATGGTCTAGGATTTCTTACGCAAGCATTGATCAATACTCTTCGCATTGCAGTTTGATTTCTAAGTTATATACATGCGCAAATGATAAACTGTACCTTGTACATCGCGAGAACGGAAAATTCTAATTGTCAAGATAACAGTTAAAAGTTCATATGGCATTTCACAATAAAAATTTATTTCTTCCATAAGCCAAATTTTTACTAAAAAATTTTCACGTTTCTGCATAACTGCGAAAAATTGAACTTTCTCTTGAGAGATTTAACAGACATAATTTATATTTTTCATACTTATCGAGAACAGGACATTGTTTTTTCTTTACATTGCTTTTAGTCGTTTTTTTCTTAGATAAATTAAGAATTTCCTAATGGCTCTTAGAGATACAACAAATTCCATTCAGAAGTAACAGCGCCTTATCAGTGACTTCCTCTTTACAGGATTGATTATCAAGGCCGATAATTTTTAAGTCAATTGTACCGTTTAACGGACTGTAGGTATCCCGTGGGTCCTAAGAATGCAATGTACAGGGCGTTCCAAAAGTATTAAGACATATTATTATATTATTACGTATGCATTGATATTATTGACTAGACATATTCTGGGGAAAACAAAATCGTCATAACCCCTAAAAAAATATAAAAATATTCAAGAGATTATGGTAGCACGTGCGAAAATCGATATGATACTATTATAACTACAAGTTCCAGTTAGTGAAATAACGAGGATCCCCAGAAACAAAGTATAGCAAAATATAATTATAATTTATTAATTTTCACTAGGCATTCGTAAGTAACTTATTTTTGTGAATATAAAAATCGCAGTGCGACGCAAATAATTTGCAACGTCAATAATGACGTAATAAATTCTAATTAAATTCCAATAACATTGCATATGCTAATAGAATATATTTGATTGAAACTTTCCCCGCTTCACTTTCCCCCGAGTCTTGACTTCCGCTTTACCTGATTACAATATTAATTAGCTCAATACACTCGAAGAATTCCAATTGAACATCGGTTTGATAATAGGTAGGCAGTGCGCAGTAATAAAACTGTCAGTGATCCATAGATCCGTGACTGTGATGCATCTGATGCTTTGGTGTGTGAATTTTGGTCTCTTCTCTCAATGGGCTAAAAAATAAAAAACTAGAAGTACCGTTGTTCTTGGGGGCTCATAGTATACATATAGTGTTACTAAGTGGTTGATATCCTCCTCCTACTTCTTCACGACGGTTGAGTTCGTGGTGGTTGTCTTTAAATGATAATACACACTTTGCCCTGACATCGTAGATAAGGTTTGACTATAAAACGGCAACGCTTCACGAAGATTGCATCAGTTCTCTCCTAATAGTCGAAGTGTCCTGAACAGTGTTGAGCACAATGAACAAGTTTGGAGCTTTCTTCATCCTGATGGCCGTCCTCGTCTGTGGACAGGCCCGCGTCGCTAGGGAAGTACCCGCCAATCAGCCTGTTCAACTATCTGATCTGATCGCTCAGGCTCAATCAAATATCAACAACCTCGGGACCCAGATCCAGCAGCAGCTGCAACTGATCGATCAGGAGACAATTGTCAACACTATTAAGAATCAGAGTAGCACTTTAGCCTCCAACGTGCAGTCATACGTCAACCAAGTTTCCGAGGATGTGAGTAGAACGAATGCAAGACAAAAAACTGATACCTTACAAATTTTTGAGTCAGTCAGTCAGAAATAAATCGAATCGAAATATGCATTTGCAATTAAAGATTAATCGATATGCCCAATCGAATGAATAGATATACAGGTTATCAGTTATAATGCGAGTAAAAATTTATTTGCATAATTCATATCTGAGCACTGTGACAATTCAATATTTAATTGAAAGGTTAAAACTTTTGCCGAATAATAGATGCTTTAACGGGGGTACAAATTTTTGTTTTATAGGTTAAATCCAAGAGCCCTGAAATTGAAAAACTGTGGGCTGACATTAAGGGCAAGTTGTCCAAGGCTGTAAATGACATCAATGCCCAGTTGCCTGATGGCCAACAACAAGCTGCTGAACTTCAGGCTAAATTTAATGCCGGTATTCAGACCATTGTTCAGGAATCTGACAAGGTTGCCAAATCTATCAGTCAGAACTCCAGCAAGGTTCGGGAGGAGGTTGCAAACTTCACCAAGCAAGCTGTTGACATTGCTGTACAGGCAACGCAAAACCTGAATAATCAGCTGCAGCAGGCGGCTAAATCCAGTTAATGATTTTCATCGTATTCCTGAAACTCAATGCTCTGAATTTTTACGTGACAGTTATTTTCTATGGAAATAAAAAGTATTCTTATTATTTTACGCTGTATACAGTTATTTTATTAATACTTTTTTTTTCACATACAACCATTGCGCTTACCTTTTTTTTTCTTATTAAGTATGAATTACAAACACTTTTATGTAATTAACTCATTAATCAAAGTCTTCGTCGCTTTGAAATATATCGTTACTTTCATATCGATTGGACGATGGTCTTATCATTCGAAATGATGTTGGTGGTGGATGAACACATTTTGGCAACCATTGCCATAGGTATGAAGCTGCTTTAACCATGGCCCCCATGGCTTTTGATGCTATCACACTCATAGTACTTGGTGGTTCTGATTGTTCCATTTGTCTGACTGACGTAATGCACACTGAGGGTGCGCCGAGAGCCTATTCGTAGTAAATAATAATAATTTTTATAAATACATTGAGCTTATTAACAATTTGTATATTACAATGTCTCCTGTTATTTTATCCAATAATTTTTTTAATTTCAAGTAACTTTCTTTTTTAGTCAATATTTTTGCACTCAAAATTTGTACGTAACACTCACCAGCTCTATTGACGCTATTAAGATTATCCACAAGATAAAAAATAATATCGCAGACAATCGGCACGACACGTGCATTTTCGGCTTCTTTTCGACAAACTGTCATCGGATTGAACGTGGTTTCGTGCGATAACTGACTTCCGGGATTGGCAATGTCATTGAAATGTTTTTGCACACAATGAAAACATATATATATATTTTACATATAACTTAACCGTAGGTATAGATACAGTGTCGAGTTTCAAAAATCAGTTGGGGATGCTGCTTAGAAGAATTTTTATTGTGATTATTGTAATTGGATTTTGTGTTTTGGAAAATTTTGCAAAAAAACCATTAAATCCTGATATTTTGAAATATCATCCGCGCGCTAAACAGGTGCGATTTCGGAAAAATTCATAATCGAATCACAGATTTTCTGGACAAACTAAGGACAACAATAACTTTTCTGTTTCGAAGGAATGGCTGAGATTTTCGCGGAACAGAAATGCGGTACCGAGAGAAATATATTTCTGGAACGATGTAAAAAATCATATACGAAGATTACTGACTTTTCACCTTAATCTAAGAAATGACGAGCAACTTAAAACATCGGCAATGTAAATTTTCTTAACCTTATGATCAAATCAAATTTTCCTTTAGGCATATGTGTGTTGCCATTTCTCTGACACCTGTTTGATAAAGTTATTCCTGGTCAGACGGTAAAATGCAATATTAATCGTGCATGCAAATACACAAAATGCAAGGTTGCATATACTCGCCTGAACATTCTCTCAGTCGTCGCGAATTCGCAAAGGCTAATGCATGTTGAAGACCGACCATATCCAATGGTCTTTTATTTAAACGCACGGAAATTGTTTTCGATTTAAAAAATTACAAAATCGATTCTGACAACAAGTGTTAAAAGAAATAAAGAAATGGCGGCGATATCGAATACGATCTGTGCATTGTTTTTCATTGCCTTACTGGTGAGTATCATTTATTTATTGATTCTTTTTTTATGTAAATAATTAAATAACGATTGTTACGATTCTCATGAAATATGCAATAACCCTGTGCAGCGTAATGTCAAATATTGATATGTACAGTCGAATCGAAAAACAAGATATGGTTCAATCGTAATTAAAATATGTTCGTATAAGTAGAGCACCATAAAGGAATACTTGTTTAAGGAATATCAGTAGATTGTATTTATACGAGTGTTTATTGTGCATTTTTGGTATAGAAACGAATAATTTGGTTGAATCGTTAATTAGAAATTAATTGATAACTTGAACAAACATTTATAATATATCTGCCAATACGTGTCCTTGTGCGCAATTCAGATATCCAAAAACAAAATTGATCTTACCAGAGTAATAAAAATTTTAGTTACCAAAGAAATGTTTCCGGATGGCTGAATAAATTTTATATAATTCTACTGTAACATTTACAAATACTTTAAAAAATATTTGGCATATTAAAAAAAATGCAGGTCATGGTACATAGTGAGGAGAAATTGACAAGCAAGGATCACGATGAACTTCTGGAAAAACTGGCAAGTTTCATTGCTCAAAGGGAAGCCAGCACGACAACGCCAAAGCCGAAGTTAACCTTACCGTCAAGGAAGGACGAGACTGAAGTAGAAAGAGCTGACAGGATTAACAAAGGTTTCGAGAGGATGATTCAATTTGTGAATGTTCTGGGTCAAGTAGACAGTTTCATATCGGATAGAACAAAGAATGTTGTGAAAAAATTGAATGCTATGTATGAGGTAGATGAAGCCGCGAATTCTAAAAGAGGACGTAGACACTATTGAAATTGGCGTCATGTAAATCTAATGAAATTAATAAAAATTATACAGTTATTGTTTCACACGTGGTGCATACTGTCGACCTAAGAGAATCCTTAATGTTCAACATTTTCCAAGGTGTAAATCGTTGGTCATTCACATTACAGACACCTAACGGTAATGTAAGCAATGTCCAATTAATGGCCGCAGCCCATTTTAAGAAAGGATAATCCTCCATATTGCAAGTCGTAAAATAATTACTTGCAAGTTCAGCCCATCCTATGAAGAAATTTTCCGAAGGGTAATTAAAGACTTGAAATCCTTAAATGATGAGTTCGTATATATATACAGCTAGAATAGTTTCCATAGGACTTCAGTTCTTCCTGATCGTCCTGCAATGCAGACAGTAGTTCGATCTAGACAGTTTGGTTTTAATTAATTGAATTTTCGTAAAAGTTTACTCAGTCAAAATGTGGCCAACACTTTTGATTTTGTTACCACTGGTGGTCGCGTATTCGAATAATGATTACTGTTCAATTTGTGGCGATCATACAATGTGTCGATTTCAAGTGAGTTGAATTATAAAAATTGATAATTTCATTAGAATATTAAATATATTACTGATATATTATTCATATTTAGGGAGTTGGATCTGCTTGTGGCAGCGGTGTTACTAGCGGAGTTTCCACTGCCGAGGCTCAGCAAATCGTGCAGTTGCACAATAAATATAGGTCAATAGTTGCAACTGGTAATGAAAGACGTGGTGCACCTGGACCACAACCTTCGGCAGCTGATATGCAAGCATTGATATGGGACAATGATTTGGCTCAAGTAGCTCAACGATGGGCGGATCAGTGTATTTTCCAACATGACTCATGCAGAAACGACCGTAAGTTTATTTAAATAATTTATATCGGTAAAAATTAATCTACAATAAAAATATCAATATGGTGAAGGCTAAGACGAAAGTCAAATTTAAAAAATATTATGTATGATTTTAGCACGATTTCAAGTTGGACAAAACATCTATTGGAGTTCTGGGGGTGAAGATAATCAATGGAATGAAGCCATTCAGGCCTGGTACGATGAAGTAGTATCTGTAAATGGCCAATCAGCTGGAAATTTCCAATTTGATCATTCTACTGGTCACTATACTCAACTGGTTTGGGCAAAGTCTCGTTTTATCGGTTGTGGACGTACTCGTTATGACGGAGGTTTTAGGAACCAGGCTGATCAACCCATTGCTTACGTTTTATCGGAAACGAAAAATAAAACTGTTTCTGTTCAGCGTAAATCAATAATGAGAAGATCTAATGATAATTCGGTAGGGTTTTTTGGTGGTCTGCAACCTACTGCAGCTGGAGCCCAAGGGGCGATCACAGGATTCGGTAGTCAGCCGCCAGTGAATAATTCTGTACAGGTAAGATTACTTTCGTTTGTTTCTCTATTGACTAATAGTGAGTTGCATTCATTGTGAGCTGTTTTTTGTTGACTATAATAACTAATATTTTATATATTTTTCAGCCACCTCAACAGACACCGCCAACTTCAAATCCGGAAATGATAGCAGGTAATTTTTTCAAAAGTCCTACAGTTAACGCACATCAATATCCTTTTGGTCAAATTGATTAAATTACATTTTCGTTAGGTGCAAAATAACGAAAATTATAATGATGAAGTAACTGATGATTCAGAACTATGGTGATATTAATATCCCAATACAATTGGAAAGTTCAATAATTACAAGTTCCGTTTACTTTTGCAGCAGGAAGCAATCAAGAACCATTTAATCCTGGCAATTCTCAAAATTATCCAGGGTATGGATCGAATCCTGCATTTGGTGCAGGTTCTAGTCCAGACTTCAACCTCAGTCCAGAATCGAACCCTGAATTCGAATCAAATTTAGGGTATGGAGTGAATTCTGAACTCGGAGCATATCCCGGGTCAGGATTGAATCAATCGTTTGGATCAAATCCTGGATTTGAATCTAATTCAGGAGCCAACCCACCACATCCAGTGAGCTCTTACCCACAGTTGGGATCAAATGCTTCCTTCTATCCTACGAACCCTCTAGGAAACTTCCTGCAAAATCCATTCTTAGGAGGAAATGTCAATCCCGCCTTAATTACATCATCAATCGGCAATCTGGTTGCTCCAGTTGTTGGTCAATTACTTTTAACTAGGGATACTCCAAGTCATCCGGTGGAAACTAAACTCAAAGTGTACAGGCTCCCGACATATGCTGAAATGTATTTACAAAACCGTGTCAACTATGACAAAACATCAAATCAAGCAACATTTCAACAAAATAATAGACCACAGTATGGACTCTTAGAACCTAGACCAATAGCGCCACCTCCGACAGTTGTGAGTATTTACAAATTTTTAAACACCTACAATCTGCATTTTAATCATGAGTGCATAAGTTTGCTCACCTGATCAAATCTTTTTTCTCTCTTTAGCAAAATCCCATGTATCATATACCTCATAATGGTCCAATACGCCCTATTCAAAATGGCATCTTTGGTCATTCAAATGTTGATAAAGACAATGGGTTCAATGATTGGTTCAACCAAGGATATCAACAAGGGTTCTCATCGTTAAACTCCCCTAATGGAGCTGCTAGTGGCGGCGGATCAAATCAAATGCTAATTTGTAATTATGGTCCTGCAGGAAACTTCCTTGGGTCTCCGATGTATATTCCAGGGCCACCATGTTCCAGATGTCCTTCAGGCACCCAATGCCAAAATGGACTGTGCACTTAATTTATTGAACTTGCAACAGCAGTATCCTAGTCTAAGTTCTATCATATCTAAACATTTGTACAAACTTGCATTCTTTAAAAATCCATCTGATATCATTACTTTTTGAAGATTACGTGAAAATCCATAATATCAATTCAGTTCTCAAAATAAATATATAGTTAGATTATCATGAATTGTAATACAGTAATGCGTTCATGGTGCATATCTATATTTTCCATATAGCAGTATCAGAATGAACATTATTCATAAATATTCACCAGCCTGGTCATTGAGTATGCGTACACTCTGCATTTTCCAAATCTTTATTTTGCTCTAGTACAGAAGCTCCTGAAGGAATAACATCTTCATAAAATTTGCATAAATCTTTAACGCTGACAAAATATAAATCATTAAATCTATTTCACTAAATTAATGAAAAAAAATATCTTACACGTATTGGATCTAACTTATTAAACGCTATGTATCATTAATCTAATATTCTATGTTCGACTAGGATTCCTAAATCTAGTTTCTTTGAAAAGTCCCTCATGTATCAGTTGTACTAGGATAGCCTATCTAGATCCATCCATTTCACAATTGATAGAAGATCAATCATTAATTTCAATTCCTGTTAGATTTCTATTTATTTATTTCCGATATGTTGGTAATGCTTGTGCTTTTGGTCCTTGCGCTCCTAACGTCTTACTGCCTGTAAACGCTTCAACTTGCTATTATACATCATTGTCTTCATTTTAATAAAAATTATATAATGCTCCACTGCCTTGTAAGCTATCATTCATATAACAAGTAAAATCCCTAGGATAAAATCTCATAAATATTACTATGGCTATAAATCATTAATTTCATTATATCCATATAAGAATCATTTGAAACTGTATATAGTTCGTTGTCACCCGACGAATTATGTATTATCACATCCGTAAACAAAGCCATCTATACAACTTATTAAAAATTGTAACAATGAAAAAGACTTAACAAAAATTTTAGCTGTACCAGCGCACTAGTGGCAATAACAACAATTTTTAGAAACTTCCATATATTATTGCTGTATTTGACCATCGAATGAAATCTTAAGGGACTTTTTGTATACCTCGTACGTATGTATATAGAAATTATTAATGTACTATCGATATTGGTCGAAGGTTTCTAGGGAAAAGAAAATTCACATATCTTTACTGTGCCGGACAGATTTTGAAAAGGCCACGTGACGCATAACACGTCCAATAAAAATCGTTGTTATTCCGTTCGGACAAAACATTCTCTTTTACTTTCCAAAAAGTTCAATGCCAATCTCAAACCTGATCTATACTCTACAGTTTTTTCCAGCAATATACAATTCAAGGAATGCTTGTAGCTACCGTGTTAAAAAAAAGATTTCACCTTGCTTCTCGTTGTTTACGACGTATATTGCGTAATTTCGTTTCTTCTGGTTTTTTAAACTACACTAGTACCATGGCCCCGGGCTGTATGCAATACTAATTAAATAAAACGTTCTTCCGTTGTTTAAGTTTGCATATTTGTGGGGCTTTTCTTTTGTTACTTCCGAGTTCATATGTTCATATTTAATGGCATAAGCGGTACATACTTGTCGCTAGGGCGAAACTTGTATTGCGAGCAAAGCAAGTCGGAAACTGCTTCCGCGTAGCCAGTTCTGAAAGCAGATATTTTTTACATTGTAGAAAATTGTAAAAAAAAAGTATCAAGCGATCAATATTATTTCCAAAATATTTTTTAAGCCCATCACCAATCCCATTTCCATCACCAGAATGCGTATAAACATTTTGAAAAAAAAAACCTTTACTTTTCGACAAAAACTCAGCAATCTACACTTTCAATTCAGCAGAGATTTGTGTGATGCTAGATTATCGAGCATCTTGAAAATAAATTGTAGCAATGCCAATTTTGGCTGTAGATGTTCTAACAGTCGAGACTTACGGCTTCTCTCCCAAGCACTAGTATCATATCTCGGAGAATTTTCCCATTGCATGGGACAACTGAAATAATCGAACAAATCTCAAAATTCAGTTTTCGTATATCAGAAAATAAGTTTTTTCATTTTTGCATATATAATAGAAATCGGATTTTACCCTGGTGCAAGTCTGCTGCAAAACTTGCAAAAAAAAAGATTCACAGACCTTTTACAAGCTTCAAAGCAGACCTATGCCAGATTGATTCCAGATTTATCTGATTGCTCCTAGGACAAGTCAAACATATTTCCAGGGACCAGACACGTAATGGGCATTCATAGATGGTAGTTGAAAATATTTTTTTAAAATTCACTTTGGGATACACGGCACGGGAATTCTAACCTAATTTAACCAAACAAAAGATTGACTGAGTCTAGCCATGGAAAAAATGTTAAGATTTAGAGCGAGCATCGCTTTTTCCACAGCACAAGTATTTCACAAACCTGTATAGCATCGTCAATGGAACTTTAAACGTTCCATAGTTGATCTATAACCGCACGTGTTAAATATATGAACATGTTTGAGCCATGTCTCGAAAGCGTCGAATATCCCCGAAATACACTGTGGATATAATACACACGATATAATAATTATATTAATTTACCTTTGCCACTGAGAACATGGCCGTCTCTCCTTGAAACATGTTACTTGAATAACGTTGAAAAAAAGTGCACCCAACGTATTCGCCACTTCGGTGTTAAGATTTTGTAAACACCGACGAAACTGGGCGTCGCAATCGCAATGCGACCTGGTGAACGGCGAATTGTTACATATCCCATGAATGCACTGATTAGGTGCAATAGTTGCGGGACAGTGATCATGTTCCCGACAGCAGGCATCCTCGGCTGTATGTTGTCCCAGTTCGTCGTAAGACTTGGCCAGACTACCTGGGCCGCACCATTTCGTACCAGGGTAAATGAGGCCACCACCTGGTGCTTGATTCTGGAGAAATTATATGAATCAGGCGTCACGATTGATCTAGTGAACTCGTTGTGACTGAGGCTGAGAATTTTTCGTTATAAACAGAACGGAGACAAGCAGATTTACCATGGGACAAGACCGCTTGAACGTTGTTATACAGCATCTTATGCATTCGTCGTTACAAACAAAATTAATTTTGCGTGTATAGAACTTTTGAAATCGGAAGTGCTTCTCATATGACAATGTTATGACAATGTTACTGCTTCATCTATAACCGGAACTTAACTTCTCGTGTAAATTTCAAGTCGAACGTTTCAGCAGTTCCTCCGTAATTTTGCCCATAGGAATCTACCCGCGCAGGTAGCTAACGGAATATTCCGGAATCTGCGCATGCGCTTTGTCGAAGCCGTAATTACCGAACGTCTGTAAACGTAGCTGTTCTATTTATGTATGTCCGGGCACTAAATATGCGTCTTAAATTCCAGTTTGATCGGTTTAGTCACGTTTTTCTAATTTTTCTCGAAAAATGTATGCAAAATCCCCAAAAAATACATGTACGCACGCAGTTTTCTACAACAAATGCATAAGAGATACGTGATTTACTCATAAAGTTACAGAAACGTATGTCAAAATATAATAATAAAAAAAATGTTACTACAAAACCATGTATGTGTATACGTTATAATAAAAATTGCATGCGGAGTCAGGTGTGACTTTCTAAAAACTTCAAGGTTTTCGATCTGTCAAAGAGAAACACATTGAACATGTGGAACGACTGTACGTAAAGGGGTATTACTGCTGTCACATGTTTGAGTGGAAATTTAATAATAGCCAATTAGTAATAATTACTGTTGTTCTTGAATTGTAAACAACCCAAAGGACTCAAAATAATAGAGTCTTAAATTAACGCTACCTTGCCTTTATTACGAGATGCTTTGCAAGTCTCTTCAAGGTCCGCCACCAGGTTACTGGACATTTGACGAACTCTTCTCGGATCGGCACCCAGCATCATCCTCTGAATAATGCCTCTGTCCGTATAAAGCGAACAAAAAGGTGCGTCTGCGTTCAGTTCGACCATTCTGGACATTGTCGTATCTGCCACAAGGACGCTGGTGCTTCCTCTTTCGATCGAGAGTATCAAAACAACACCCAGAGTAAGGAGAATCATCTGAAACGATTGAGTTTTCTATACGTTACGCATGCAGAAAGCAACGAGGAACGTTCAGTAGGCGCAAGAACGAGGGCAGAGAAAATGAAGTAAATAAATGTGAACGGAAGACTAATATTATATGTTACCGAGGACTCTTCAATGTTAACACGATATAATTATAATTCATACTATTCCACAGTAATTAATCAATTGCCTACGATAGATTCCCTGATGCTGAACGACGTGGTAGAAGGCTAGATTAATTAATTTCTCGGTATTAACGCTGCGGGATACTTAATTAGTCCTTTACATTTTACCAATCAGGTACTTCTTTGTCATTCATTTTATTATTATTTGCCAATTTTTCTATTCAATGTCCTTAACCTTTCTTTATATCCGAATTAAATTCACTGAGGACATAATTTTTCTTTATGATAGTCTGAAAATATAATTAACTGATTCTGTTTTAATTAAAAATTTTAGAACCGACTTTTCAAAAATTCTCAACTGTCAAATCGGAGACATTTTTGAAAATTCTACAGCGATCCGAAACAGGCAACGATTCGATTTGAACTGAAGATGCTTTCATGAGAATGAAGGAATTATTCTTGAATTTTACTAGCTAATGCTTTATTCATGCTCGAAGCATTGAACGGTACTAGATCGAAGGTCCACAACCCGGTTGACCTTCCGAGTCAACATAAATCACATCTAATGATGCATCGTCAATTATACTGAAGCAGTTATGTAGATTGTATAATATCTCTTTTCTTTATACCTCTTCTTTTATATCTTCGACCGCATAACTTCCATTTCCTGAAATTCAATTTTTAGAATATTCGCATACAGACGCCTATGGGAAATTGAATTTGATTCCTTTTACAGTATTTCACATAAAGCAGAGCCAAAGTGCAAGGCTTTCAGCAATTACATTTTTTTTTCTCAGGAAGCACGTTATGCTCAGCCAATAATCATTGCACATATGTTTACTCCTATGTGTACTATGAGCCTCTGGTTGTACATACGTAATGACTTCAGTATAGTATAATACCTATCCATAGTATAATTGGTCCATGAGTAAAATATCTTAAAGTGACAGACAGGAACACGTGTTTCGCACTACCGATTCCCCTATTAAAATTTTCCAAATGCCAATGCTCTGTTGTCAAAAGCAACAAATGATTTTACATTGATTTTAATTGCATTGCCATACATTGCCACTGAAAAGAAAAAAGCACTGGTAATGGAATATTTCACTAAAGGGCATTCTACAATGCAATATAATATGAAATAAGCAATAAGATCTTCATTTGATATTTACGTACTTCCATTGGATCCTCCAATCAAGAAGGAGAAAATCGTTTTTAAAACCGAGCGTTTACTAAGTCTCTACGATTTTTATGACGTCTTGGACATAGCAACGATACGGAAGCGGTTGCTAGTGTCTTTAAGGACTTCACGGAGCACGAAACGTGATGAGTAACATCGAGCATGCTCCGTTCCGTAATTTATAACGGCTTACGTTAAAAATACATAGCAACGATACGGAAGCGATTTCTAGGGTCGCTAAGGATTTGACGGAGCACGAAACGTCATTGTCAAATGTCATTACCAGCTTTATAGACGAGGTCATTATCAATATCGTTAGAGAAATTAAATTTCTCTACGATAAAAGTCATCGTGACTTTAAAAATGAAGTAATGATTTACTTATCTGTATGAATAAACGCATACACATTTTTTTTTATATTTATATATTGACAGATAATAATAGGTGACAGGTAATGACATTTGACAATGACGTTTCGTGCTCCGTCAAATCCTTAGCGACCGTAGCAATCGCTTCCGTATCGTTGCTACGTATTTTTAACGTAAGTCGTTATAAATTATGGAACGGAGCATGCTCGATGTTAGTCATCACGTTTCGTGCTCCGTCAAATCCTTAGCGACCGTAGCAATCGCTTCCGTATCGTTGCTACGTATTTTTAACGTAAGTCGTTATAAATTATGGAACGGAGCATGCTCGATGTTAGTCATCACGTTTCGTGCTCCGTGAAGTCCTTAAAGACCCTAGTAACCGCTTCCGTATCGTTGCTATGTCCAAAACGTCATAAAAATCGTAGAGACTTAGTAAACGCTCGGTTTTAAAAACGATTTTCTCCTTCTTGATTGGAGGATCCAATGGAATTACGTAAATATCAAATGAAGATCTTATTGCTTATTTCTTATTCCTTATTTCTTATTATATTGCATTGTAGAATGGCCTTAAGGGCGTTGCATCTATCCATCTGTCACTTTAAGCTATCTTGCTTGTGGACGGACTATATACAATATTTACGAAAGAGCATGTGTCGCTATTGATGATAGCAATAAGACTTAACCTTTATCAAATAGAAAAATTTGCATTTTCTGTTATTCTCATTGCATCATTATACATTCTCAAGGAAAGGATTCATCGATGTTATCTTAATGGAATTATACTTAGATTTACTCAATGACGATCGTTGGCCATCTATCGGAAATCATCGACACTTGAAGTTCACGGGTGTTTCCATGAACTTTGAATTATTTTCGCTGACTTTTATTATTTTGTATCCTTTTCATTAAAATTATTCACCGAAAAGACATCTAACGATATTATCCAATAATATCGCCCTATCAGCTGTCCCACTTTTCATATGGGGAACTAGAACTGGAACACTTTAATAATCGAAACGAGCTTGATGACTCCGAGTGGGTCAACAAGCTCGAACTTGCCTCTTGAACCTGCAGATGCACGGGTCGACTGCAACTGCTATGAATGATGCGGCTCCCCCATTCAATTCTCAAGTCATCATTCCAATATGACTCAATCACGAAATTATATTCGCAAAAGAAACAATCATCGGGGTACAAGAAGAAAATAAGTTCAAATTGAAAAAACAAATCATAGATCTTTATCATCAATCAAGGATTTAACTGTCATTTTAATATTTATTAGGATTATTTCCCAAATGAAAAAATATTAAGGAATAATAATCACTTTTACATTAAATCCACTATTGACAATCGCATATCGTAAATATTGCAGCAAACTTATAAAATTTACGTAACTTCAGCAACTTCTACTTGCCATATAACAATAGAATTTATTGTAATTGAGCTACAACTGTCACAAGATCTGTTTGCTGGGATAATTATAAGTATTGTAAGTGACTATATAAATATTTTGTCTGTCGTTCGCAAAACTTTGTAAACTATAACTACACCCTCTAGACGTAAACTCCAATGTAATCAAACACAAGGTTAGTTTCCATGGTTCGACTATCGTGAAAATAAAGATCAATACGTCAATTAAACACGCAATTATCATATACGCATTGTAATAGTCTTTCTCACCTTTACTTTTACTGTCAATGTCTTTTTTATCACTGTACAAGGACAAAGCGCGTCACACGCTCACCGGCAAGATATCCTCACTGAGAAACTAAGAATCTAGGGATAAAGGATGCGTGAAACCAGATGGCGACGACTCCGTATGCGCAGGTTTAGCAAATGCTGCAGTGCGCAACAGCCACCCCAACTCTGGACAAGTTGAGTAGTTGATTACAACTACGTTTGATTTAGTAATAACCTTAAGAATCCTGTTACATTGCTACCCTTTACTTTAAGGTTGATGTTCAAGCTTCTACCCTCAATTCCATTGTACAGAGTAAATTGGTTTCAGTATAATGATATAATTTGTACACTAATAATACGTGTTAGCTAGAATAGAATTTCGCGCAGAAGGATTATCGTGTTATCATGACAGGATAGGACGAACGTGTCATTTACATTTAAAGACGATTTATCATCATTTTTATCTATTAGAACCTATCCGTGTAGTATGTATCATTAACGTGCTATAATAAAAAAAAAGTTGATGAAATTTTGAAAATTATTTTCAAAAAATTCAATTAATTTTTTATATGCAATAATAAGATTTGACTTACCCTATATTTAATATATCCGCCGGGATACGTTTTCTAATGAATAAGATAATCAAATTTTATATTTAAAATTTCGTAAATTTTTCTCTTAATTTTAAGTTAACAAGGTAAAATACACTGTTAATTTTTTTTCTCTTACGCGGACAACGGTCGCGATCGAACTGATCGGTTGAATGAGACGACAGGACACTAATGTCCATACACTTACGTATTTTATACTTGACTATATTCACATACATAGAGGGACAGGTATACGTAGATACATATGTATATTGAAGTATAAAGGGGAGATCCACATCACGTGATGCACGTGTATTTACACTTGTCGTTCATAAATACTTGGATCACTCAGTATATTACGTACATAGTGTAATGCGCAGATACACTAGTGATAGGCAAATTCCTTTACGGAGGATACGTTATATGAAGAACACATATTCAGTATAATATATTAATATTTAAATATAGATGCATTCAATGCCGTCATATAGTATTTTCATTATGCATCTTTCCTCTTCCTCTGTTGTGGTCTAACAAAAATTTGTCCGCCCTTTCACTTTTAAAAATATACCCAAGTGTAGTCTGTCCAAAGTGCTCGAGATCATTGGTGCGAAGTCATATGTCAAAGTCTTTATATAATAGCACTTAGACATTCCGAAAAAATAATGGTCATTATATTACTGGGAATTCGAAATTCATGTCTACCCAGTAACTAAATTTTTCGTTACTGTTCATTATATACTCGGAATCAACATGAATGTTCCTTTAAGGAAAGCATTGTTCGTTTTTGCTTTGCCTTTGACATTGGTACAGGTAAAAGTATATATTTAAATTAGGGATAAAAAAATTCTGAAATTAAAGTTTCGAATTGTTCAATAAAATAAACTCGTATCTTCTTTGGAAGTGGCTTGTCGTTTATTTATGACTTAGGATCTTTGAGGGATGATCTTTTTTTAGTGTGGATCATCTCCTGAGTTTAACAACTTAAATCTATTGGATGTTTTTAGCTCGTATTCTTACTATTGTCTTTGAAAAATGTGAGGTAATACAATTTGTCTAATAAAAGTACGTATACTAAGCTGTCTTAGTCTAAGAGTAGTTATCTTATTCTAATTTACAAGTTTGTCTTAGGTATAGTTTAACTTTTAAGAGCATCATAATTATTTCGGAAAGAATCGTTTTCATGAGAACGAATCATCGCACGTGTCAGGTAACTCATCCACGAGGCCATTTTGAATAAAAATATCTAAGGTCGTGAATTTTAACAATTCGGTTGTTTAAAAATAATTTTTGAAGTATCATATTGACCATTTTGTAAATCTAATACGAATCGAGAATTAAAAAAAAAATTATTCATAATCGTACATATAATCACATTTATTTCCCAAAAAATCTGAATTTTAATTCTTAAAATTGCAGCCTGTTTGTCTTAATAAATTTACGGAATCCATTCGACCTCATTGGTTTCAATTTTTCCAGAATCCCTGACAACCTCACCCCTACGTCCATTTCCTTCAGGCTTAGGTTTCTCTTCAGTTCCAGCAAGCTTGTGGTACACTTTGCTTCCGGTATGCGCAACCCACTCTACGCCATCTCCAATTTTCTCACCAGCCTTTCTCACAACATTACCAAAATTCTCAGCAGTAAAGGTACCAGGATTGATATTGATATCCAAACTATTATTTCCAACTGGGCATCCAGTTTGTGGTATGATACTCAGATCATACGGATCAATTCCATAGTTACTCATTTTCTGACGTAGTCTTTCAGTAGTTCCCGCATCCAAATCACGTTGTCTTGAAAGTATAGTAGCGCTCTGTCGGTGCGCGAATGCCAACTTTTGGCACGAAAAGACAGCAGCATAGTGGGTATAATCCGTTTCAAAGACCACGTGGGATGCGCTACCAGCGACACCTGCGAAAACAATATTCCGTATGGAAACCGTATTCAAAAATGCTGCGGATTCTCGACCGTCGGTAATCTTAGAAATCTGCACTCTGCACTCACTCAAAGGAAAGCGTACTTGCATCCGTCCTGGTGTACTAGGCTCCGGGACGCTCAATTCCCCAGTGTAGTGGTATTCATGCTTCAATGGCGTAAGACCTGTTCAAACGATTACAGACAATTCATTCCACTTGAGTAACATTTATCCTCGTTGACGAGCCTTTATGAGCCCTAATAGGACCCATATATTCTTCTTATCCATAGAGAACAGGCCCGATTAGAATTCTCTTAAATATAGGATCTAAATCCGTCATCCAAAGTCCAATAACTCGATATATACGTAATTAATCATTAATTTTCATACATCCAGTATCTAATCGGCATATTCTCTATATTACGTGGAGCTGATCAATTTTACAGGTTCGTCTACCTATAACAGGATGATCGGAATCCTGTGTTATCACGTATTCCCCAGGCTCCTCTCCACGTGTATAATTATAGGTAATGCACTTGCTGGCCGTTGATGTCTTTTGGATAACGTACCAAACACCCAAAAACTAAAATTCGAGCAAGAAGTTTTTTTTAGTAAATACAATATTATTTATTATATTATATAACCTTTCTTACTTTGTTCATTTGAAATCCCTGCATCGGTTCCACCACAGGACACGCTCCTAAATGATAACTGTGTCCTTTGACCAGGATCAAACATCCTGTCAATATTACGCATAGTCCCACTGTCTTCATCTAAAGATAATACAGATAATATAAATAAATAAAATTCAACAACACATCGATGTACACGGCTAGTCGCTTTTTTTCATAGTATTTCAATGACTCGATTACAAACATCGTTTCTCGCTACTACCAGTATTGCCTTTTTGTCAAGTACACTTGGTATCACATGTATCCCTCTTTCTTATTACCTTGAGCACAAAGATCATGAAGCAAAGACCTTTAATTAAAGTGGTGAATCACAGACCAGCAAGATCCCCACTTTTACGACTTGTCAAGAAACGCGTGAAGGTCCAAGGTAGTACACGTTAAGAGGTCAACACTTCTAACAGAGCATATAAGTACTGAATAAAAGAATAAAACAGAGTGATAAAAAGCATATGTCTCAGAGATAAGAAATTATGTGCAGATGAACTAACAATAACGAAGTCAATACGATGACATAAGATAAATATGAATATTATACAAAATTATACGATATATAATAAAAAATAATTCTTCGTTATAAGCTGAACAACTCCAGTCACTAGTTTCCATGTTTATGATATGAGGAAATAAATAAAATAGATATTGAAGTATGACAATAAAATAGTCGTTTGTGGAATTTATGATTTTTTTAAAAATCAAATGCGCAAATAGGATTTCTTAGAAATTGCGTAACATGTCAGCTATTAAAGTCATTTGCAATTATTAAAATGAAGATATCGACTGATCGTATATAAAATAGTATCTGCGCGGTGATGTACTTGAAACGAATTTTTATGCGTGTATTGCTGCACGTTTATTATAAATGCTTGAGTTTAAGAATGTCGACAAGTGGACAAACTTGATTATCGCGAGGCTTCGTTAAACTTGGTTAAAATTATATTAACGTTTACACGCGATTTGGACTGCATTGACATTCCTTTGTATAAATATAATAAGTTCTTAGTAATCAGCTTAAAATTTGTGTATAACATAATATAACGTATAGTAGTTATCGATAGACCTTTATTATGCCTCCTTAAATAATAAGCAAATGTTTGACCAGATGAACATCTTGGCAACTTTCAAAGTTTATTACCAAAAGTAATGGAGTTCATGTACCACTAGGTTTATCTATAAACGTTTCGAAACCAAGCAGTACAACTGCACTAATTACCTAAGAATTTCTCTAAACTGTCAATGAAAAAAGAAAACCAAGTATCGGAGACTTACTGCAAATATGCCGTTAGGTTGTATCACGTTGCTGTATACTTCAACTGTAAACAGTTGATACGTTGGAGAAAGACTTTATACTGGTCCCCCACCCTAAGTCCAATTACAGGTCACATACACAATGATATGTATTAAGCTGTGTCGTATTAATCTTGGTAGTGCCGAATAAGCTCAACCTAGATCTTTGTTCCTACATAAAAATTCATGTTTCAAAAAAATTAGATATTTTTGAGTATCCTCTTGCATCAGGCGAAATTTTGCTTATCAAATTGTATTAAGATAAAATTTTGTTTATACAGAAGACAATTTTTCTCGTTAGAATACATCCTGAAATATTTAGACAGGACCTATTGCCCCAAAATCATACGCTCCTGATAACCCCACTGCCAATAAACACAGCATATCATCGAACGCTATGGTTTCACGTTAGTATGACGTGTCATGTCGGTCATGTCTCATCTTTCATCTTGTATGACGCATTCATATAAGTATGAAACTCTTACAGAGATTCCTAGAAATTGTTATGCAGTCTATCCAATTCTTTGTTTGTCCCGCCACAACGCATCTTTTAGATAAGAATATAGTTTCTTTCGTTCATTTCAGTATACAGCGCAGCGGCGTAGTACAGAAAACACTGTACGAGAAACTATCAAATTAAAATATTCTTTACCAAATAGTATTTTCTGATATATCGGACCTACGATTACCAATGGACCCTAAATATGGTAATATATTCTGTGTATAGAAATTGATATATTATACCAAATCAGGAACATCCAGGTCAAAGTACAGAATAAATAAATGCATTGTACTAAGAATCGAAGGCAATTTGTCTCATCAAATCTATGCATCTGAGAGAGCAGTCTGAGAAAAAAGAATGAAAATAAAATAGGTAACCGTATACACGCAAAACAATTACGAATGTCGTACAATTTTAATTTTATTTATGTGTGATGATTCGTGAACACAAGAAGAGAGAATTGAAAAAGTAGAAGAAATAAATCACAAGTCCGAATTCCTAAAAATTTTGTCATCAGTAGAAAAGCCTATGACTTATAAGCGAGAAAAGGAAAATATTCTAAAAGCATTGATATCTTACGAAAAAATTATATCTAGTGCAGTGTGTGTCCCCTAATACGTATTTATGTACAGTATTAGTTTGCAGTGCTTGTATCAAACGTGATGAGTGTTTCGTTCAACAAAAATATATGTTACATTGTTATAAATGTCGCTCAACGAAATAACGTGATACTCGCGCTGCAAGAAATTATAGAAATATTAAATCTTGACATATGTGTTGGTTAATGTAAAATAACGTGAGACGCATTGCGGCTCATTCCTGTCAAACTTTAATTTTTCTTTCTTGACAAAAGCAACCAAAGGTGTAATTATTCAAATAATTATTCCCGCCACGGTATTGATGTAATTCGTAAATCGAAATAGCAAAATAATTCACAATACAAATCTCGAAGAATGAGCAATGAAACAAAGTGGCCAAACTACTTAAATTTTCTTTTACATTTAAAAAATGGATACATGTAATATGATTTATATTTGTACGCATGCGCACTGATATTAACAACACAAAACTGGCTCATTGAAATCATAAGTGCACCATGAAACCAGATTCCTGTGTACAGAGTCAATGTTGTTCGAAAGAAATGAAGAAATCTGTGTTCAGAGTGCTCAGAGCACAATCAAGTGAGTAACCTATGAATAAAAAGTGGAACATAATATGAAATTTATACTGCTGTAAAAACAAGAAGCGAGAATTTCTCTAAAATTTGTTGACCGATAAATACTAATCAAGGTTTAGTGCATTTAAACCTCAATACATATAAGAGTTCTATCCTCAATATTATTGTATGGAAATTTAGGAGCCGTGATAACAGCATGTCTTAGGCGATCGAACAATACTTTTTACAGTGCAGTCACGTTTCTCTGAAAGTAGTCGTTTGCTAAATGAACACGTAATTAGAATCCTTAGAAACAACATCGAATCGAAAAAAACAAAGAAACACATTTCGTGTTCTACAATAATAATAATAATAGTAAGAAAAGTGCAAAAAATCATTAAAGTAATACGATCATAAAATATCGCGATAAAAAATACTTAAAGAAAAGAGCGTCTTATGATTGCCTAGAGTTGAGAGCACGGAGAAGGCTCTAGAAGGAAATTTCGCCAGGTCAGCGAATTTCTATGGACGATTACTCGTTGTAAATGTGTCTTATGAAAATATTCTTATTCGTTCATCAGTACGTGTCCTCTGGTGGCAACTTCTTCACGTCCAAGTCTTCGAAGTAAGGATGCTGCAGCGCAGCCTGAGCGGATATTCTGTGCTGCGGGTTGTAAATGAGCATTGATTGCAGAAGGTCCAGGCCCAGTACGTCAAGGGTCTTGGCCTGGGTCGCCAGATTATTAGACCTCCAATCGGGAAAGGTCGCTTTGTAGTCAGATAGTTGTGTCACGCCTGGCCATATTTCCTCAGTAGGCGTTCGCAGGACGCTGCATATAGTATTTAGGAAGTGATACCAAGAAACTCATTCCATGGTTGAATTAAGAGTTGTGTCTGTGATGACTTACCGGAATATTCTGAAGAGCTGATCTATCTCGCTATCTCCTTGAAATAATGGCTTTTTTGTTGACATTTCAGCAAAAATACATCCAATGCTCCATATGTCAATGGCACAGGTGTACCTACTAGCTCCAAGAAGGATCTCTGGTGCTCTGTACCACAAAGTGACAACTTCATGTGTATAGACTCGAACAGGAATACCAAATGCACGACCAAGACCAAAGTCAGCAACTTTGATCAAGCCATGCTTGTTAATTAGTAAATTTTGAGGTTTCAAGTCACGGTGCAACACTCTGCGCGAGTGACAGAATAAAATAGCACGAGTAATCTATTAAGAAAAATATTGGTTAAACAAGAGATATTTATTACTACACAATTTATAAACTTCTTTTTTAAACTCTTAGGACAAACCTGATATAAATAACTCTTAACTACACTAGGATCCATGAGCTTGCCTGAACCCAGGCTGTCCATGTATTTTTTTAGATCCATTGTAAGGAATTCAAAAATAAGGTATAGTCTGGGTTCCTCCATAAGAACATCTACAAGACTGACAATATTTGGATGACGTAATTCCTTTAATAATGAGATTTCTCGGATTGCAGTTGATGGCACTCCCTCGTCATCACTTTCTAGCCTGATTTTCTTCATGGCTACTATCTGTCCAGTTTTCTTATGCTTTCCTTTATATACAACTCCATATGTACCTTTAACATTAAAGGACAATATAACCATGAAACAACCTATTTACGATGTACATATTATACATGTTATATCAAACTCATTATAATTAATTTCAATGTTTGAATATTGCTTTCAATACGTTTTCTAAACAGCAAAACAAACATAATTTAAATATAGGAATATTAAATAAGGGCATCAATTACTAAATATTTATTACAAGTATGTTTTATATAAAATTAATTTAATGAAAATGGAATATAGGTATATAAGTACAAGAGGAAAAAAATATCTCGACTTATTCGGTATAAATAAATAACAACCAGAATGGAGCCGCCTAAAAGGACAATGTCCTGTTCGTGATGCCACGCTTTCAAAATTCTTCGTATTTACTAGAAAATGTCCACGTGATTTAAAATTTACTGAGATCAACAACAAAATACGTAGTCAGTTATTTTCCGCATAAGGCGATTATGGCAGGCTAATCCTTTCCAGGTAAAAGAATAACGAACACGCCAAATTGCAAGAGAAATTCACTAAAAGCGTTACCTTCGCCGATTTTTTCGATCTTTACGAAGTTCTCCATGATGGCTGCTAAATAAATTGTCAACGATCTTCAGATGACACTTTAGCGGCAAGGAATTGTGTTTTGGTCACGTAATATCGATACTTTCACATATGTTTTACGACTTTTCTCCGTCCGTTAAGAATATGTAACGTCCAAATTCAAATGTCAGTACGCCATATTGGTAAACATGTTTCAATGGCGAAGAATTACCCTCTGTTACATGCCTATTTGACGAGCGTCAGCCAATCAGAAGCCACTAACATAGGATAGTAAGTATGTATGCGATATGTGTATATATCAATGCATGACAAATGTATACCATGTGAACATGCGAATATCCGGATTTAAATGCAAAAAAGTGTTAAGTGTGAAACGAAAAGACGAGAACATTTCAGGAAGTTATTTATTGCGCAATAATTACAGTATGCCTGTTTATATCCGAATTATTTTTAATAATCTTATATTGGATGATATTATAATTATACAAATATATAAATCATCTTTTTGTGCATAGTCTGCCGAATATTCTATTACAGAATTAAGAAAAAAAAATCATTTTAATGCTCTGATGAAGCCATTCAGAGCAAGAACATAATCGGTTTGCTTGGTTTTCTCAAACTATCGTGTTGGCATGACTGTTTATTTTAAATGTAACTGATTCTGTATATAGTAACAGATGCCTGGATTGCGGGCAGGTGGTTTGGCTTGATCGAGTTCGTGTGGTTTGTTTCTTCAACTCCATCCATATGTTTAATAAGTTAACTAGATTTATTAATTGTTGATATTTCTTATTGCATTCGATGTACATGCATGGACTTAGTCGCAAATAATAAGTTTTGTTATATCAGTGATTCATATTTTCCATTTTACATATAACATCGGACTTATTGAATAATTAATAATTAATTGAGTCACTACTTACGTAATGTAATAAACGTCAGGTACTCATCACTTTGGTGAAAAGTAAACTTTCAGTTTTATAAATATGGAATGTCAGTTTTTGGATTTCCACTTGGGGTGGGGAGTAAAACAAGTAGATTGGTCTATAAATAATTAAAAAAAGGAAGTCTGTATATTCAAATAAAAATGTTCACTTTATTATTACTGAGAAGGTAAAATATATTTGCAAACTGTGACATCATTTATTCATTACGAAACACTCATTTTATTACGTTATACAGACTTGTTTGTACAATTGTCGTATCGACGTATACTACAAAATTGTAGCGATATCTCTGTGTGTATTTTCAGGATGAATAAAATCAAATATAGTTTGTAGGTCTGCTTATTAGCAAAAGTTCAAAGAAACTAAACTAATGTAAAGAATAAAGCTTCGCGTTCAGGTAATTAATTTGATCATTCAATTAAAGAGTTACTTAAAAAGGTAATGCCGAGTTAATATTAAGCAAACTGTACTTTTTGGATCCTTGTTACAGGTTTTCCTTTTAATTCTACTGTGGAAGAATATTAATTATCGTAGCAAGATTGGGAGTGTCACTTTAACTCCTGACGACGTATTTACTCGATCGTATAACAGTCTCCACTTATTTTATTTGTCCTTTATTTGAGGATTAAATTTGCCACGGCAACGATCGGAAGATTTTCTTTTATACAAAAGTTCTCTAGCAATTCAATACGCAGTTGATATATTTTAGTTGTCTTATCGTGGAAATTGATATCCACCTGTAGCGTAACCAAGTCCAACGCCACGTTGCGTATGTGTAGTGGCACGCGCAACTTCATACTGTTGTTCCATATTATTAAACATTTCTTCCTGCTTCTTCAAGATGTCCGGTTTTGCACCAGCTGGTGGAGCTGTGGGTAAATCGCCCTTTATGCCCATCAGCCTCTTAAATTTTGCTGTCACTTTACCATCCTGGTCATGAGTGAAGGTAGTGCCAACCCAAGTATTAGCCGTAGAAGCTGCGGTAGTTGTTTTTTTACCCTCATCAGATTTGGACTGGAGATTTGAAATAGGTTACGAACACGTTACATAGATTAAGATAATTTTAGCATATTACCTTATTTGCCCAGAGAAGTTTCCTCTTCTGTATCTGCTCAGCATATTTACCCTGTGTAGCTGTAGCCAGTGGATTATAGTAATTCGGTTCGCCTTGAACATTGGGAGTAACTGGATCACCCTCCGGAGCTTTCAGTTCAATACCCAATTTTTCTAGTTGTGCTAATTTATTCCTGCCCTTTTCTTCTCTATAGCTCATTGTTCTGAAAGGAAGTGGTGCACGATCTCTGGATCTTGATCTGGATCTCGTGCGATCCTTTTCCTTGTGATAACTCGAGCGTTCATCACGATGACGATCTTTAGTTCTATCATCGCGTACATATCTACGGTCCCTGTCTCTATCCCTACGTCTATCCCTTTCGTTTCTATCTCTATCACGATCCCTCCTGTCCTCTCGATGATGATGATCTTTGTCCGTCTTATCCCGGTCCTCGGTCTTGTCTTCACGGCAACTTCCTGAAGATGTCCGGTCGCTACGTCGTCTCTCGTCATCTCGTGACTTTCTCTCTTCGTCTCGCGGTTTCCTCGTGTCTTTACTATCTCTGTGATCAGGGTCTCGCTGCCTCCTCTCCTCGTTAGAAGATCTCCGTGATTTATCAGTGGAGTATTTAGCGCGGTCCGACCTTCTGTGATCATCCCGTGAACTCGTGGATGAATGATTCTCGTTATCCGTTCGCCTGTAAAATGATTACGTTCTGCAGGGGTATACCACACAGATTCGTATTATTAATTGGCTCGTTTAAATAATGGAACTAATTAGATAATTATATCGATATATGATATAGTACTGAATTTAATAAATCTTGTGAATACTTTTATCAAATTATATACCATATTGATATGAAACAAATAATAGTTTTTACGAGCGTCGATGAATACAAACCAGCCTACCTCTGGTCTGCAGGAGAGGAATATGTCCGTGAAGACTCTGTTCTGGAACTACTGGTCGGGATTCGTCCGGATGCTGGACTGTTAGTACGTTCGCTACCGGACTCCGGAGAAGAGTTGTTGTTATTGCTTTCCTAAAGAAATAAAAAAGGAAGGTTCTAGTGCAATCCTCCTCTTACTTTGTTTCATAGAGAAAATTTAGTTGATAAACTTTTGACTTTTCTGTCTCAAATAAAAAGAAAATGAATAAAAACAAAAGAGGATAATTTTTCTAATTAAATATTACATTCCCTACAGAGAGATGCGCACTCAATATTGTTAGAAGGTTTTCCGATTGATAAATCGGAAAATAATTAATTATTATTTTATAATCGTTAGTGAAAGATGATAATTGCTGGGACGTACCGCGTACTTGGGAGTATACGCTATTATAAAATATTTTACATTACTATCGATAATTTAAGCCTGAAATACATTTTATTCACTGACTAATTAGAAACTGTTAATTTATTAATGAATTGGCAAATTTGCCGCTGCAATTGGCTAATTTTTTTGCTACTGACAAATAATAAATATATATTTAGTATGTCCTGTTTCTTATCTGCTTGGAGCAATTAGTAATGACCTCTTCCTAATGGTTTATTTCTCGTATTGTTTTTCGTTTGGTTTTTTTTTTTTTATTAGCGTTACCTTCTGCCGGCTTCCTCTACTCACCTTTGTCTTCGGAATAGGACTTGGGGGTAGACTTGAAAGACCCTCGCACAGCATAGACCTTGCCGAGGTGCGTAGATATTGTATCATGTATTACCAACAGAGCTACGTGTTAATATTTTCTCACGAAATGGCACTAATCCCATTTACTTATTATTTAATTTTTATAATATCTCAATGCTAGCCTGATTTATCTCAGCTGGTCAAAAATGTTTTGAAGTCACGTCATGTACATATAGATTTAAAGTGAAAAACAAAATAATCTTTAAAAAATTAACAATATATCCATATGGGATATAATTGTTGCATATCTAAGACATTTGATATACACTGTAATTTTTAGCTTCTGCATGTAAATGTTGAATCAGAAACTCTATTTTATTTATAAGAGCAACTGAGTGATATATCCTGACGTGACCACATAAAACTTTTAATTACCAGCTTGGAGGCCCTGTCTTTACATACGGCATCCATGAGAAAACACCGTAGAATCGATTCAGTCTCTGTCTAATTGGATAGATCCCTAGCAATAAATGAAAATAAAAAAGAAATGGTTTGGGCCATGCATTATACCTGTACCTCACTCATGTCCATTTGAACTGGGTCATAATTAGCATCGCTGGCACGTCTGCTTGATATATCTCCTGTTTCTGGATACTGCATCTTAAGAAAGAAATGCATCTATTATTATACAAATGTCAAATATTCAAGTAGCCATACGTAAGATTACAAAGAAAAGAACATTGCATTTCTATTATATTTGCAGTAGTATATTACAATATGCAATTATCAATCTTCATGTTAGATGTATAACAACAAATATTTGTATAATGAAAAGGAAAAAAACCAATTTATTACTGAACTACTGCATTGTTTTGCAAGTAATACTATAAGTATTGTTTGACATTTTTTCACTTTTCCAAAATTAATACTCATTTCCTCATAAATGACGATTGTGTAACAATCAGTAGGTTTTATTACAGAATTTTTATTTATTGGAGTGTTGTAATTATTATGTATCGTCGCCACAACTATTTCAAATATGGACAATTTGTAAGATATCGCTCAAACGGCAGTGATAATAGATTTTACGTATCTGACATAAGAAATTCATAATCGTATGGTTTAAGATACAGTGAAAAAATTATTAAACCACTTCTTACAATAAGACGCGACAAACTATAAATTTTTTACTTGAAATATAGAAAGAAACTACTGAAATAGCCTATGAGTAAACATGTCTGACATTACGCTGAAAGTGAAGCTGTTGTTGCCAAGGAGTTTTGAAACTGGGCAACCATAGTATAACTTAGGAAAAAACCTACGTAGAATAAAAAAATATATGTATCTTTCGTAACTCACCTTCGAATCGTTGGAATTGTTGCTGTTCTCCCCGTCGCTCCCATAATTTGCTAGAGAGTCCATAATGCTGTACAGATGAGACGCGAAAAATGGAAGTCTTTAGCGTTTCGACCAGTTTCGACTAATGCAGGGGACGTCAACTCCCTTGATAGGAAAACGGCACTGACTGCAGCGCCTCTAGTTTAGAAACGTATAATAAAACTAGAAATCCAATATGGTTGACAGCGTCAGTAACTACGTTTAGACGACGGTCTTAAACCGGTTTAGTTAATACCATGTTAATACCACTGAACTCTAACCATACTGGAACGCATACACACCTCAGTGAAGTTAGCCGGGCAATTTTAAGTTTTTAACTTTTTATCATACCAAATCGATTGGTGGTCGTTTGGTGGTCATTGGTGGCCTAATAAAAACATTTGGTGGTCAGTCATTCTTTTATAATCAAATAATCAAATTTTGACCGTGAAGTTAGCCGAAATTTTTTTTTTTTAAACGAATTAAGTTTTTTAGGTGCTCAATCGATGCGTAATCGTTTGGTGGTAACGAATATCATAATTAAAATGTTTGGTGGTCGTTAGTTTTCGTAAAAAATTAAAGAAACGATTGCAGTGTCCAGCTTGACTGGATATGGGTGTAGGAACACACATTTACGGTCGATAAAACAGATATTTCTGAACAGATTCTCCCTTCGAAAGAAATAATCAATGTAAGAACGCTTGCCGATGATTGGTAGTCTAATTAAAACATTTGGTGGTCACCAATTAATGCACGAGATATGAAGAGTCATACCTCCGCTGCACGGCGAGCACCAAAGGCTGTGATTGGCTAAGAAATGGATATAGGGGTATCGTGTCGAAACACATTTTACGTGATAAAACTTATAATTCTAAACCGATTTTGCTCGGCATGGTCCCGTTCGAAGCAGAAACACTAGCCGACGATTGGTAGTCTAATTGAAACATTTGGTGGTCATCAATTAATGGAGCATAGCAACAATAAACATCATTGTAAGCAGCAATTGGCTTGATCTTATCGTCATATTACACCATACGCAGGGATGACAGCACATCCACATTCCAGTGCTAATACATAATTGTAATATGGTCCACTTGCAAAATTGCATTCTGATTGTGATACTAAAATTAAGCTGCAAACCTGGAAAAAAATAGTAGAAGACCATGTACTAGATCACGTATCACAAATAGTTATTGGCAATAGATGCCTCGGCTCCAAAATGTAAATGTATGATAAACACCAATGTACTTCATATATTCAGTAGATTTATTCAATCATGAAAAACCGTACAAGATCATGGTAATTCTCTTATGGAGACTTGTCTTTATTTGATTGATGACACTTGACACTGTGCTCTACACTGACTATGTTTTAAATACACTGAATTAATCACTTTCATTTTATTTCCCTATAAAACAGTAATAACGACGTTCAAAGAAAGGTCTGGGTATCAGGTACATAATGCGAAGTGAAAAGTTACTCCAAAAGCAAGTGCTATACGAAATTTATATAATGCTTGTACTCCAAAGTACTCCAAAAACACCCACATAGATTATTGATCTTACCAAATGCCATAAATGGTGGAACAAGTCAAACGATAAAGAAATGAATGTGTATTAATCCAAAACGGAGCATGAGGCGACACAGTAACGTAAGCGAAAGTCTCAGATTATTATTAAGAAGACTCCAGAGCGTCAATATCACCAGAAGTAAAATTCTGAGTACAGCGGAAACATCGCTAAGAAGGTGAACGCATTTTATTGGTCGAATGCCCCAAATCCATTTCTCAGCCAATCACAGCCTTTGGTGCTCGCCGTGCAGCGGAGGTATGACTCTTCATATCTCGTGCATTAATTGGTGACCACCAAATGTTTTAATTAGACTACCAACCATCGGCTAGCGTTCTTGCATTGATTAATTCTTTCGAAGGGAGAATCTGTTCAGAAATATCTGTTTTATCGACCGTAAATGTGTGTTCCTACACCCATATCCAGTCAAGCTGGACACTGCAATCGTTTCTTTAATTTTTTACGAAAACTATCGACCACCAAACATTTTAATTATGATATTCGTTACCACCAAACGATTACGCATCGATTGAGCACCTGAAAAACCTAATTCGTTTAAAAAAAAAAATTTCGGCTAACTTCACGGTCAAATTTAGATTATTTGATTATAAAAGAATGACTGACCACCAAATGTTTTTATTAGGCCACCAATGACCACCAAACGACCACCAATCGATTTGGTATGATAAAAAGTTAAAATTGCCCGGCTAATTTCACTGAGGTCAGTTTACCCCGTGATCAGCGACAATAGCCACGGGCAGCACCGCTGCTGTCAGCTGTGATCAATTGCCATTTGTACTATTCGTTGCTAATTATAGCTCAGTTTGAGCTGTGAGGTAGCTTTAAATTGCTTAAATTTTTCGATTATAATGCCGGCTCTCACGCGTTTTCAAAAGTATGCTATTACAGGCTTGGGAGCTGTAGGTGGTGCAGTATTATTTTATTATAATGTATATGGTAGCACCGACACTGCAAAAGTGTGTAATTCTTGGACAACCAATTTCTCGCCATCGGTTAAGTGGGACCACAACTGGGATAGGTTAGCACATGTTTAGTCAATACATTTGTTGATAACGTTTGAAATTATTTTTAATTTGTATTATTGTATGTGTTATTGAAACTTTCTTATAAGAAAACACTCTTAATTCTGCTATCTTTGTGAAATTTGAAAGAATTAGATGACCAATAATTGTTTCTTATTGTGTTTACAGACGGGATCCTAAAAGTTTAATAAAACCTGTGCAAATAAATGATGAAACAGCTGAAAATGATTACAATGAAAAACTTGAAACTAAAAAACCTAAAGTAATACGGCATCTGTTCCTTATTCGGCATGGCCAGTACAATACCGGAGGTAGAACTGATGTAGAAAGAATATTGACTGACCTTGGTAGGTATTTTTGAGGATATATTCCATCGTATATTCATTATGAGTGCACTTTTGTTAATATGTACAAAAAAATAGGTAGAAGACAAGCTGAAGCAACTGGAAAGCGCTTGGCCGAGTTAGGAATGCCTTATTCTCTTATTATTAGATCTACAATGGCAAGAGCCCAAGAGACTTCAAAGATCATTGAAAAAAGTATTTCAGATGTACCTGTTGAAGATGATAGTTTATTAATTGAGGGTGCTCCTATTCCTCCAGAACCATCAATTGGTCATTGGAAGTCAGAAAGATATGTACGCTTAAAATTCTCTGATTTATTAACAATATTATGACAGTCTTCACTAGTTTTTATATAACAATTTTTCTATTTCAGTTCTTTCAAGATGGCCCAAGAATAGAAGCTGCATTTAGAAAATATTTTCATAGAGCAGAACCTAGTCAAGAAAAAGATTCATATACAGTTATCGTTTGCCATGCCAATGTTATAAGATATTTTGTGTGCAGGTTGGTTAAACTTATTAATGCTAATCTTAGCAAATGAAGCAATATTTATATAACTGTTCAATATGTTATTTACAGAGCTTTACAATTTCCACCTGAAGCATGGATGCGTATCACTTTAAATCATGCAAGTATTACTTGGTTAAGTATATTACCAAGTGGCAGAGTATCTCTACGCTGCCTAGGGGATACAGGTCATATGTTACCTCGAAATATCACATCGAGTTAAGCTCAGTCAATATAACGATTGGTTATAATTCAGTAAATCACAGTTTATAAGCTGCGTGAAATTGGATTACCTAGCATGTGTTTGTTTATTATGTCATGAATCCACAGTAAAGAGTGTCAGCCTCATGAGTGCACAATGGTTACAGAAGATGTACTGGAGACAATGTACCTTTCATTTGACAGAATACACGAGGATTGGCCCTCGTTGACAATATCTCCTTAGTGATTTTTATAATAATTTCTCTTTTTTTTGGAACGTGAAGTATTTGTATGAAGTATAAGATATCATTCGAGGTTTTATACTGTATTAGTATTTTGTAATAATTGTATCCAGCGAATAAATCACCGTTAAATTTTACTATATTTTAAATAAGATTTGCATTTCACCCATAATCCACTCAACCGTAATTTTATTTTATTTTAGGAAAATGTGTTTTCGAATTTTTGTATTTGATGAAGCTGTAGTTACAATTTCCCCAATTGTAATTGGTTCTGTGGGCAATGGCAATAGCTGCAACTGCATAAATTCTCAATTGGTTTCAGTGGCTTATTGACGATCGAGCTGTAGAGCGTAATTTGTAAATGCATGAGTAATATGTTTCTTATTGACTTTAAAATCACTTTAAACCTTAGATAAAATTGAGAGCTTCTTCTGCATCAATGAAGTAGGGTATCAATAAAGTAACCTATTATGACATTAAGTTTTATCAGTCATCAGTACAATTTGTAAGAGGTTAAGAAATCGTATTATAAACATGGCTGATCGTTTGACACAACTGCAGGACACCATAAATCAGGTAATATGACAGGTTAACTTTACATAATTATATTATGGAAGGTATATTATATGCGCAATTTATCATTTACAAAATTTATTTTCATTTAGCAAGCAGAACATTTCTGCAACAGTGTTGGAATTCTACAGCAATATTCCACACCGAGTAAATTTCCTGGCTTTGATCGTATAGGAACACCACAGCCCCATCAGACCCAAGAAGGTAATATTTGAATTTAAAGAATTATTTTATAAAAGTAATTTATAATCAGATATCTAGTTTGACATTGCCTGTATGATTTAGATTATGCTGCACTGTTTGCAACGCTGATAGCAAGATGTGCCAAAGACATCGATACATTGATAGAAAGCCTTCCAAGTGAAGAATCCTCACAAGAACTCCAAGTAGCCAGTTTGAGTCGTCTTGAACAAGAAAATCAAGAAGCTGGAGAACAACTAGAAGAAATTGTAAGACAAGGTGAAGCACTGCTACAGAGAATCCAAGCAGCACTGCAAGATATTGCTCAGAGCCAATTAGATATGCAGAATCCTACAGCAACAGCAATAATTAATACAAATTTAAATCCTATAACCAATTTCAAACAAGAACCCCTAAGTTCCATGAATAACGTGCCTTCCACAAATTCTCATCAACTCCCTGATCCATCACCAAATTCCAATCAATAATCAATTTCAATTCAGTAATAAGCATCCTGTATAAAACTTAATTCTTAAATAAACAAGATTTTTTCCTGAATGTTTTGAATTTACCTTTAGTTCTAAAAATGATAAATTAGTGCTGGTTTAGTGTTCTTGATCATTTTTGTGCTATTATAAAATAAATATTTTGAAAGAGCCCCAGCACAAACATAGTTGTCTTACTTTTGAATGGTATATTAAAGAGAAAACACAGGACGATAATTTATCGTTTTTCGTTGGATTTTTATAAAATGTTTACATGGGTGAACGTGGGATAGAGTGGTGGAGAAGGGTAGTTTTATTTACAAGAAAATGAGTAGCGCCCATGAGTTGTGAGAATCAGGAGGATGTAGGAGATCATGATGAACTGTTTAATTAAGAGTACCCCGACATTGGGGAGCTCCACAGAGACAGGGAATTTTATCATCCTCCAACGGGAACTTGTAATCATATGTGATTTCTTCGTTCACGCCAATCGGTTGTTTACTGTAGATCACTATCTTCTTCTGGCTCTCAATGGTTATCACTTTCGCATAACAGTTAGGCTGTAAATCAAAGAAAGATAAAAAGAAAACAATTGTACAATTATTATCTTATGTCGCATATAGTTCCTGAAATGGTTCATGATTCTCAAGAAAAAATAATAAAACTTACGTTGCAGCTATGGTTGATGAATCTCGCCAAATTACCACACTTTGTCGCATCGATAATGGTGTCCAAGTCAATACGAAAGAGGTAGGAGCTTCCTATTCCTGTCGCTTCATATTGCGATTCTCTTAAATCAGCTACAACAGGCCTAACCATTTGCCCGACATATTCTATAACCATTTCGTCGGCTGCAATTGGCTCCATGGCGAATAAGCCCCAGTCGTGAATGCCGGACTTTGCGAATTTCAACTGTTTCTTCCGGAACTGAAGAGATAATAAGATCATTAACAAAGGATGCGAAATTTTCGTACTAGTTGTATTAGTATGGCGCATACCTTTAATTGATTGAATTTTAAAAGATCGCTGTCCGTATCAATTCCAAAGGCTGTTAATAAGCGACGCTGATTACTTCGTGCTTCGCGTGACAGAGCTTGCATTTTTCCGGTGAGAGCTTTAGAATTTGTTTTTGGTCCGTTCATAGTACCGTCAGCTCCTATATAAGAACCTCCGCTTTCTTCCACGTCATTGGTTCTTTGTATACTTAGAGTGTAATGATGCTACAGGCAGAAAATGATTGATTGATTATAAAGTATAAATTGTCGATAGATAATTTGATTGACTTAATGCATACCTTATGTTTGGCCTTTTCTCGTACATCGACCTTGTAGTAACCTTCCGTTCTAGCACTTCCGGTCACATGTAATCTGAGCTCGTCTCGTTTTCTTCTTTTGGCCGGACTAGGAATATCTGTTGCAGGATGATCCACCCAGTGAGTATCATTAAGCCAATAACCCTGAGTATCATCTGCGAGCAGAGCTTCGTAGCTTCTCCTGAGATATTCGACGTCTTCTGCGTCGATACCTCTGGTAAGGAATTCATAGAGTATTCCCATCTCCGACATAAGATCTCTCTCCTTGTATGCGATAGACTGTTCCTGAAACTTCCTGGGTGATTTTTCATATACAAAATCATTCTGTATATTTTCTTTCTCCCGTTCACGACTCTGGTGCGTATGCAGTTTCGAGTACTTGTTGTACTTCCTCTTGTTGCTTTTATCCGTCTTGTCTTTGATCCTCTCAGGCTTCAGCGGTTTCGGGGGTTTCGTTTTCACTGGGACTGGTTCAGGTTGTGGTGCAGATTCAACTAATGGTTCCGGAGCCGGTGGTAATGAGTACGAGTGTTCCATATAAACCTGCGAAGCCTGGGAACCAGGTGTACTCGGACTTCGTTGACCATTTAACCGAAGATCTGATTCAGCTTGGAATCTAAGGCAATGACGATATTCAATCAGATTTTTTATCCGTGGTACGATTTTTAATAATGTAATTGTTAATGAAGATTTGTTCACATACCTTAACCTTCTGATCTCAAGACTCTCCTCTTCCGAATCCGTGGTCGGTATCTCGCTGAACATTTCAATTTTTTCCGACTCTTTGAGGATGGGCTCATCATTGATGTACTTCGTAGACATAGTTTGAAGGGCTCTGATGATATTAGGCTGGATAGGTCCAGGACTTTTATGCCTGATAATGTTGTCCTGTCCAGCTAAAGTCATAAGAGCCTCAGCAGCTGAACTCTCCATCTTTTGAATATCGTGCGGTTCACCTTTGCCCATTGTCATCAGCAAGTTCTCTGTCTTCATAATCTTTGACGTTTCCTCTGAAGATTTTATCTTGTCCAGATCCATGTCCGGCGTCTTGTTATTTTCGAGTTTCACTTCCAATTCTGTCAGTCCTGTTCTTAATGAACGTCCGTCCCTGATATCTTGAATAGTTACAGGCGATAATAACGGGCTAGCCTCGTTATCATACTGCGGGAAGTCATTCGTGTCCGGATCCTGAATCTTCAGATCAGGAACAGGCGTTTCACGACCAGTAGGTGTTGGGCAATCCAGTGATCTCTGAATAGCGAATTCCATAAGGATATCAGGATCCTCGGAATTACATGCTAGAGGTCGATCATCAGGTACATGAACGTCGGAGTCCTGATATAAGAATAAATAAACAATTATGTTTTTAATAATTGTACTACAATTCCAAATGTCATTTTGGTTGTCCGTCTGCATGAAGGCAGACAAAGTAGAACTTATTAAAAGTGAATATAACTTTTAAATCTACCTCATCCTGCGAAATGCTGGAGCTGTCCTCGTCATCAGAACTTTCACTTGAACTACTTGTCGATTCGCTACTAGATTCCACACTGGAACTCTCATTAGACGACGAAGAGGATGACGACGATGAAGCACTAGGAAGTGATCTTTTAACCTTTTGAACAAGTGGCAAGTCTATATCACTGCCACTCTCAATAGGTTCGGTATCGACACGATCCGATTGACGACTGTCCTCATCTTGTGGTAATGGACTGGGCGCTTTGATTTTGCGCTGGTAAAATAATTACGTTATAGTTTAAATCTTTGTAAATTATTGACAATGCATTAAAGCGATTTTTAAACAAAAAATATGCTGCAATATTTACTTACTCTGAACGATGGCATTTTTGGCATACTGGCTCTAATACCTAAACCAAAACCTTCATACTTCAGTCCCAGAGGAGTGGCCTGTTCCAAAAGTGACGAAAGTCCTTGGGGTTTAGGAGTTTCGTCCTTGACGGCATTATTAACAACAGTTTCTCCACCGGTGGTTTGATTCTTTTCTGATTTCTTCTCGTCCCACCATACTTCGAATAATTTGAAGGCAGTATTTTCTACCATTTTCTTGTTAAAGTCTTTCTTTAGTATCTGCTTGAGCTCATTGACGACCCTGTTTAATACCCCATTAATGGTAGGGCCCTGAACAAAATAATGTTATACTCTATTAAAGCTTTAATATATCATAGGTGGAACCGGACAATAATGCTATACATTGTGCAATAAGAAAGCTTTTTACAGGCTGTCTTCTTAAAACTGTGGTAAGGGTATTCACCTGTGGTTTATCTTTTGCAATGCTGTGATTCGCTATTGCTTGTAATCTAGATTGAAGAGTTGGATAATATCCAGGTCCCTGAGGAGTCCCCACGGCACCAGGTACAGCTGAAGCCGTCGGCTGATAATGGTTGGGTAAATAAGCCGCTCCATAAGGATAAGGATATTGCGCAGGTCGGGGCCAATTGTATACATCCGTGTGTGGATAATGAGCCAATTGTCCAGGATAACCAGCTCCTGGGTACAACTGATTCGCAGGCTCTGTTTGCGCCACCACCTGAAGAAATGATGATATAGGTGATAGTATTCAAGGTTCCAGTGAAAATCAAGTAACAGTTTCATCCTTACTTCCTCAATTTTCTCATCCCCAGAACTCAAAGGACTTAAGGACATTCTATCGTCATCTGGTGGAGGAGGTGGTGGTGGTTCCTTCGGTGGTTCTGGTTCAGCATCATCCAGAGCAGGACTATAACTGCCTAACAATGCTTCATCCTCACTAGAACTTATAACGCTACCCAAGTCCTCGTCAACGGAGAACTGATTAACATTGTTCTCGTGTACTTTCCGTCTTTCTTTGCTGCGCTCTGTCATCTTTTCAAAGCAAGACTTGTATATCTCAATAGAGAGAAAGGGACTAGGTGGCTCCGAGAGCATCTCCTCCTCGGCGAGTTGTGACTTCTTATCATCTTCAGAATCGCTACCGAATTGTAGAAACGGCGGAGCCATACCTCCAGCCTTGTCCTTCAAGAGCATCGCAATCCTGGTATCCAGATCCAAGGTTTTTCGAGATTCCACAGGAGAATCGCGCAACGAGTTCTTTATTGGCACCTGATTCTCCTCTTTCTTTTTGGGCGTTTGATGCTGTGATTTTGTACTGGAAGCCTTGGTAACGGGTAACAAGCTAGGACTCTCCAGATTAGGTCCGTGCGATGCCGGCCAGACAGCTGGTGGTGGGTAACCAGGAGGTGGGCCGGAATTCGTTCCCCACCACATATTAGAATTTTGTGGAAGGGATAAATTTTGGGAAACCCCTTGGGGTAGATTAGTCATGTAACTGTTCGGAGGCTGATGGTGGTAACCAGGGTAGTAGTAATCGTAATTAGTTGCTGGTGTAGAATTTTGAGAGTAATTACTGGAATAATTCAGTTCACTTGGTGCGGTACCATAACCGAGATCACTTCCGGTACTACCACTAGGTGTAGGATAATCACGAAATTTATTAAACCTTGAATTCTCTATGTATGGTTCTCTGGATTTCTCCAAACCAGAAACAGTCTTTTTACTGACCCTATATTCTTCACGCTCTTCCGGTGGATTTTTTTCTATTGGTGTTTGTTTTTCCTGGTCGCTTTCTGGCTTCACTTCCTTTTCAATCTTCTTCTCAGGCTTTTTCTCTATTGTAAGGTCTTCATAAATTTTTTTGCACTCCTCGCCAAATGCATCTAAGAAAACTCGCAGGACTTTACCCATAACAGATGTATTGTTAAGTTTCTCCACACAGGCTTTTGAAGCCTTTGTTGTTTCAAAAACGACTCTGGCTATTCCCAGATGTTTATTTGTCAGTGGATGATAATAAATAGTTAGTTCCTCAATTGTACCAAATTTTTGAACCATGTCTGTTAAGAAAGTTCTGTCGATGTTATCATTCAAGTGACAAAATGTCACCTCAAGGGGCGGAGGTTCACCACAATAATTTGAATCAATCTTGAACCGAGGCACGGGTAGGTCGAGTTGCTCCAGTCTAGTCCAGATTCGGGTGAGTTGAGATCGAGGATCGCGAAGCTGCACCAAGGGATAAGTAGGATCTCCTGGTACAGCACCATCATAACGATAGAGCTTTGTTGCTCCCTTTACTAAGAATGGATCAACGAGTAGTTTGTAGTTCCTGAGCTTCTGAGAGGTCTGCCCAGCCACCGATTCTTTCTGTGAATGTGTAGCATGGCTATGGCTATGTTTTGTGGGCTGACTTGAGTTCTGTGATGTGCTTTGAGAATTTCCATGGGACGAATGATGATGGTGATGGTGGTGATGGTGGTGGGAGTGTGTATGTGAATGTCCATGACCATGTCCATGTCTCTCCATACCGTTCATTGCCTCCAGGCATCATCCATTCAATCAAAATTCTAATATCTAACACTAATCGAAGATCAACATTAAATACAATAACTGATGTTGAAAAATTGTAGATACACTTCTGTTTTGAAAACCACAGTAGAGATGATTCTTGGGTTATATTTACCAATTATTATTTTTAATCACAAATTAATTGGATATTAATTTATAACTGGTATTAAAGCATTTCATAATGAAGAAAAACAACACTCTGCTACAGTCTTATGAGAGATATTTAGAACTTTTTGTTTTGTGTTCCTTTTTATTGTTGTTTTTAAATAATGCACTGTACATGTTTATTAAATGGTCAGAGATGCACTGCACAATTGCACATACCGTGTAAATGTTATAAGCAACTTAATTTTTTTAATTGATGTAAGAGTTTAAAGATTCACTGAAGAACATCACTTGGGGTGCTTTGTAAAAATTATCGTAACAAACTATTTACGCGATTACAAAAGATGGATATAAAGAATAATTAAACATTAAATTTAAACGGAATAGGGAAAATACGAACGTAATTTAGGAACTTTACAAAGGTAATTCTCAGTTAGATAGATGTTTAATAATCTTCAATATAACACGAGGTAACGACTGCTTTAAGTTGTTATTTCAATATTGCAATCCAAAAGAACAAATAGAGTATCAAACATTCCCGTCCATCGATATTTTTATTATCTCATCATGAATGATTATTAAAATTTGGGACAAGAGCTCGTAAAGTCCAGATGAGCATAACATAACCTCAAAATGTAGTCAAGTGTATAATACCGAGTCCCATTAGATGGTTTGACCTAGAGGAGATATACGTTCGAAAATCTCTTCGTGGACAGTTTCTTTGGTATTCACTCTCTAGGAATCCAAAAAAGATGTAACTATCATTAGTGCAAACCCAACCTTGAAGACTCATTCAGATAGGGCTCCTTTTTTCTTCAGTTCTCATTTCTCTTCGCTCGTTCTCACCGTAGTTCCTAATATTATTAACACTTGGCCCTTCTCTCGGTATCCAATGCAAATGTTTCTGATCTCCGGATGATCCTCTTTGCCGCGAAAAGTCTCGTTTTATCGGCGCAATCTTTAGGACACGCCAGCGCAAAAGCACCTCAAAGTTTGACTGTCCACACGACGCGCCGCGCTCGGCTACTCGGTGTATTTTCTCAGGCACAAATGAGCTTAGCACTGGCTGCCGAATGATTTTACACGTTGAGCTAATTCTTATTCAGTGACAGACGATGAGGTCATGATTATCAGATGGCAATAAGTTGTAAGTTAAGAAAGCGAAAGAACTGATTTCATGGCACTTTGGTGTGACGCCATCCTTCTAGCGAGGAACCGTGGTGCCCGTCGCACCAACCCCCTTTTTTTAATCAGGAATCATGATACGGCCATTTCCGCAACTCGAGATCTAGGAAGCTTTCCACACCAGGTCCCATGTTGTTGTAGATCTGATCGGAAAGGCTTCCCGTGGCAAATGCAACGCGGATGCGATTTTTTCCAAATGGGAATAAAGGCCGCCGTCCAAGACACGTTGCGTCTTTAACGCTCCTCGTAGACGACGTACGACGTCCACGAGAGGCTGAACAATGTCCCACGTGAAATACCTGAGTGCTCTCTGCGGTGTTGGCATTCTCTGATATAGCCAGGTGCATCTGCATAGACAATTTGAAAAAATTTCTTGTGGATAATTATTAAAAAAAAACTTGCCGTCCCGATGATGAATGGCATTAATCTGCGCATTGGTCAATTGCGTCCTAGGGGAACTTTTAAATGTCCCATCAGCAAATCAGTTAACACGCTTGAGAAGAAAGTAACGCTGTTTCACATGCGCGGACCTGTCGTCTGCAGCTGCAAGGCATACGATCCTTCAGGCTTGAAATCCATCTGATTTTAATCCTTGAAGATGTACTATTTTTAATTGAAAATTAATATTGTACCTGTAGCTGCGCCCGTTTTTTGTACGATCTATCATTCACACTCATCATTATGTTTTATCTTCTGTATTGTTGGCTGCCGCAGTCCATTTAGCTATTTAAAAAATGTTTCAAAAATATTAAAAATGCACTTCTGTTAATACTAAAGTTAAGACTGATGCTGGAGAGAAAAAACGTAGTTTACGCCTTGTAATTCCCTATTAATACATCATTTATGTGTGCACATATATGTACATCTACAAAAGCATGTATAGCATATAGTGTGTTTTCCGGCCTTATTCTCTAGATAGTCTAGAACGATCGTAGCCATTTGCAATTCAGAGTCGGTAGGTACATCATTACATTGAGGTTGAAAAATTATATTGTTAACTTGCCTCTAGTTAGTCTTTCAATTCTGTGAGATATTTGAATGAACAAACAATTATTTTAGGAAAAAATGTCGCTTCTCCAGGGCTTCTTCAATCGCTTCGTACCCAGTGTTAAGGCGGACGACGAGGAACCTGAATTGGTCGATCCTCAAAAAGTGCTTCGTGTAAGTTTTTTCACCATCAATATTATATAATAAAAATATAGATTAAGCTGGACACTTGTTTAGAATTTTGTTCATGAGTACATGAATTTTTTGATTTTTTTTATGTCAGCTTAGTGTTGGTTTTATCGATTTTCGATGTGTAACCATTTTTTCCCAATGTTATTACATAAAACTAGAGTGACATGTGATGAAAATGATATAATTTTTTAAATCGTTATTTATGTTGTATATTGGAAAATTGTTATTTCTTTGATATAGGAGAAATGCGCACAGCAGCCAAGTTGTGTTAGTCTTCAGGAGAAGCTTAATACATGTAATGATCGTGTAAATTCAAGAACCCAAACAGCCGAAACCTGCTTGGAGGAGTTGTTTGACTATGTACACTGTGTGGATCATTGCGCTGCCAAGACACTCTTTAGCAAACTGAAATAAATTAATTGTTTGGCAATTGGTTACTAGATCTTGAATTAAGTATTCATAGTTCGATCTGCCATGATGTATATAAGATTTGAAATTAGAAATAAATAAGATAAAATCAAGAGTACAATTTCGTTTAATAAAATATACTTATCGTAGTATGCATATAATAGCAATCTTATTTTGACAAGTTTTTCATTGTGCAATGAAATATTCTTTATTTCAATTCTTCTTATTAATCTAACCTTACATAGATTTAATATAGTAAATAATCTCCATATTGAAATGACATGCTTTAAGTTATAAACTTTGATTTGTTCGAGTCTCCTGCTATTCCGTACCAACTTGTAGTACGTCAAAGCACACCGCGCATACGCGCACTGGTTTATCTTGGCCAAATTTTAATATCGGAACATCTTGACTGGAACATTTACTGCACAAGATTCTTCCGCAATGACGACTGTAAGTTGATTATAAAAAAGTTACATCTCATGTAAACTTAAAAAAATTCTACTACCATGCTCACCAATGATGTTTACGCATTGTCAATGTGAATTTTGTACCACACTCTAGACAAAGGTCCTTTTCCGCCCATGGAGCCTCTTGTGTTAAAGAGTCCAACAGTCTAAAGAGTAACTGCTTGGTTGCAACCTGATAGTTGAATATCGTTATACCATCTTTATTCATGTATCCAAGGCAGGCACCAGATTTTACAAGTGTTCGACATAGATTACCATTGCCTTTCATGTACGCTATCAGCAATGGGGTGTTGCCATCCAAATCTGAAGACAAACTCGATTAATCTTCAAATGTCTGAGATATATGTATAACTAAATAAATTTTTGTCACTAACCAGGGTTGTTTAGTGGATATTGAGGCATACACTCCAAAAACAATTCACATATCGTTGCAGCATTATCTCTACCATACCGTGCTAGTTCATGCAAGGGATTTCGACCTTTGAGATTTACAGTTTCAGCATCTAGGGTACACTCAGTCAACAAGGCTCTGACTACGGCAACATGTCCTTCTCTTACAGTAACATGTAATGCGTTATCACCGTCAGCATTCACCGCATCGAAATTAATATTATTCTGTATGTACAATAAATTTTATAGATTATCACCGCACGAATTTCATATATTCATTGACGGGAACAATACCTGGAGTAATGCGGATACTACAGAAGCTTGACCAGCCTTGGCTGCTGCATGTAACGCAGTGTTCCTGTGTGCATCGGTCTCATTGATGCGCGCACCAGCTAAAATCAAACTCCTTACAAGCATCTCGTTCCCTGAAACTGCTGCAAGGTGTAGCGGTGTTGTTTGAGTTACGTCCTGTACTCTAGAATTTACGTTGACCTAACAATAAAAACAATTAACGTATTAAGAACGTATGAAAGTGATTCACTTTGAGTGAATTGGGTTTGTGACATTAAAGTACCTGTATGGACAGCAGGAAGAGTACACTTTCAAGGTCACCTTTTTGAATGGCCATGTGCAAGAAATTTCTTCCTTTATTGTCGAATTGCTCTGCTGCTGTAGGTAACCTTTCTAGGATAGCTTGAGCAGCTTTGTGATTTCGTACAGTTAAAGCAGTTGCGAATGGACTCATGCCTCTCTTGTCTCTCAATGATAGATCTATATTAGGATGACACAGTAGCAAAGATATTATCTGAGCGTGCTGATTTTGTATGGCTACATGGACTGGAGTTTTTCCCTCGGAATCGCGTGCATTTACGTTAGCTCCGTGCTCCACAAGCGTTTGGACGACTTGCTCAAGTCCCCACTGACAGCACAGGTGTAGTGGGGTGCAATTGTCTCTGGCTTCCTCGCCACCTGAGCCATCCGGACCAGGACGCCGTGGTGTGTTGAGAGAACAACCACTGAAAAAATGCAATAAAATAATAACCTCCATTGCTTAATGAGATTCCAATAACGTTGAAATCTTTTAATACAAAATTTACCTTCTAATGAGGAATTGAGCAATGTCCTCCTTATTATCATCTATGGCTCGATGAAGAAGAGTCTGTTGAGAACCATCAGGACCTGGACCCCAGCAATCAGTATCAGCACCGTGCGCAACTAAAATAGAAGCTGTATCTTCCTGATCCGAGTCTAGGGCATCCCAGAGTGGACAACCTATTGAAGTGTCAACCCCTCGTCTACAGAGAGCTTCTACGACTTCGCCAAGTCTGCAGTGCACACACAGTTGTAATGGCGTTTCTCCGTCAGCCGTTCTATAAAACAGGTATATCACAATATACCACTGCTGTTATTTAATTTTGTTGACGATATTATATAAGGTTAAGTAAATAATGGCACATACTTCGCATTCATATTAGCACCATTTTCCAGCAGGAAAATAGCAGTGGCCGAATCCTCCTTTAAAATTGCCTGGTGTAACAAAGTCAGACCTTTCTCATTGCACTGATTAATATTGGCGCCTGCCTTTATCAGGGCTGCCACTATTTCACGGCCCTTCTTTAAAGGCGCTTTAATTGCAAGACTGAGAGAAGTCTCGCCACTGTAATCCTTTAGATTCAATTGTACGTCTGAGTCATCTGAATCCAATAACGCCAGTACGACACCCAAGTGTTGATTTGATACAGCTAAATGAATGGGGGCTTCTCCACCGGAAACTGTCACCACGGTCGTGGGTGCACCATGCTTCAGTAACATTCTAGTGAGTTCAACTAAACCAGCTTTACAAGCTTCATGAAGTACAGTGTATCCTTCGGAGTTGGCTTTGGCAAGATTGCTCTTTGAGTGCTGGATCAAAAAAAGTGCTGCATCTTCACGTGCTTCTCTGGCTAGTATATGCAGGAGAGTATCGCCAGTAGTTGTGTAGAGAGGATTGCCAATGGCACCTTTCGCCAAAAGTTTCTCAGCATAGGACTTTAAGAAAGGATCAATATTCAGAGCGAAGCACAATGGTGTATGACCGTCATTTGTTGCCTTGTCTAAACATATGTTGGGCGAATTCAACAGCAGATCAAAAAGCCGTTCATTATTTTCTGAAATGCTACTGTGTAGCGCTGTCCTAAAAATCATTTGAATAAAACATATTCAATCAGATACGTGTATGTAATAAAAGTAGAAAAATCGATCGTTCATGAAAACTACCATCCTCTGTGATCCTGTATGTTCGGATCAATGCCAGCCTGAATTAATCTGGATGCAACGGAAGTCATATCCTCTGTATCATGATTGGCTATTAGATGCAGTGCAGTACATCCTTCAAATTCTTTTATATCCTCAATGTCTTTGTTGTTATCCAAAAATTGAATTGGATGGGAGAGTTTTTCCGCGTTACCACTATTCTCCAACTGCTCTATAATGAATTCTGCAGAATAGGAATCGCCTTTCAAAATTGCTGATTGGAGTAATGTGAGTCCACGTGCATCCCTGGCACACACGTTCGCTTGATGCTCAATAAGGGTGCGAGCTAAGGAGGGTTGTCGTGCCTTCAGGGCAACTTCCAGTGCCCTTTCACCTTTCGAATCAACTGCATTCACGGATTTTGATAGCTGAAAATCGTACAATGTCTTTAGACTGCCAGTAACGTTAAAACTCCTAATTTTACTAAACGTATCCCTAGTTGATTTTTGTATAGATGTCTAACAAGGAAAGTAATCGAAGTTCCCCCCGATTTTGCTGAAACTTGATAGGTAAATAGATTGCCTCGAGACACGAAAAGTGTTCATAAAATTATCGGCCCATATTCGGTTCTGCGGGGTGAAACACTCTTACATAGGTGCGAGGCGATTTTCCCATCAGATCGACTATTGCGGAAAATATGCGCAATACAAAAAAATTCTTTCTACAAAAGTTTCATGTTTTCGAACGTACTTTTTTCAGATGACGTTATCAAAAACTTTTTTAACATTTTTTATAAGTTGATAATTACCTCTACAATACTTATTTTCGGAATTCGAGTGTGCAAAATCGCATTTTGAATCCAAATATATATGATATACCATCGCTTTACATCGTTTTTCTCTGAAAGTATTGGGTGACTCTCTTTCAACATGATTAATTGGAGTTTCTTGATATGGCAAAACGCTGAACATAGCTAGCCGAACGTTAAGCACGTTTATTGGATTAACTTGCACCATAGCAAATGTCCGAAATAAACAACAAAATTATACGTTCCCTGAAACTGCGTTCGGATACAACAAATATGTCGTACGGTGTATGTACGTTGTACTGAGGAGGCTAGTTGGAACGTCAATTGATTTTAAGAATAAAATACGCCGCATTGTCTGTAATCGACTACAATGAATCAAGCCTGTGGATATGCTTGTATTTAAGTGTACTTTGTTTTCTCTGGAGATTATTTTTAAACACACTTCTTATTTTGCTGATTTTATTATAGTTATATACATAAACTCCTGCAGATATGCGCGAATGAGGTGAGATTTGTTTTTATCATGTGTGCAACAAATCCCCTACTACTTTCAGGGGAAAACGATGTAAAGTGATGGTTTATCATATATATTTGGATTCAGAATGTGATTTTTGACATTTCGAGTTCTTACAATGAAACTTTTGTAGAAAGAAATTTTTTTTGTATTTCGCATACTTTCCGCGGTAATCGATCTGATACAAAAGCCGTTTTTTACCTATGTAAGGGGGTATTTCACCCCGTAGAAACGAATATGGGCCGCTAATGTTGTTTTTATTAATGAGCATCATTTTCATGTCTCGAGGCACTCTATTTACCTACCGAGGTGTAACAAAATTGGGGGATAGGGGCCTCGGGTACTTTTCTTGTAAGTACGTGTCAATGTTATTTTTTATTCTCTTTCGGAATAATTCCCTCGGATTTCTGAATGCGTACGGCCCTGAAGAGGCGTGGAAATGTGCTACTTGTTTCTTTGGAAGGGGAGATGACGTGGCGCGGAATATAGCTGCACGTTGACCATGGGCAGCTTTCGATGAAAGAATCAGCAGTTTCCTACTGAATCTCTAAACCACACAATTTTATCTTGCCCGTGAAGTGATTATTCAGGCAAGCTTTTACGCCGGCATGTTCGAGCTGGTACGCGTAGACACAGGATCCATTAAAGAGACATTTCAGAATATTGAAACGAGCCACTAGATGCTTCGTCATAAGTAGGCTACAGTGCGCGACATTTCCAAAACTATTTTCTGCGAGTATTAGGGGAATTGGAATTCAGTAAAAAAAAATAACTGTGAACTTCGTAAAAAATGTTCGAAAATCGTGAATCTGTGTAATTCTATCATATTAAGTATTAAATGAACTATAAACTTGTAATTCAACGAAGGTTAATCACTTGACTAAATTTTTCTGACTTTTCAAATTCAAATAATTTGTTTTCTTCCGCGCACGTAAGCTTCGCGACCTGTGTACGTTTGAAAATGCGTCATGAAGTAAGCTTTCAAACCATCAAAGTATATTGGAATTATCATATCTTTCTAAGATGACGATTAACATCTACGTAAAAAATAAACCTATCAATACGTTCTCCTGACAGTGATTTATGTAATAGGTATCGTATTTTTCAAACTGTTTTTAAATAATGTATGGATACCTTGGAAATGCAAATGTTAAATGAGTAATCAATTCAACGAATGCTTATATATCACAAGTCTGTAAATACGAGGAAACTTTATGCTTCCATAGGAAACGACGTAGATAAAAAAAGGAAACCGAAAATCAGCGTCCCGTTATCTAACGACTACCACACCAACTGGGCTTCACATTATTATTCGACTGTTAGCGGCTGATCAAATAAATTTGACAATTTATATTCATATAGCATTTTATCGAGGGGCCAATTATGGTTTAATAATGTCACGCGCAACAAATATTTTTCTAGAACCGAGTGTGAGTAAGTCCTATGCGTTGTCGTGTATTATATAGAAATACAATGGCGCCAAGAAATCCAGTCAGAATATTCATCCACGCTCTGTTACTCTTTCCATGTACGTATCCATTTCAGAAAAATATTGTAAAATAGAATGAGTTATCGCAAAAAACTTTGAATTTTGCCTGTACTGCAGAAATCTATTGTTTAATATTTTTCTTTTATAGATTTTACGTGGATAAATGCCGAAGGAATATATTGTTTCAAATGTACAATTACACCACCGGGAAGCAGAAGTGAGGAACCGAATCAGCTTTGTTCTCAGTTTGACGAGAGTTCAAGATTCAGGATTTACTGTCCGAAATCAACTCTCTGTGCCAAGAGGGCCTTTTATTTGACATTGAACAATGGAAGTAAGTCCTTATCGATTTACAATTTATTGCCGTTGCCACGCAGTAGATAGAATTCATTCTTTTCACTTTTTCTTATAGCTACAATAACGACTGTCGAACGTGGCTGTGCAATGCAGAGGGAGCACTTTCAAGTTTACGACACCGATAAGCAACAGTGGCAAACTAAGGAGAAAATTGTAACAACTCCATACGATGAGCGCTGCTTTTTTGATAAGGCAGGGGAAACACGCTACGCACCAGCAGAATATTGTTTCTGCAGTTATCATTTCTGTAATGGATCACAGTCAATGAAGAGATTGCAGACATTTAGTTCCGTTCAATTATTACTTTTAGTGACAATATGTTTTATGCAATTCTAATTGTAAATTACTTAAGACAAGATTCATTGTTGAGCTTGTCAATTTTCGAGATTCTAGAATTTATCTTTAAGAAGTCATACATGATTAATGTGAACAAAGTTGTCTAGCTGATAATATTCAATGGTAGGTAACTAAAGACACGAAAATTTTTGAGAATGGAGGTACTTTCATACGCTTGCACGCCCGGACCTAGGTGTTTAAACGTATTTTAAAGTTGAGACAAATTACTTATATTAACGTGTAAGTAATCAAGTGAGCTGTGACTTATTATTGTTATGACTTATATAATTATCATTATAATGTGTAAGCTATATGAGAAATAGTGGTATGAAAGAAATTGTAATTCAGGACTGAATACTCGATAGGAGATGCATTGTCATAGGGATGATGTGTAGGCGTAACGTGTACTAGAAAAAATTCCAACAGTACTATTGAGCACTGTTCAAGTGATTTCTAAATTTATGGATATTACTGGGAAAACTATTGCAAATGGAGAAGAAAGTATTATGAGTGATTAATGATTTTTGTATGGATAGGGATGACGGATTTTTAGATATTAAATGCATGTATTTAATATATTATTAAATTTGATAAAGTATTTACCTCAGCATTGTGCTCTACCAAATATAAGAAGACCACATCCTCTCGAATAAGGCGAACTGCAGAGTGTAATGGGTATTCGCTTTTAGTTTTTAGTAATTGATATAAAAGAGTGCCTGGCATTTCTTTAAAATCCTCTCCAGTTAAGTCTTCCTGCGAAGAGAATTAAAATATTCAGACTTTGTAAGCATTTGAATTGTTCATTTATTTTAATGATAACTTACCCAATGTGTTGATATAAGAGAGCTACAGTGATCTCGCAAATTCGTTGTACCCAATTCTTCGGCTGCTGTGTAGAAACGGACGCAATCTTGCAAGCTCGTTATACCTATAAGATACTTTTCACATTGTTCAACTAAATCTAATAACTGGAAGCTAGTAGCTGCCCTCATTAACTCGAGAGACAGGTTCTCCTGCTTGACTGTACTTGTATATATCCATTTGAGTAATGCAAATCCAACTACACAATCCAGATGACTCCAATCTGAAATTATTTCAATAAGTGATACAAATATAATTTAATCAAAATAGAGGAATTTAAAAAAAATTAACATACCAAGCATTGTCATGTTGGATATGGCAGAGTCATTCCAAATATCACTACGAGCAGCAAGTATAAATTTATGTGCCGGTATTTCTTGATTGGATAGTTTAATAATAATATCACTGAAAAAAATAATTTATTTACAAATATAATGTAAACTAAGAATTTCTAAATTGCAAATACATAAACATACCTATACCGTTGTTGTCCATGCAATGACGCTATGGTAGCCAATAACCTCCCAATAAATCCAGATTCCTTAGAAGCTGCTGTTGCAATAGCATATTTTTGTTGAAGTTCTGCGTTTGCAGCATATAACTTCACATACTGCTCTCTAAGCAAAGACAAATGTTGTCCTTTCTGGGATTCTACTGCATCCCCTGTAAGTTTAATACTCTGTAATACATTCAGTATTTATACTTTTACATAGAATGTCTCATAGGATAACAAAGAACTTACCCATGATTGCAAAAACGAAACTCTTTGTCGGCGTACGTCAACAAATGTACTGAAATACAGAAAAAAAATATTGCATGACAGGTTTTTTCTGACAGTACACTAACTGCAGTATTTTCTTTTAACTTATATTCCCAGAAAAAACTCGTCGAAAACTGGACGATACATAAAGTTAATGTTTCGAATACAATCTGTATTGTCAGTTTATATAATAAAATATTAAATATTTAATTAACAATAAATACGCCCCTACAATTAAACATATCTTCACCTGGCACTTGTTTCACTGATAAAATCGTTGGCACACATAAATAACGAAATTCCCTAAATATAATAAATTGTTTCATTTGCTTAGTCGGTATAACAGTTACTAAGTTACCGATGAAAATTTCTATCGATTGTGTCCGTAAAGATAGTACTGTAAACGTTATCTAATTAACAATGCGAAAGCTTACTTTAGTTAAACAGTTCTATAAATTACAACTTTTGATAGACAAAGTATATTAAAGTCCACAGCTGCTTATTTACGTTATTAATTAAGTCATAACATTTTTATAATTTTCTATATACTCCATTGTATCTATACATTCTAAGTACCAAATACGTATGAGAGTATTGATACAGTCGATAAGAGAACATGCAGGCATTTAGTGGAAATTTTTCGATGGAACGACGTTGGCATTATTGAGCACGCGTGAGGCCGGAGCACCGGGCAGTTGTACGAAAATGGCGGCTTTACGGCGAGTGTTTTGAAAAGTATCTGTTCGTATTTCGGGCGTTAATAATTCGCCAATATGGACATCTCGAGTATGCTCGAGGTTGAAGTGAAGGAGGTGAAGGAGGCAGAAAGTAAAGAAAACGGTGAGCATCATTTAGTTGTGGTTGCCTCTATAACAACTCATTCTCTGATCTAACCTACATAATTCTATAGTGACACCCGGAGCAGTCGTTCCTTCGAGTGCCTGCATCCCACCCACCATTTCTCAGGAGGAGAGCGATTTTTACAAATTACTGTTTGGCAATGGTACGCACATTTCTGCAAAGAATTTGTGGATTTTATATTAGCCTTTTTCATATCAGCTGTAAATAAGAGCATCCTGTACTCGTTTTCCCTCTTGATTCATTTGATCTCATTACTACACACTACTGTCCTCAAATTTATTTTCTTGCTATTTTTTTAGATATAGCTTCAGTGCGATTTCGCAGGCTTCATTGTACTGCTTGTGACATTCATATTGGTTCAGCACCAGCTAGGGCTTGTGACATGTTTGAACATCCGGTATTGCGTACTTTACTTTGTGCAAAATGTCGCCAGTTTTACGGTGATGGAACTTTTGAGCAAGGTATGTAATATTTTGTATATCTTGAAAAGAAATTTCTAATGTTATACCTTTGTTTTATAGGAGAGGATGCAACAGATATGTTTTGTAGATGGTGTGCTAATGGTGGAAATCTTTATTGCTGCTCGTATTGTAGTAATACATTCTGTTATAAATGTATAAAGCGTAACTTCAATTCCTCAGTAAGAAGGAATATTGAAGCAGATGAAAAGTGGAAATGTTTTGTGTGTGATCCTCTGGATCTTTATACATCAAGAGCAGTGTGTTGGGCTTTATTACAGCACGTTCAAACGGTTACGCGAATATTACAAAACGACAAAAGAATGCCATTCTGGGAAGTACAAGAGAAGATGCATTTGGACGAGAGTCTTTGTTGTCCACGTAAACGGAAACGTAAACGTCGAAAAACCGGTTCGAATTCGGAGGATGATGACGACATTTTTACACCTGACGTTAGTACCGCAGCCGGGGCCTTCGTGAAACGAAAACCGGGCATCAGTACCATTCCTCCAAGGATCAGAGTGATAAATGGCGCTGCGAAACGTACTCAAGTTCATCGGCCAATCATGATAAAATCTAACCTCACTCAAAGCACTTCCCGTACGGGTTATCTTCCTGAAGTGGACCGTACAAGCGAGGTTTCCAGCCCGTGCAACACTACAGCATCCACAGCTGGTTCCCGAGTGCAATCTCAAGTTGATACCGGTACTAATACTGGTAAACAAGACTCCATCGTCGTTCCGCCCATGGTGCCTTACAGAAGTACCATGACCATAAACGCAGTACCTACTGCAAATTTACTCCAATCGGTACCGAAAGTACCGATCTTTAATTCTACGTTTGAAATGCCAGCGCTCTCAAGTACTAGTGATCAGTCGTCTGTAGGATTTCATTCATCCTTGCCTACGATGTCGGCCTCTACTTTGACTTCAGTTTCCTCGTCATCGTCGCAGCGTCGGTCGCAACCTCAACAGTCTAATCAACAGGTTCAACTATATTCACCACGTTTCGTGAGACCACCGCGTTTTGCGCAACCGCCACGCCACTCACAACCACATTTTCAGTATCACTCACAAAGACATCCGAATCCTTTGCAACGTCCGTCACTACCACCAAGACTGGTACCCACATCATCACGAGGAAGGTTGACTTACCGTGGTGGTAAAATGCCTATGGTTTCAATACCCAATCGCAGTGATGGAAGTCAAAAACGTGCACGCTTCCTTTTACCAAAACCGCAAACTCTCCCAAATGTTACAGATACCTGTACGAATGTTATAGAAATCGACAGCGATTCAGATGATGTGGATAATAAACTCAAAAGTAGTTCAATGTTTGGACGAAGTTATTCCAAACGTCGGAATGGTCCTGATGATTTTGAAAATGATGGAACAGAGAATCGGCCTGAAAATCCTATACGACTTCATGGTCGTCAAATAAATAAAATTTTCTATAACTTAAAGGCCAGATTGAGCATATTACTCAGTGAAGATAACACGGAAAAAACTATACACACAACGACAAGACGCTTTCACAAAGCTATTCGCAAAACTATATCGAAATTGGTAGAGGTAAATTCTGACGTAATTCGCGAATACAATGCATACTGTAAGTCTACGGCTAACGAAGAGAATCAGGACAAAGGGAATATGAATATTGTCAAGTCAAAGAAGGTACAACTTCCATTGGAAATGAAATGCGTCAGGGATTCTGCATCGGAGTCAGAAGATTCTAGTGATAGCGATGACACACAGCAGGACTTTGAAAATTTGAATAAACTTATCGACAATCCTACAACAATCGCTTTTGATTCGACTGAAAAGGTAGATCAGTCAACAATGTGCAGTCCTGTTCCGACTGCTGATAAATCGATACAAGTGTACGACGTAATTGCTCGCGATTATGAAAAGTGTATAGGACATTCGGTATTGAAAAAAACCGAAAACTCTGATAATAATGAGGAAAACGAAGTATCAGATAATAGAATTGAATCCACTGCCACAACTAGTGGTGACAATTCCGAAAAGTATGCTGAAGAATATATTTCCTTCCTTCAGCATATCGAAGATCATGGAATTCAAACGGAGGATACAAAAGGTCTATTGAGTCCTGATGAGATTCCGTTACAGGATATGATAAAGAGTTTCCCGGGAGATTCTTCGACATCCTTTGAATATGGAAACGACGGCTCCGAAATGGCGATCGATGGTCTTGGGTCTACATACAGATTGAGAAGATCAACCAGATCGGTAGTAGAGAAATCGTATAAGGCCCGTGCTGATTCTCGAAATAGATCGAATAAAAAACGAAAGGGTAACCAAGAGCGACCCCGGATAAAAGAAGAAGAGTCTGGTAAAAAAGACAGTCAAGTTAAGAAGGAAGTCCTTGATAAAGAAGACATGGAACTCGCGTTGAGAATGCAGTCCAGGAAATTGAGTACATGCGACGCGAGTGAGAAGCCCGCTGGAAGTGAAGATGAGTGCACGATCATTGAATGATTGTAGAGAAAAGTCATGGAAAATTTGTAGAACAAATCGTCATACGATTTTATTGAAGAAATCAAAGAAACGAGTGGAACAAGGAGTAACAGAAAATAAATGGCGAATAAGAAAAAGAAAAAATTATGTCAGTGACGTCGATTATTCGTTAATGCGGCAAAGACGCTTTATAGTATAACGATTTGACTGCGTTCAGTGTCATGATAATTTTCACTTTTTTACGGCGTCCCAGCACGTCGGAGTCTCATCAGTTAAAAAGAGAATATTGATTACCACGAGTGTCTCTTGCGACTTAGGAGCCGCTGTTTATGTAACACGACGAATTGTTATCAATTATGGTTAATTGGCCGAACTATGTCGCATCCTTTTTGTTATTGTCATGTATGTACATTGTCTACCCTAATGCTATTGATGGTGCGGTCTTTTTTTTGGGTACCCACTATACTATAATAAACAGCAAAATGATTCAGGCATCCGAAGAATTGTAATGAATTTGCAAATGGCGTTCATGCAATAAATGCAGTTATATAATTGCAAAATACACTCTGCGTGTTACAGTATAAATATTAGACTGGTCATTGAACCTTTAGTTACTTGATCACAGTACAATACAGAAAACATTGTTTTTCTCAAAGTTTTTGTTATTTTTTACAAATACTTATTCATAGTTCTGTGTTGTCACATTCATTCCACTTTATTTGTTTATTTGAATCGTTTTTTTTATCACATTTACTCTGGCAGCCAATTAATTTGATTCAGTTAATGAAGCAATGAACAAAAAGTGTTACTAACAAATTGGTAGTATACATGGGGTTATTATTGTATACATTTATTGATCGAATCCGTAAAAAAAGGAGTACGGTAAAAGTTTACATTTATTTTTCCTTTTATATTGACTTTGTTTTTCCTACCCGGCTATTAGATTTCAGGATTAAAGGGAAACAATAGTGTCGAGTGACGATGAATTTACGAAATGTTTTTTTTTTCTTTGACTTATTTATCACTACGCCGACAGTAATACGCAAAGGGACGCGGATGGCTATTTGATCGCTTATATTATAATTATATATCTGGCAGGACTTACGATGTACATACTTTGAAAATCATGTAAATTATATGAATAATCATTATAAAGATCCCATTGGCGTGACTCATTATAATTCCTCTCGGCTCTCCCGTGTGAAATGATTGCACATTCCTGCAAACTGGAGTGCACATTCCTACAATGTAATTTACCGCGAAAAAGAGCATTAAAAAAGTTATAATCGTTCTTGAAAGCTTTCTTAATGCTTCAGAATATTTGTGAAAATATCGAGAAAGTTCTATCGAGACTCTTTGCTTTTAATTTGTACTAAGAAATTTTTTGCAGAGGCTGCTCTAAACAATGGATATTTTAAAGACTAAAATTGTATCTTTATTTACCATTTTACGTCTACCTATGCAGTACATAACATTTACAGACAAATCAGTTTAGTTATTTCTGTGCGAAATCTTACTAGCCAATATCGTTAGCGTCATCATCATCATCGGTGCATGCTCTAGAGAGTAATTGGTAAAAATAATTAAAAAAAAAGGAGGCAAGGCTTATCACGATTTAAATAAAACGTTAACAAACGCATAATTTATTGCGTAACGTTAGAAATGCAATTCGATGCGAACAAAACTTTCTTTCTGGACTGGTTATACGTATATTCACTTATAATTTACGCAACCAGTATAAATAAATAAAGAAAAACGTCTAGTGACGTATCAAGCATATATCGCATACGTACGATATCATATGTGACACGTTCACAAGAATAAGACAAACGTTCGCAACAGCCTATTTATACATAAGCTTAAGAGTATATTAAATAAGTGAAGGAGGACGTTGAATAAGGCCACATAAAATGACTATTATACATCATTCGTCAAGCCCAATTGGTCGTAAAATGACGTCTCGACGACAGGCGTCGTTAGTAGACTGAGAATTTACGACTTATGATAAACGGTAAACGATTAATGGCGAATCGTTATTTCTTAATGAAGCGACTTCAAGTCGCAGCACCTTAGGACACTTGGAAACGCAAAGATATTCTTCCTTGAAATTTAGTATCTGAACTGTCCCTTTTTTCCTCGTCCATTGTGATAGACCCTTAATGGCGTGTAGTTACCATTGCCGTTCATTGCTGAAACATATTTAAAAAACAGGTGATCTTAGTAAATCGATATAATTTAGGGAAAGGATAAGATATGACTTACACTGCTCGTATTCTTTAATGGCAGCTTGGTGATTAAAAGGGATATTAGGATATGTATGTGAATTACAAATTCAAAATGCGTATATGATTAAATTGAAGCAAAGAACTAACCCTGAACTATAGTTGGCGGCTGTCGTGGTCCATGAGTTGTCTGTGCGTGACAGCGAGGTTTCAATAACCCATGATATAAAATGAAGTAAGCCACTGCCACTATGGCAGCTGCCACTGCCATACAGCGATAGACAAATCTTAGGTCATTTATTTCGGATCGGTTAAAGTCGTTGCCATTATTAACGTATGCTCCGATGACAGCACCGATGCAACGACCTATTAAACATTATCATACTTGATTGATCCCATCGATTTATATAATAGTTTGATGACAGAGGTTTATATGAAAATTTTACCTATGCAAAAGTGTGCTATGACCGGCAACGCCTGCGCGGTGACTGTCAGATGCCGTGGCACCAGGTGTCGCATATATAAAATGGCCGTTACCCACATAATAGCGAGGGTAAAGAGTTCAACAGCCTCGGATATTATCGACCACCAGGTATCCGAGACGAGACTCAATCCTGTGAATCTTAGAATGTAAATTGTGAACGCTGTGATTAGGAGATTACTGTGTCCACAGTAATCTACTAGGTTCTCTGACTTCCAGAGGAACAGTACCGCTGGTAATGCTCCTATTGTCAATGCTATTGCTATCGCCAGATCGTCTCCTTTAAGGCTGGCTAGATGACTGTCAGAAAAAAAAGATTGTTCAGAGTTGATTATCATGTGTCAAAATGATGTTAAGCGTCTTTGTAGCTCACAGAGGAAGATAGCTGTCCATGGAACTCCAAAATATTCCCATTACCAGTAGTACCAGCAAAAGTGCTGCAGTTTCACTGCCATATCGTTTGACGGCACTCATTGGTAGCGCTAGCATGCCACTTCTGGTATGCCACCACCATTCAGGTGGACTCAGGGGCATTCCATTCGCCGTGATGGCGATCAGGGCGGCGAGAAGCATTAAAACGGCAAATAAAGCAACTGGCAAGAAGTAGGCAGGACTTGGTGGCATCAGGGTTGATAAATATCCAGCTAGTGGAGCAAAAGCAGCGAATCCTAAAGAGCCGAATGCTAGTTGTCTGCCGACGTCGCCACGTCCACAGGATGTTTCTCTAGTGGCGATCACGATGGCTCCATCGAGTAGAGCCACAGCAGTAGTGGGAAATATGTCAGCGATAGAACGAACCACTACGTAGATCCAAAACGTCATATTCGGATCTCCAATGATCTTGTTACATTGATTTTCAGCAACGACGCTACCTAAAAATTTTAAAAACTATTCTAACTCGCTCTTGAGGATGACATAATTTTTGAAATAGTTTCTATAATTCCTTACTAACCCGCCAATGCGTAACTGTCACTGGGATCGCACTTGATGGAACAGGTCTTATTCAAAAGTGCCATCCTCGTCTGAACATTTTCTGGGATCCTGCATTCAAAGAAGTCGGATACTGGATAGCTACACCACTTGTCTTGGAGAGGATCATCGGACTCCATGGGCTGTTTCAAGGTCACGTTCACAGTAAAACTTTGGGAGTAACGCGCGGAGACGTGACACATAATTCCACCAGTTTCCAGATCATTGAAGCATACATGTGGCGGTATTCCGTCCTTGATTACGAGATCAGCGTAGTCTTGGTTCTCAGTTGATCTTTTGTTCTTTCCCTTCTTGTCCTTTAGTAAGGATATGCGGATACCACAGTTAGGACATTTACCAGATACTTGATTAAAATCCATAGTGTAACGATAAGAACAGTCCTCACCTGGGAGTCTGCCTCCAGCTGATCAACGATGTCGGCATCCTCTTGATAAGTGTAAGTAACATCTTCTACCTCCACAGGTATAACCACTGTCTCATCTCCACTGCTCTCGATGCCGTCAATTCTCTCCGACATCGTGTCCCACTTTAAGAAATCAGTGTTCCTTGTTGCATTTTCGGTACAGACGTAGGAACAGTTCTTAAGAATGAGGGGACTGGCGCGCTCCTGCCAAGGAATGCAGGTCAACGAATCCTGACATCTCTCTTGATAGAAGATTGCACCGTCGTTGTCGCATATGAAGCTAACAGACGGTTTGCTACCATTCTGAGGATTCACTCTGATTACCGGAGGCACCAGAAGTAGACAGGAGTACAGAATAGCGGACAGTAGACAGGTTATCGCTATCATAACTCGTAGGTAACGGCCCGTCGAGGCTCTGCTGTTGGTGCCTTGACGTCCTGCCAATTTATCTGCCAATGGCGCCATTATTAATGGTCCCAAAATGGCCACGACTGGTGAGACTATTGATACTATTCGTAGTTCTTCCAGTGTCAAACCAACTGCTCTCATATGCAGTGGTAAAAAGGGGAAGAGACAGCCCATTCCTGAAGAAGATCAGTGAGTAATGATTCGATCTTTTTGAAAATTGGACTTTGTCTGTTTGACTTACCTCCAAAAAAAACAAAAAGTAAAAACTTCAAGGACAGCAAATTTGGATTTATTAGTTTGCCGCGCACTGCGCTCTTGGACGCTCTTGCAGGCGCCATTGTAGATGCTGTGGTAGTTGCTGTCATTTTTATGGTTCCTATACAATTTCAGGACATCCATTCAATTCGGACAATAAATCCCACTCATTGTACTCTTAATTTCATTTTTCCAGCAGTCCAAGGAAAAGTCTGAAACAAAATATGAATTTATAAATTATCATAACTACATTATCAATCAAAATTTGAGCACATAGACGTCATCAACAAGGAGGTGAAAATTATCAAGTTATCTGATCAAGTGTCACGTGTGTGTTTAATGCTTCGCCACGTCCCGGAAGTCACTTCGACAGATAATCCTGCAAGATACGGATGCGAAGGTAGAAGCCTATTGTTTGAAACGGAAGTGAAGGCAACGTATCAACAAGCTCAAATGGAAATACAACTACAATTCGTTCCTGGAAAGGATGGCTAATAATAGGCTATATCATTAAACGAATTCTATATAATGTCACCGAAATTTACAGTTAAAAGAAATCATTTGGATTTCCCAGAATATTTTTAACTGTGTATCACGTGTCAACTATTAGAGCGCAGGGAGAGACGTACGCACGATGTGCAATAAATGGAACCAGTGTGAATTCACGCTCGAGGGCGTCAGTCGCCCCGTGCCAGCGAGCACGAGCGTGACCAGTACTAGGTGAACGCATTATTCACTGTCCTTTCTCGAGATAGTATTGTCTCCTTCTTTCTCTCTTTGGCCGAATCAATTTCTCTATCCAATTTACATAAGCCACGCAATCCATTCCATTTTTATATCACACGTACCGTCGCGTTGATCGCGATGGGTGCCAAGGCAAACTCCAAGAACTCCGTGCTACTATGCAAGATTAGTTCATCCCGTGGACATTGGATCGGTCAAGTTAGTCTCCATTCTTACTTCCACTTTTTGCCTCATTACGTCGCTGACGTGATTCCCAGCGGCGGATCAGTGACGCAATCCAACATATTTGCCGGTCTAGATCACCAACTTGATTCCTCGTTTAGCCTGCATGGCAAAATTCTATATTCCCAGCCTTCTTTGGGAATCACCTAGCGACTAGCATGGGATCTGAAGTAGAATTGTACTCGGGTAGCACTTTCAATAATGACTATGACGTATGCTACTATAACGAACCATGCTACTGGTGGGTCAGATCTGAAGCGTCTCCATAGCTTAATCCGTAGTTACTCAGCGGACGTCCACTAATCTGTTTAATCATCTGCAGGATCATCCATGTTACTTAACAATTTAGGTCTTAACGACCACGATGAAATGCTCCGTTGAAGCCAGTGCTGATTCTCCAGGAGCTTATTCGAGGTCGTGCCTACGTTGCTGTTCGACGCTGAACTAACTGGGTTAACGACGGTCAGGTCACCTGGAAGCCTTCAATGCATTCCCAGTTACATTGCACCCTACCGCCTACACTTGCTCTGGGTCGATCCTGGATTTTCTAGGTAAAAAATTAAAATCCTATTCGAAGACTGCGTCGCGAGTCATTTCCAATGCAGAAAGCAAATATCAAAACTATTAATGTGCCATGTGTTGACATGAACCTGAGTGTACGCCGCTGGGTTACGTCATCGAGAACAGGTTCGGCGATACCGTCATCTGTTTTTTTGAAATTGTCCGTTTTGAAGGCTGCAGGAGTCAACGAAAGTATATATATAACCACGTGTCTGTACTAAAACACACTGCAGTAGACTCCCGTATAAACGGGCGAGTAAATCGTGCTGTACAAATTCAATTCTTAAATCAAGTAATTCCTGTGTTTTATTATTTGGCGCGTTCTACGAAGAATCGCGTTACATGAAAACAGTAGTCGCAATATCTTTGGCGCGTTATACGGGAGTCTACTTTATTACATTAGTAGAATAAGTTAGAGATAGTAGATAGTATTTTTTTTTTCACCGCGCCTATATTGCAAATAAACATTTTCACTGAAGGCGGGAGCGTCGCGACGGTTTACACGCGAGTCCTAATTATTCGACCCGTTTCCTTCCTACTTTTCTTGATGCGTGTTCGACCTACATACGGACGCACGCACTTACTCACGCAACTATGTATTGTTACCTATTCTTAACACACTACGAATTAGTTTTATTATATCCCAAAGGTCGACACTGCGTCGAATTCTATTCACTTATTAGTCAAAATAATTTTACATTTCCTGCAGACAACAATGTCTGACTGTACCAACTACTTTCACGAAAACTATAGGCAATGTTGACTGCGTCAACAATATAGTGTATGAGAACCTGGTGAATTTAATTCAACCGTGGTTCCTATGGCGCCCGTATACACTGAGTCAGATTAACGATATTTTTATATTTATCGTATTCCAACCTGAAATATGATGGTAGACATAAATGTTTGTATTGAAAAAAAACAACACTTTATCACAGATTTGTGTAATGTGTGTAATTTACAAATAAAACAAGCGTTGAAAAATCAAGTTTTTTTTTAAAATCGACATATATATATTTAATTCTTTAGTTTTCATTAGAACGAAGATGATATAGTACATTTATTCCATGCCCGCATCAATTTCATAGTTAGCGATGTCGCATGGTGTAATTTTCATCTCGTTCGTTCATTCATTCACGACTTTACCATCCCTACCACTCGCTGCTCTCATTCGTGTCGTCGTATTAAGAGGCGAGTTGATTTAATCTCGACGTGGAGATATTTCGAGAGAAGCGAACAAAACGCACCAACTGCGTACACAAGACAGCTGCAAAGATTCGCCATCGAGTAACCGGTTTACACGTATGTATATTCAATCAGAATTCTTGTTTCTTCCTGGGGCCGTCACTTCCTCGTGTAGGTACGACAACTCCGTGTTTACGTTCCTTGTACTCGCTAACGGGATCGTTACCGGCCGATATAAAAACGTGCCTAGATAGTATCGTACTGTACTCAGGCGCAGGGCATACTGAGAGTCATGGCCGCCCGAAGAGAAAGAACCAGGAAGAATGTGAAAAGGAATAAATAAGGACAAAAAGAGAGTGAAAAAAATGGAAGGTATTGCCTCATCGCATAGAATACGCACCGACGTCGGTCGACGTCGTCTTTGTTAGGTTATTACGTTCTCTCCCGCATCCCTTTGATCGTTTTTAATTCCATTTATAAGAGTTCATGCGAATTTGGGACGTCACTGTTTCGGTATCTAGTTGGAACCGACTGGTTTTCTGTGTTGGATCGATTGGCAATTTTGCAAAGGTCAAGGGGTAACGCAGGGTACAAGGAGAGTTACTAATGATTCAGGATCCTATGTGTTTACTATCTTGAATCGATGAACGTCGTGACGCTTTGTTTCATCCACGTATTAATACCCAACTAGGTAACTGTAGCAATACTTTTTAGTGGTATCAGGAGGTTGTTGATCTCGCATTGCGTTCTCTTCTATGCTGAGGATCGCAATCCGTTATCAAGAGCCACGTCGGGGATTTACGCATATACATATACCTATATATGCACGTATGCTTGCGGAACACAATAAGGAAAATGTCAGACATTTTTATTGAGCTCGGGCAATGTCAAATGTCAGTTTCGTTCTTTTAAGGATATCTGCTAGTCCTCGAACTATATTGATATTGCACGACACATCTTTTTGCCCTTAAATAAAATATTTCAGAAAAATATACCCTTACTCACAGTGCCAATTCAATCTTGTAATGAATGTAATCCAGTAACCGATCATTGACAGGTAAGAATCCAAGTAATCCAGTGTACAAGAGAACTCACGATGTGTTCACTTGGGAATACAACGAAACTAAAGGTAACCGATCCACGAATTGTATTCAAGTGCAACGCTATGAGCGGACGTAGCGGAGCGAGTCAAAGCAGCTCTGAGAGTCTCTGAGCGACTGTTGCGCGTTCACAATGCTCAGGATCGTGGAGTCAGTTGAAACCGCCGAGACACGCCGCTCTGCACAACCGCCGGCGCTTCTCACCGTGTGTCTCACCATCAATGTATCTCCTTCGGTAAGTAGCTATACCTATATACAATACACTGTATATTATATGTATACTATAACGTGCTGCAGGCTCTATGCGTTCTATACGATATGGCTTACATGTTACGTTAGGTTATAAGGCGCTCACGTGCTGACTAGCATCGCAGTGCAGTAGGTATAGAAACTAGATAATGTGCCTCAGGCTATAGCAAACGACTCTTCTATGGTTTACCAAGAAGGCACGTATTGCGTGTGTGTGTATTGTGTGAAACGGACCGATGTTTCCTGGCTGGGTTTATTAGTTTTCGTCAGTTTGCTTATAGACGCCATTTGTTCTGTATACAGATACAGTTTCGTTTCTGGACGTTATTAGTTTGGTCAGGAAGTTGTCTCTAGGTATAGGTTTATTAATTGGTATGTGGTGGGTCGTTTAGGATCGATCGCTGACTGGAGATGCGTCTCAAGAGAAGAAACTTTAGGGTTGCCAGTAGAAAGGATGGTGGCTGGTGGGTATGGTTTGAAGAGTGCATATATATGTATATAGATGTAGTACATATGCGAGAGAGCTGTATTATAGGGGTAAAATTTATTAGTATTGCGTATCAGAGAATCTAAATCGTCAATATACTGATTAAAATTATCGAATTCATTACTTTTCAGTGATTGTGATTACAATTTGCGGATTGACCGTGTAAGAAATTGTCTTTCTTTTTCCACTTGTCCCTCAGGTTCAAAGCTATGTCAATACTGTCACCTGTCAAAGTAAAATCGAACTTGATACGAGTTAGTAGGAAAAAGATTTGCTTTGCTTAAGTGATTAAAGGCTCATTACCTTGGGGTTCATCTAGATAGATTTTCCTTGAAAATGTGAATGGCTGCTCCACTGTATCGAATATTCTTTTATTGACTTCCGTGGCGTTAAACTTCTTGCCACTTGACAGCGAGTCCTCTAAAGCTTTTAGAAATACGGCCCATCGCGGCTTGAAATAATCGGCCACCACTCCCGACCATTGTTTATTTGCGTAATCACGTATTTCACCATTAGGACCCCATAGGGTTATTTGATTTCTTGCATTGTACTCGTATAATTCTTCTTCTGCTTTGTTAGTGGCGACAGACTTGGCGTCGCGAAGCCAGACGCCGAGTAGGAAGTCCTTGCTTGACGCTAGAATCTTTTCCAGATCGTCAAACAGTTCCAGCATCAAGGATGCCTGCTTTCTATATTTGGTAATGTTACGGTATTACTTCATTGACAAGAAAAATATATTGTTCGTCTATTCTTTTAGAAGATACCTGAGTGCCGTGATGTTTTTCTTATTGAAGGAGTTCAGCACGTTTGTGTAGATGATGTCGGCGGTTAGTTGAAGAACTTGCCGTGTAAGGTCCACAACATCATGGCGGTACAGGGTACTATTTCGTCGGCCATATCTACCCTCAAGGAATACTTGCCAGGTGGAGAGTATCTGATCCCGGTCGTACCATGACTGAACAAGTATGACAGCTGTCAAATTTGATTGATGCCTTTGAAGCCATATGGCTTTGTATATGAAATATATCTTTTAACCACCTACCCAAGGTATTATTTTTAAACTGGGGTGTCTCGTAATGACGTATTGACCTCTTACTCTTTGAAGTCCTGAGAAATTGTAAATTGTCCTGCCCAAAGTTTTCCAAGCTTTCACGGTGTACTCGTTCCAGGATCCATATCTTCTTCTGGAATAATCCTCAAACCTGGACACAGCATTCCCACGTTGGTAGGAGCAGCATTTAACATCGTATATGCTAAGTTTTACTTACCATGTATCAAGGTTAACTGAATTACGTCGATATGCCATTTCATTCATTAATTCATACATGACGTAATTCTGATTGATACCTTCAGGAGTAATGCCTGTGCCGATCATAGTGCCATTTTGAAGTTGTCTACCCTCGAATACCCGCTGCATTACCGTGAGAATAAAATGATTAATATCTTTATACAAACTGATAAGAATTTGATTTACCTTATTTATGATCGCTGCTGAACCAAACATTCCCAGGGTTCCGCCAAAATTGTGAAGCATGCACCATATAAATGGTTGACCATAATATGACTTTAGTCTTGTGTATTGTGGAAATTGTTCTGACTGAAGATCCAGGATAATCATTTTGCCCTTAAAGATGAATTTGCATACAATAGATGCCAATCAGAATAAATAGGATAGTTTCTAAACTATTTTGACATGATCCTTACTATTGGTACTGAAGTTATAAATGCTTCTACTCTGGACTCTGTCCAGAAGATGATGTCATGAACAAATAACCAGCCTTGCAAGAGCCTGAAAGTCAGTACGGGTCAACGAGTTAAATATATTGAATGGAAACTTTTGATATCAAAAGTTTAGACTCTATATAGATATAATATATCGCAAACCAAATAGCACCAGGATCCACAGTTGTCATAGCATCATAAATGGAACGACTGATATTTCTCAAGGACGCCAAATTAGTGGTAGGCGGCTCATTTTCATTGAACGTGTCGCAGCTGTAGACGTGATCAGTGCCAAATTCATTTATATACTGAAAATATAAATAACAAAATGGAAGTATTTTGAAAATTATCTTCGAATCAATAAAAAATCATATAATGATTTTCACCTCTTTTAAAAAGTCAGAGCCAAGCTTCTTGAAGAGGGGATCTACAGGATTTAGTAAGTTAGGGCTGAAAAAAAATTATAGTAATAATGAATAATGTATGTCATTTCATTCCATATGAAATATTTCATTGGATATAATCACACTCCTACCAGCAATATTGATCATTAAAATGATTCCAGCACTGTGTCTCAGTGACATTTGCAGCAGGAAAGAGTCTTGTCAATGCTCGTGGTACATGACCAGCAAATGCAGGCAATACAGGAATAATTCCTAGTTCTCTCATTCGTCCCAAAATCTGATGTTGAAGTATCACAGTGTGCTTGTGCCACGATGATGACAGTGGGCCACCCCAGCCACGAATATTACCCATCCTAGCCCTGAAAATGGTAAGAACAAAGTTATTAGAGAATTCCACAAAAATAATTGAATTTAAAAAATAATTACTACTCACCAAGGCAGAAAGGCAACACCACCAAAATGTTCATCAATTTCCTCCTGTGTCATATTTAGACCTAGATAAATCTTCTGCCAAATCGCTTCCTGTCCATGAAATGCCAATGCCAAGTTGATACCGTTCAAAGCCATCCAATCTATATGCTTCTCCCATTGCTCCCATTTCCACCACACAGTACTGTATCCAGCCACTACCACATTTTGATAATATCTAAACCTATAAAACAATGACGTTCATTCCAGTGGCCTTTCATTATCTTGTTTTGGTTGTGATTGTACAGTCATTACCCACCTGTCGTTCGACGTGACTGTCAGCTCCACTTCCGGTAGCTTATTAGGAAGTTCCAATTGCATTCCTTCCCAGGCGATGTGGACGTTGCAATAATGCTTCAAATAATAATGAAGACCCCATGCAGCAGCCACACCACTTGTCGCCAGAATCTCAACATTATCTTCGACACTCTTGGATATCTAAGAAAAATCAACAACATCCTAAATACCAAGATCTCATTCGATAACCCCATTCATATGATTACCTTAAATCGATCTCGTCCTGAGATACCGAAATCAGGATCAACAGAAATAGAAAATAGCGAAGCTCCGATCGTTCCTAAAAGTCTTTGAGCGACTTTACGAGCAGCTTCAGCCTGGACTTTTGCTGAAGCTTGTGGCTTCACGTGACCCAGTGTATGCTGAAAGTCTACAAGCACTTCATCAACGTATATTACAATGTTTTATTAGTTACTTACGGTCGGACGAAGCTTCTGAGATGTTGATAAAACAAATATATACGGCCAAAAGTAACAGGCAAAATTGTACGTTCCACGACACTATGAATTTGGTCATTATTTATATTGTTTACATCAAAGAGAATTAAATGATCGTTTCTGTTCAAGAGGAGAGACTAGAGATATCTAGACACTACGTGCTTCTCATTTGCTCCACGCAATTGATGCATCCTCTCTCCGGTTGACCAGAGGCAAAACAGCAAATGATAGCCGCCACACTGCTCTGACATTCATAATGATGCTATAGGACATAGTTCTAGTGTATGATAATGTATGTGGAGATAATTTCAATACCAAGTAGGAGAGAGTGGGACGCAGGAAAGGAAGAGAGATAATAAGACTCCAAACACTAACAAGAGACCTGAATAAACAGTAAGGAATTTTATTTACATTTAAGTACAGTATCTATATTATTTTAGTAACTGTACACTGCTTTGACTAACGCGTAGCAAGTCATTAAGAGCTGCCACTGATATTGTTGACCATTATAAGAATCCTGAGCTCTATTATTTTTCAGCGGATGTGTCCTGGACTGCCTTTTCAGATTGAATGTGGACGTAAACATCGTCGCCAACCTGGACACTTCCTGTCTTGTAGAGGCCACAGTTTATCCCCATGGTTGGTGCTTTACCGTCTACTGCTATACGTGCCGAATCCTTCTGACTTCGAAATCTAAAAAAATGTCTACTTATTAATAGGTAAAGAGAGTATAAGAAGAAACAGAATGCAAGGATATCATGTGCGATCATGCCAATAAGACTATATCGGTATCTTACGATCTTAATGTCTTGAGGGGTTCATCTTTGTCCATAATACCCGTGGAAGGGTCTATACGTATCATGGTACATCTGAAATGATTGCATTTTGTTTCTCTGGGTTAGACCTTGAGTTCCAATCCGAATAAAACTGTTCATGGAGTTGCAATACCTTGGACAGGGTTTGACGTTTCTGATAACGACTTGGGAACCGATTTTGATCCATTCCCAGTTGTCTTCGGCGAATGCCTCTGGACCCTCGACCACTATGTTTGGACGAAACTGTAGAGCAGGTACAGGTCTGTCCAGTTTTTTATTGAGAACATTCACCGAGGACTCAGTCATGAGCATGTAACTAGCCAGGTCTGAGAAGAGGCCCTGTAATTGTGAATGTATTTCAAATTTGGATCATAATGCGAATACGATGATTATTTTATTGTTGGTACTTATAGCCTTGGCTGATACGTATAACGAGTGTAATACGGTTTACATATGTTGAGTACCGTGTCTTCGTTCCTAAGGGTGTTGTAGACCTCGGCGAAGCGTTTCCAGGGTCCTTCAAGGATGCGCCTAGTGCCTGGACACGCGTACCCGATCCGGAGGCCAGAATTTGTCCCGATTAAGAATCTACCCAACCGAGATCGTTAGTCGGTTGCTGTCCTGAAGTTGATCGTCGTGTCTGACGATCAGGTTGACAAGATGAGATGTCAAGTTGATGAAGTGGAGCACCTCGATATCCATTTGGAAGCTTCGTTCCCGCAATCGATGCACTTCAGAGGTTCTCCCCACCACATTTTGCATTCGACTGTTGATGAAGTGTTCCCATTAACGGGCTGACCTTCCTTCGGGATGCTGAAGATCAGTGCTGGCATCCCGACGGCTTCCAGTTTCACATGAGAATCATCAACAGCGCTCAGAGTCACCAGGACCAGGGTAGGAAAATTTCTGCCAGTGCGAAATTGTCCTGTCTCCTCGTTATATACCAGGAACATTCTGTTTCGTGAAGTGGAATATAGTTGATGTTTCATTTAGTTGTATAATTATTTTCACTTAAATATTTATCAATCCAGACAACGCATAAATCCTGAAGTCATCGTTGACATGACTAAAAGAGGTCTTATGCGTCGAAGTTGTCCTTTAGCCATCTTAACGATGACTTTAGCATTCTTGTGTCGCGTGGGAAGTGTTTATACCTACCTGTCTCTAAGGACGACATTTCCTGGAGTATCCGTAACACTGATTCCATATTCAGTGAAGTGGCACTGCTTCACGTCCTTGCCGCGTCCTGACTTTAACGGATAATAAAAAATCTCTTTGATCTTCCCAACCTTCAGCCATTTTGGATCTGGCAATTCGTCTATAGCTTGCTCCTCGTCAGTCAACGCCATGTCCATTTCCGTTTCAACATTTTTAATATATCCGTCCTTCTTGACCTCTTCAAACTCATTCACCGCTTCAACATTCTTCTTCGAACCTACATCCGATACTTGTGATTTGTTCTTCTGCACAGAATTCGAGTTACTTTTATCGGTTTTACAATGTCCGTTATCCTCCCTATTTCTAGCTGAAAGCTCAGGCTTCTGTTTACTGGCAGAATTTTCCGACTGTCTCGAATTTTTCTTACTAATCCAAACAGCCACACCGAGCGCAACGGCCACGCCACACGTTAAAACAAATACGATTTTATTAGACTGCAGAGATTCCATAATTACCAATCACGACGAATTAATCAACTTCAAGTCACTAGAGCTCCTCTGCCCTGCAGAAAATTCTGGTTTAGCTCAGTGCGTCTCTCTGTGCGATCTGCCACTTACGCCCACTTAACAACTTCTACTTCATTTGACACCTTCCTTACGTAAGAGACCAAAAGGAACTTTCCCACCAGAACCACAATCCGCGACTACCTTACAGTATTAAATGAGTTTCTCGCTCACCGAATATTTCCTTTCGATAACCTAGTCCGATTAGATCCGTAAGCCTGGAGCGTGCTTGATAATACCTTATCAGTCAACAATTCACAGTATGTCACTATCACTTAGTAGTATTCATTTACAGACGTTCACTGCCAGTGTCACTGCTGATAATTATTACGAAATCGAGGAAGATGCCGCCAGCGAGACTAAGGTCTCCAACAAGTAACTGGTATTCGTTGAACAGATCGATGCTTCCTTTTTCTTTCTTTATTTGCCCTCTATTCTTTTGCTCCGAGTGAAGTCAGTACTTTAGGCAACGTCGCGACGACTGCCAACAAAATATCAACACGTCATAATGAACCTGGGCCTTGGAACGTCGCGAGATGCCATGAAGTTGGTAGCTACGAGGTCACGACGTCGAGGTTTGCCGCTGTTCTGGATTATCTGTCTTATGTAATACAAAACGTATAGCCAAGGTGTCGTTGATGTGGATGAGGTCAAAAGTCGGGGCAATTGGAGGTGGGAGACCGTACAAGCTGTAGCAATACCCTCGGAATCATTTTACATGCCGTCGGGACGGTCTTTCGAGGCACAACGATTGGCTCTGCCCGCGACCAGTTATCTGACCTAGTATCAGTGCACTGGGCTTACGTAATCAGAAGTTACCTCGGCGTTACTACAACAGACTGTATAATGCTACTTTATCCCTAATTGAACTCTAGCGTAATCAACTTTGTACCACTTTCGAGTATCTTGTACTATTTTGTATTATCAATAAATCTTGACTAATGGCGCAATTTATTTTCAACTCAGTATAAACGAATTGCGTAAGTAATATATGTATAGTTGCTATATTTATCATCATTTTTTCCTTAATGGAGTACAATTCACATTATAGGATTCCGATATATGCTATTACTTGTCTGTTACACACCCTGCACATGATATCAATGACAATACCTGTTTCTGAGATATCGTGGTCATGAGTATATTCTTATTCACGTCATTTCCAGATGGCTATTATTTATCCAAAATCTCTGTACTGGCCATTATCGATACTGGTAACTCGACTGTGTCTACCCGTCAGAAGCAGCGTGCGTTGTTTTTTTGTTGATTAACTGTAATTGGCATTCTGTATTCTAAATTATGTACGTCGCCCGTTCATAATTTTTTAATGAACCTAATCAATTCGATGCTTCCATTATATTCAAAGAGACTCAACCCTTGTGACAGCTGTCATCTTGGGAGATTGTCATTGTCGTCATCAGCTGATTAAAACTTAAGCTATAGTTTAGTCTAAGAGATCAATATAATGGGTGGGTTTTCATAAAGTTACGGTAATATATACCAAGATAGAAAAACATATAAGTAATTTGGTGCAATGCATGCATACTTCGTGAGAAAGATTCTTACTTGCTGGAGAGTTCATTGTTCTCGATCTGCCAAAGAAACACATCGAACTCGTAGGACGATTATACTATGAAGCTAAGTATAGATTAAGTACTTTTTTTTTCTAAATTTATAGTATTGAACTGTCACTGATGGTCTCTGACATGAAAATTTATTACAAAATTATACATATATTGTTCACCATGGATAATCTTCTAAACAGCAAAAGATATTTGTTGATGTTGAAAAAATATACTGATGGTGATACGATACAATCACAATAATAATAACAACAACAATGGTATCAGCCATAGGTACGTAAGGTAGAATAAAGATCGGAGACCTTTGGGTTAATAGAATTTCAATTTATTAAGTTTTCCTAGCCATCAATGTCTTGATTCTCATTTACAAAGGTATTACATCTTAATGATAATTATAATTATAATCATAACCGTAATCATAATCATAATCATAATTTATAATGGCAATCAATAGTAATCGTAATATAATAATAATCATCTCGCAAAATGAATCCGTCATAAGTCTGTCCGTATGCCAACCGTCACGTAGTTATAGTAAAGTCCTGGTCCGATCAATTCTTACTTGGGTGTCGTCATAGTCTTCGTAATCGTCATTAGCGTCATAGTCATCGTCGCGCGCCTTATGCAAATACGCGAGTCGCGGCAATAAAGATGCGTGTCCCGCTCGACACGCATTTAACATAAATAATTCAATGGGGTAGGTATGGGTGGTTAGGAGGGAGGGTGGTGGGCCAGGGATGGGGATAAGGGTATGGATGGGACTTGTATGGTTCCTGACTAGAAATTAATCATCTTATTTATTAAGGGTAATTGTAGGCTATCGAATAAATGTACACTTAATAGACAGAGACACTCGTCGTAGAAGACGAAGCATGGAGAAGGCCGCGCACGCGCGTTCGCAAAGTCCAACGAATGAATCGTCAACAAGTCGTTATAAATACAAGGTCAGGTTAAGGATATCACGTGAAATCCCATGACGAGCATTCAATCTGAATATCAAAGGTATTTGACTCATAATAGATCTTGCCGATTGTCTGTGTAGATTTGAAAATGTCGTTTGAGCAATTCAAATTTCGCGGGACTCCGCGTCCGCGTTCACGGAACGTCGGCCATACGAGCATAGGTAGAGAACAACACTCGCCGTGGCGACATCGATTCTTATTCGGATATCGCGAATATTCGCAATTTGCTTCTTTAATATTCTTTTTATCTTTTCATCGTATAGTGTGCGTCGTTTCTCTTTCTCCTTTTACCTTTGTTTCTTCTCTCTCTCTCTCTCTCTCTCTCTCTCTCTCTCTCTCTCTCTCTCTCTCACACACACTCTTTTCTACATTCTTTCACCCTGAACGTAGCTATCAATAGTCGCCGACGGTTTCGCCACGTTATTAAAGACACGTTTACGCGCGCCTCGGCCAGGATTTGCGCAATACGAAACGCCCTCGAACCGACACTCTTCCCGATGCCGTCCTTACGATTTTGCACGAGTTACTATGCAGTAAGAGAAATTCATGTGAACGCTCCTTAAACTCTTTGACTGCCCCTTACGTGGCTACTACGACCACAGCGCCGCACGGTGTGCTGCAGCGGAAGTGAAAGTGTTAACGTACTAAACTCGTGCATGCAGTTTGGCTCGTGTCATGTGACGAGATCAGTTTTAAATAATCAACATGATACGTAACTCATGCAACGGCGTCAGGATTATGATTCTTACCAGACACAACGAGGTATGCGTTAATGAATGTTGGTCTTCGTACTGATGCCAATTAAATTGTGCCAAAAACGCCTACTACCTCTCTATCGACGTTGCTACCCTTTTTCTTTCTTCTACTTTTCTCTCCCTCTTACTTTCCCTTATAACTGCCTCGCAACGTATCTTTATCTAGTTGTGTAATTAGTAACCACTGCGTGCAATTAGTAATTTCCGATATTTCGTAGGCGCCCCGACGCGAATACCCATCGCCGTTGTCCTATCAACTAAACCTACCGCTCCGTCATTATTATCATTATCATTCTCACATCATCCCTGACATAGTCGTAGTTTACGTATTTCTCTCTCTTTCATCTATAACTCTCTTTCCTTATCTAATGAGTAGCGCGAGCATGCGCTCTCCTACATGTTCATTTATTTATTCGATCTTCATCTGCACCAGCACGGCAAATCGATGCACACTGATAAGATATCGAGCGGTTGATGATATTTTTTGTGACTACATTACGTCACACACCGTGTACAGTTGCAACTGCAACGAGAGCGTCGGTGGCGTCGGAGGCGGTGATGGCGGTGGCGGCGACTGGCGATACTTGTTATCACCTTCGTTTTTCATTACTATCAACCCCGATGTGCAAAGGTTTTGTAATCTTCACCAATGACAATTGTTATCAAACTTCGTTTTCCTCGATATAATCAACAGCGGCAGCGGCAGCAATAACAGCAGCAGCAGCGGCGCCGACGGCGGCAGCAACAGCAACGGCAACAGGATTAGTATCGCGACGCTCGCGCTCACTTAATACGTAACCGTCTACGGATTCTCCTTCATTAATTAATTTATTAATTCTTTATACTTGTAAACGTTAATCTTTATCGAGCGCCCTGACGGCGCCCGACGGCGCGCATGCGCACACCCCGGTTTTTATGTACCTGGTGCTTAGCCTACTTACATATATAGCTATACGTTCACGACTATATACATTAGAGCAACGGCATTCGTCAGCACTCATCCGACATTTGACCCGAGTAGCTCATCCATAAATTTTCCTTTCTTTTTCATTTTACGTCATTATTCTTACCCTCAAGTTCTCTTCCTCTCTTGCCTGTCCGATCAAAAATTATCCCTTTCCTATTATCGGAGCGACGTCTGCCGAACGGCTCGTTAAGGAACTACACTTTTTTTGTTTTATTTTGTCACATATACATAAAGTACATGTACGTACAAGTAAGGTGAGTCTCTAAGAGTGATAAGAGCAATCGCGGATTCAAAGAACTCCGTGACTTCCGGTTATCAATAAGCGTCCCCGTTTCCGATATATTTTTCTTTTTTTTTTTTTTTTTTTTACTAAAGTCCCTATGGCGCCAGGATGATCATCGGCTGGTTATATATATATTTTTTAATTCACCTCATAGCTATAATATTAGGAAACTTTGCTATTTACAGATATACAGGACGCTTCGGTTTCCTGGTTTCCCGAAAGTCTAGAGTCAAATCTTTATGCGAGTTGGAGTAACGACAGTATAGATAAAAGCGCAGTCTCGATTAGAATCTAATGTATTAAGGTATACGCTAAATCTTAGTTAAGCTCAAGTATAGGCATTCCTTGAATAGTCCGTCGTCGCGTCCGTTTGAATCTCCCGCCAGTATCGTCTGCGAATCCACGATTGCCACGTGCACTCTTATCGCAATCCTTTTCACCTATAGAGAATCGAATCGAGCGGCTGCCGTTCGCGCCGTTATGTCCCTGTGTTTATTTCGTATTTGTTTTTTTAATTATTTTTTTTTCAATTTTTTTTTTCTCTAAATTCATAAACCTCCTCACTCAAATTGTTTTTAGATTCCCAATTCGTATACTATCTCCCTGTCGTACCTCGTAATTATCTCCTTGGAATGTCCCGTCTTCTCCTGCCGGAAATGAATTTTTCGGTGTATCTTAGCGAGTGACTAGTGTGTGAGTCTACGAGTGTGTAAGTATACGTGTAATCTGTGCGTGGTTAAAGGTAATTAGATTTTCCCCATCAATGTCCTCCATCCTTGTCCTCGACACTGTTCTACTCTATTACTACTGATAATTTTAACGGCAGTAACGTTATAGTATTTATAATAGAGTAGCAATGTTAGTATAGAGTGGAATAGCACGGAGTAATTAGTAGTAGCAGTAGTAATAGTAACAGTATCAGTAGCAGTAGTAGCAGTACTCGTATGTTATAGGTCGTAGTACAGAGTAGTATTTAGTGTAGTTTCATTAATGGTAACAGTATGCAGTACTCGTAACAGTAATAAGAAGCACTAATGGTATTACAGTGTTTCGTAGTGCCTTGTAATGTATCTTTAAGGTTGGGTATAAGGTACGTTACGGCAGCCGTCCGACTAATTCCCCTAGAAGTTTCACCGATGAAATTCAAATTTTTCACACTTTCTTTTTTTAACAAGCACGCAGATAAAGACGTATACACATGCACTCCGTATGTCACTTGATTTCGCAAACATTAATTCATTCATTCGCTTCTTATATCCATTCCTGATACCCGCTCTCGACAAAACGTTGTCCGTCGCGTCTCAAAACGAAAACGTCTTACGATTACGTCGATTACAAATTAAGCGATTTACCATTTAAATTATTGCACATTGAACAAACGATTACCAATAATTCTCTGGTGCGTATTGCGAGTTGCGTATGGCCATTAGCCTGGAGATTCATTAAATTCTAATTACTCGTTTTTTTTTTCCTTCGCGTACAGTTCTATTCAAGTTAATTTTTCTTGTGTACCATTTTTGGGTTTACGTGTTTCCCAATATTTTCATACCTGTATCTGTCCATGCGTGGTATTTGTAAGAGTGTATATTGTTTATGTTCGTGTGTGTGCGACGTGGCGCGTATACCTCTCGTTACTGGCTAATTAATTAAGGAAGAGGAAGGTAGTCGTAGTTGGACGTGTTGGGCCGGACGACAGGAACAATTGGAGCGAAGGGATTTGGCGATTGACTAGCTGACGAAGAGCTGATTGATTCGTAGCAATGAAATTTTGAAAATGATAGGATAGTACGGTCGCGTATTGAATTTTCTTCCCTCGCTAACGGAAAGCCTCGCTCCTCTGGCCGCGATTCTTTCTTGTCTGTTTCTATACGGAAAACCGGAAAACGACGTCGCTACGTACGAACGACGGATCTCGCAAGATTTCGGGTGATTGCGAAGGCAATGTCGAAACGCTTGGAAAACGAAACTTCCAACCAGGTATGATTTATGCGTGAGCGCCGTTAACGCACAAAACGCATAAAAGGGAAGGACAGGGCGCAACGTGCCAGGATAACGCGCTAACACTCGGCCGCACACATCGTAGCGGTAGCTGTAATTGTAGCTGTAGTAGTGGTAGTAGTTGCAGTAGTAGTAGTAGTAGTAATAGTAATAGTAATAGTAGTAGTAATAGTGAATAGTAGTAGTATTAGTAGCAGTAGCAGTAGTAGCAGTAGTAGTGTAGTAGTAGTAGCATCAGCAGTAGTAGAGTAGCGGAGTAGTAGCAGTAGTGGTAGTAGTAACAGCGGTAGTAGTAATAGTATATGAACCTTGAATTCGCATAGGAGTAGGTTAGGAGTGCCGGAGAGAGTAGAGAGACACAGTGTCTCTTTCAGTCTCTCCCGCGGTCGTGGAATGCCTTGCCGTGTGTTTCTAGCTTCGAGTCTCAGGGTAGTAGGGTTCAGGTGGCGCCACTCGCGACGCCGACACCTCCAGGAAGCTGCCGCTGCTTGAGCTGCTGCCTGAGCTGCCTCGGCTGTCTCGCCTGCCGTGGCTGCCTCGGCTGCTCCTGTTTGCCGACATGTGCGAGTATCTTATCCGTTTCCGGCAGGGAGGACTCCGCTGCGATTGGAAAGCGGCCTGGAGTACCGCCGTAACCGACCATATTGCTACCGCCACCGCCACTTCCGCCGCCGCGACGCACCAATGTCTTCGTGACGCTACGACGTACCTCGTTAACTTTACCAGCCTTGCCAGATTCACTGCCTTCGGCACTGCGAGCATCGACAGGGACACCTTGATCACTAGCATCATCACTGCCATCACTAGCAACACCATCACCACCATTGACGCCACGAGAATGACTGCCAGGGTTGACAGTGCTAGCAGCCCCAGCAGGAGCAGCCCGGACGCTACGATCGATCGCAGGAGGGCCTGACGACATCGACGTCGAGGTGGACTGCCGCTGCCACTGACGGTATGGAGACTCGACGCCGATCCCGACGCCGAAGGTTTTTCCATCGCTCTGGGATCGAGCTGCAAGATCAGAAGAGTCCTTGGCTTCCTTTGGGCTGCCGTTGGCGAACGACGTTCTGGAAGCTGAGCGACTTCTGCTTGTCGGCATCGCGTGGCTGACCGCTGATACTGCTGTTTCCGGTGAAGGACCATTCGCGTTCGAAGATCCCGGAGATTTCGATAGGCCCAGCACAGCAGAGCTACCAGTATGGCCTGCCTTCCACTTCCGCCCTCGCTCGTTGCCCAGATCGCCAGCGCAGCCGTAATCGTAGCTACAGCATAGCTGCCCGTCCTACGAAAAGTCCCATTAATGAAGTCACTCTCAGGATTCTTTACTATCTTAATACCATCACGCATTCTAACTACCCGATGTCTACCCTTTGTCTCTACCTAATGCAAAATCAATTCACCGTGTTCACCCGAATCCACCCTGAGTATTCATTCAATCTAGTCAATCAGATACAATCTTTCTTTCATTATGTTAGGACTTTCTTGTCCGGCAAGTACCCCTTGACATTCCCACCCTTGTGTGCATTCTGTGTTCCTTTGCCATTTCACCCATTAGTGGTATCCTTGGGCAAGGGACAAGATACGCTTTTCTAGATCCTACTGTATTTCTCGTTTCTCCTTACCGTCGTGGAAAATTCATTGTTTTCTCCTTAATCCCGCTTAAATGCTTAGCATATTGGTTGTATTCAAGTGAAACGTCGCCGAGTCCAAAAGTGCCCATCGCTCTCGTAAGCTCTGTTATTATTCAATACTAATATGCAATCATGTAATGTAAAAACGAATCCAATGAACTTCCAGGATAGTTATGAAAAGTGTCACGGTGGGATTCCGCGATAATAGTGGATATCACATCCGGCAGCGAGTTTACGTGTCTACATCGGGAGGATATTACGAAATAATGCTAGGACAACGAATGAAATGACAATTCGACCGAACGGAAGATAATTCAATATAGTCCAATGAATATCCACCCTTCAGAATCGCCAACTACAACTGCCCAAAGGATAGTGTAATCCCGGTGCGTCTATAATATTGCATGTGCTGATCCAGAGTACAGTGCATAAGACAAGAAGAGCGAAGATAAGAGAAGAAAGAAAAGAGAAAAGAAGAGAGCAAAGAAGAGACTAAGCATGCGACGCATGATGGATCGTGCCCATCGATAGTTCCAAATTAACCAAATGCGAACAGTTCGTTAAAATAAACATACAAAGAACATTCGAAAGACGTCCGCAGGACGTTCGTGGGACGTTGTGCGTCGTGCGGGTAGGTACGCTCGGTGCCGAACAGCCGTGAACAAAGATATTAGTCTCGTGCGATAATTTCAATAAAAGTAACTCCACAAGTGTCTTCTAAACCATTGAGGCTATTTAACGTAAGAAGACAGACAGGTGAATGAGAATGCCCAAGGAACGAAAGCACAGGATTTAGGCATCTTGTCTAAGGGAGCGTTCGTTGATGATTTCTAGCAGGTCGGCCGGAGACACAAGCGTAAGGATAAGAAGCGCAGCCAATCAGGAAGCAAGTTAAATAATTAATACGTCTAAAAAAGCCAATCGAGCGTAAGTAATATAGATTAAGTGGTAGGTATATAGGTGAGGTAGAAGTGATGTGATTACCGATGCACACAACACGCGCTATTGCTCACCAATTCGACGCAGTACGGCACCTGCAAGGATACCCATCGTTAGGCTGTTAGGTTAGGTTAGTCTCACGGCTCTAGGCGTGTTGTAAAGAGCGTCAAAGGCATTTATCCGTTTTTTAGACTTTTAAAAAAATCTTTTTCTTGCATTTCGAATCCTCGACATTCCGTCCTCTCGAATCAAAAATTACTGCTAGCCACTGTGTGTAATCGTACATTTAATTATAGGCTCGGGCGGTATTAGGCTTTCTGTATTGATTATGCAAAGACATTTTTTTTTTTTTTTTGTAAACTTAAAGATGGCAGAATGTCGAGGACCGAGATTGTCGTTCGAACAGAGGAAGGGCGATTAAATTGTATTAGGAGAACGATCCATGCAGGGCCGACCTAAAGCACGTACGCACGTACGCATGTACATACGCAGAGACGCACGCACGCACGTATGCACGTACTCACGCACGATCGGCACGGCTCGTCACGCGTCTCGATCAAAGAAGCTTTCAAAAAGCAAGCCAGCGTTTTATAAAGTGATTAATTCGAAGAGATCGAGCTCGACGATTCATTTCTTTGCTCTGCCGTTTGCCTTTGTTGTACTTCTTTCATTGCTTATGTATACATTTATATATTTCTTTTTTACTTATGTACTATATATATATATGATTGTTTTTGCTAGTCAATTTACGTTCTTATTTTTTGGTTCTTGCTTCGCGCTGCTGCGTTCGGCATGCGGCGGCGCTCTCGAGATTCACTCCATTGCTCTCCTCTACTCTGTTTTCTTATATCTCATTTCTCATTTTCAGGGCAACCTGTCAATAGCAAGCAATCCACTGACTCGGTCGTTTTGGTACTGTAATTTGTTCTTTGGTTCACTGAACACTGAAATTAATACTCTGCGTCCTAGATTGTTTCTCGTCGGATTGGGATCCGCGAACGCCGCCATTCTATCCCGCATACGAAATTTATGGAATTCTAGTCGCCCAATGCGTAAAATACAATAACAGGCGTGTTTCAATTAAAAAGACGCATAGTACGTTGCACAATAGAAACGCAAATGGTTTACCATCCTGTACGTCTTGTTATTGCGTACGAGTGTAGTCATGGTCGCTCAGTTTCCTGACCTTTGAACCTTGACCTTGAACCTAATCTATAGCATATAGCATGAACCTAATCGAAATCGAAGGAGCATCATCACTCGACGCACCGTGCTCCATCTCGCTATGGATAATTAAATGGAGCACGTGGAGCAGATGTCATCTCCGTCTACGCGATTCCTTTTGCAGCTAGCTCACTTACCTTGCACTCGCACGTGGTGCATTTGTCGTGGGGATCCTGCCAGGAGCTTCCACTGTCGTGGAGGATCCCGGCGTAACTACAAGGTCGTGGATGACCGTTACTCATTAAAGACGTTTCATTGATCGAGGAATCCCGTGCGCAAGGATCATCCTCGCAACGTGGACAACAGTCGCCGTCTTCTGTCACTGGGTTAGAGCATGTGACGGGTGGACACTCCATCTGCCAGCAGTCGATCTCGCCGTTCTGTATGTCATGGAACAACATTTAGTTAGGAATATGGACGCAGGGTGCATCGGGTACACACTGTACGTGAGGTGAGTGATCAAAGATCACTAGGAACATACCAGGCACTCGCAGGTTTGACATTGATAGATCCAGCGTTCACCACTTCGGAACACAAGGTGATGCAATTCCTGGTGCTTACAGGAAAACTTGGGATCACACTGTCGACAGCATGTATCCCTTTGACTGCTGGGGATGCTGCAGTCACATATTGGCTCCCGACACGTGATCACACCGTCCTTGCAGGTGCAGCGCCTACAAGGGCTCCCTGCAGGTGCGACAGTCTCGCCATTCTCAACTTCTCTGCCTTCGAACCAGCAGCCTGTATCGAAGGATGCGATCATTTAGTGGACGTTGATAAGTATATATAGGCACTTCGTGTTCCCGCTCGGACCAAGGGATCGTCTACTTACTGAGCTTGCAATCGTGATCGTGACCCGCTGGACAGACGCACTCGTAACCGCCTTCCGTGTTGACGCAGCTCGCGCTTGGATGACACGTGTGCATTCTCTCCAGGTTGCGATCGTTGCACTCGTCGATGTCGAGACACTGGGTGGTGCCCTGGTTGCTGTCGTGGAGTGCGCTACGGTATCCTGGTTTGCACCTGCAGTAATACCAACCGGGCACATTGAAGCAGGTGGAGAACCTGTCGCATCGATGAAGATCACTAGCACATTCGTCTAGGTCGAGCTCGCAACTGGAGCCAATGTAACCTCGTCGACAGGAACACCTTCCTGGGGCTACGCACTCTCCGCCATTTTGGCAGGGCAGACTGCACATCGCTGTAAGTGGAGCACGATGGGTAATTAGAGCCCGATTAATCAAATATAAAGTTCTCTGCAAGACTTCAGGTACTAGGTACTACGTGGGTCCCAACTCCTAATCAGACAGTCTGACTACGTGAAACTTACGTTTACAGATGTGCCCGTCACCCATGTATCCTTCGTTGCACTGACAGTAATAGCTTCCTGGTGTATTGATACATGTGGCATGCTCGGCACAGGTATGACGCCCGGTGGCGCATTCGTCGAGTTCGGCACAATTAAACTTATCGACTCTGTCATAACCTGGCAGACATTCACAGGTATAAGAGCCCACGACGTTGACGCACCGGGTATTAGCGTTACAGTGATGTCCTTCCGAGCCACCTTGTTGCTTACACTCGTCCACGTCTGTAAAAGGGTTAAGCTGATCAGATACAAAGGTCGAGTCGAGGAAGCAAATACTTTATTATGTAATTTAAGTTTTAGCAAAGCTATCCTATAATTAATAATAAGGTTAGCTAAGGATCGAATACCGTGACAGTTATGACCATCGCCCTGGAAACCGATATTGCAGTGGCAGGCGGATTTCGTCTCAAGATTGAGGCAAGATGCGTTTGCGTGACACGTGTGGCCTTTTGCGCAGTAATCCACCCCTGTTAGTAGTTGGTTAGATGCCAGGCACAGAGGAAGGAGAGACAAGAAGACCCATAGGTCAAGTGTTAGTTAATTATCGTAACTTGATTAAGAGAGGCAGTTAATAATATTATTTGGATATAATGGAAAAGCGATTATATGACTGAGACGATACTGGGCGCAGTACAGTCTGTGACGTGTACCTGGACAGAATTTGCAGCACTCCTCGGCGACGCTTATCTGCTCGCTCGGCGGACAGGGAAGAGGAGGACATCTCGTTTTTGTGTCGATTCTTTGACAGGTGAAACTGCCGTCGTTGCAGTCGCACTCGACGCATTGTTTCGGTGAGACCTTCTCCCCGTGATCGGAGATCATCCCGTGAATATAGCACTGCTCTGCAAGGGTTATGTTAAGAGACAAGGAGTATAGACGGGGTGGCTCCTGAAGTAGTCTCTTAAGCGAGACTTCACCCTGGCAAAATTATTAGGGGATGCTTACTGAGACAGATGGGACAGCATTGATTCTCAGGCAAGACGGGGTTCTTGCACGTGACTGGAACGCAGGGCGTCGGTCTGCACTCTATCTCACCGTGGACGCAGGAACATTGCTGGCACCCTTTTTCCCAGGTCGCACCATCATCGTGCACGGTCCCGTTAACCCTGCAGGCCTTTTGGCACTCGCACTCCTCTACCTTGCTTATCCTACCCTCTGCGGCAGCTAGCTGGAAGAAGGATCGCGTTGAGAGAGAATAGAACAGATGAGACGAGGGCGGGTTTAATAAATAAAAAAAGAAAAATAAAAAAATAAAAAAAGAGGAAACTCACCCTCCGCGTAAGCTCGTTCAGGTTCTGCATGAGCTGCTCGACGGTGTTTTGGAGAATGGAGAACTGGCCGCAGGTCGGACAGGAGGAGTCGAGCTGAGGACACTGGGACAAGTATCCGTGGGCACCGGGTATCAGCTTGACATCCTGCAAAGCTCCCTGTGTTGGAGAATCGCGAGGGTCTACTATTAGTCTCTCTCTCTGCCCCCGGAAGTCTTGCAGGCTCTCCCTCCCCGCTGGGGCGCATCCCAAGACAAAGAACAGCGCCGAACGAGAGGACACGAGACCCAGATGTCTAAGTATCCTAGTAGCACTCGTGGATTCTCATTCGGCAGCGACATCGGCTAACCTCAGCTCCCTACCTTGAAGAGGAAGTGCTTGGCGTTTCTTTGACCGACCCAGAGCTGTAGCTGGGGCACAGTGAAGTTCGTATCCGGCGGTCCAGGCCGCAGAAGACGCCTGTAGAGAGGATGGCAGTCAACGAGGAGCTCGACCTGCGAGCCACTGACGCTCAGGGCGACCCTGTGCCAAGCGCCATCTGCCAATCTGAAGGGGAAGGCCTCCACGTGTACGGCGCCGTCTCTTCTCGAGACGTAGTGGAGCCGAAGTTCGTCCTTGCGTCCGCTACTCTGCAGCTCCAAATACCTGCGGACGTCCAGGAAGAGAGCCAGAAGGGGAGACAGAGAGGGATCGGGATATGGATACGGTGGTTACGGTGATGATGGTCGTGGCAGGGAGTGAGAGCCAGAGAGAGAAAGAGAGAGAGAAAAAGCAAGAGAAAGAAAGAGAGAGAAGAGAGAGAAGATAGAGAGAAAGAGATAGAAAGAGAAAAAGAGAAAGAGAGAGAGAGAGAGAGATAAAGACAGAGAAAGATCGAAAAAGAAAGAGAGCAAGAGAGAGAGAGAGAGAGAGAGAGAGAGAGAGAGAGAGAGAGAGAGAGTGAGAGAGTGAGACACATACACACATCTATATAAACGTAATATCCCAGGATTCATGTAAGAGGTCGTGCGATCGACCCTTGGAGAGCTTTCGACTTACCTGTTATTGCCGTGAGAGAAGGCAACGATAGTGCCTGAGTTGGCCTCTTCTTGTCGAAGTGCCGCGGCCACCGTGAACTCCGGAACCCGCCGGAGAAGAGCGGCCGCTCTTTCGAAACCCGCCTCGCTCACCCGGAGCTCCCTCTCGTTGCCTGTCAAATGAAAAACAACAGTACTCTCCTAAGATCATCCTCGTGTGAATTCGTATTGTGGATGTTAAAGGGGGTCGGTAAACATTTTCCAGCCGCCAGCGCGTGCCGCTGTCAGTGCCAATGCCAATCAGGATGGAGAACATCGTAAGAAGGGTGACAGAGTTCTGGCCCCCTGAGTGTCTACTTAGCCTAACAAGCTTCCCGTAGGAGCCATACCCCTATCCCTAGAGACATCCCACAGAGTCCCTCTGATGGTACTTGGAAAAAATATCTAGGCTCGCTGTCCCTCTCATCAAGTAAAATTGAGGTATAACGACGACATAAGAAATTTCAGGCTTCTGATATCGAATTTCAGAAGCACCGACTGTTTCAGAACTGTTGGTACCTATACACGGTGTAACCGGATACCACGATAAACTAGCAGCCGGTGAATTTCCGGAAGGGGTAACACTAAAAAAACCTAATTGAGTATCTATTGCTCCAGACGCCAATGTATAATTTACCGGAACACGTGCGCGTACATTAACGGATGATCTCACTCGTGGCTTATAATTATTCTATATGATCGGTAATGATCGGTCAGCCTGGGGAGACTTTCCCTCCTCGTAACCGGATACAGAAGCATACGCGTGCGCCATCGTCGGCTCGATTCCGACAGTCAAGGGCCTCCCAATGAAATTTAAAACGATTACCTTCTCGAAAATGACGCCTGAGCGTAATGACCTGCGATAACCACATGCGATACCTCCTCATCATTCGCGACCCCTCTCCATTCTTTAGTGCAACCACGCGACCATTCAACTAGCGCCTTTTCGCGCACAATTTCTTATATACTTTTTTTTTTCTTCTTTCTTACTCTCGCATGTATGCATCAGACACGAAACGAGAGGCCACAATATTTCTGGGAAACCTGGCTAACTGGTCTTGCCTCAGGAACACGAATACCCACCTTAAAGTGCAAACACGTGCAATGGCTCCTACGTGCAGTAAAAGTTTTAACTACGTATCTCTATATCAACGTGTTCCTTATAAAAGGGAGAATCACTTAATGGCATCGACAGTTATAAGACCTTTCTGATTTGCTTGTCGGCCATCTTGAGTGCATGGCGAACGAAGAATAATTTATGCAACTGGGGATTTTTCTTCGGGCAACCAAAATGGTGCGTTACACTCACCTTGAAGATAATAGGCAGGCCTTAACCTTACTAGACCCGGAACTGGACTGACTCCTATCCTGGTCGTATTGTGAAGCTGCAGTGCGGCCAAGAGATCTATGCTGCCAGCCGTCTCGAGGCCAACGGCGCCCGTACTGGATCCTCTCGACATGATCATCCCAGTTGGACCAACGGTAGCTGCAGCCGCAACTGCAGTGGCTTCTACCGCTTCTTCCTTCTCGCCGGATGCACCGGACACTGGAAGCCATAAAAAAATGTATCTGTTAGAACGAAGAGTGTTATTTCTTTATTCGAAACTGTAATTGCATTACGATTGGTCCGGAAGTAAAATTAATTTTTTTGACAGATACAAAAGTAATGACGTGTCTAGTATGCAAGTTTTGTTTTTAAGAATGCACGTGGATGGTTTTTCACTGAGATGTATATATATATTTTTTATTTTAGTATGTACTTGTATATAAGTGATATAATGAGAAACCAGGTTCGATTTGTTACGCTTTGCGTTATTTGTGATCTGTCAAAAAAAAAATAGATTTTACTCGTGGACGGACTGTATATAGGTTTGTCTAAGACTATTGCACTGAGTGAAGTTTGATTATTGATTAGATTTTTTTGTGTTACAACCAATTTCTAAAATTTTAAATCATTCTGCATATAATTCTACGTCCCACTAAAACTTTTTTTTGTTCCAAGTTCTTATATAAGTTAAACTTTCTACCAAAATTTACAAGTGTCCCCGTTTTACCGTTCGGCTAGCTTCCTTCTGAGGGAATCGATACTCGCAGTAGACCTAGTGGGACCGAGTAGACCCGTCGTCACAGAAGAGGACGATCGATCGTCCAGAGTAAGGGACTAGGACCGATCGCCTTACGTTATAGTATCCAGTAACTAAGGGTGAGCGAGACGCCGGCGTCGGTCCTGGCGTCGACGATATCGCTATGGACGTCGAGAAAGAAGATAAAAAAAAGTAGCGTAGGAGGATATATCGAGGGCCGGAAGCGAAGCGTAAGAAAACTCATGGAAATTCCAGCCGTAGAATAAGGATTCCGAAGTGAGATATGAGAAGAAGGGAGTCGAAAGATGGTGGCGTCGCGACGCGAAGCCGCCTTGTCTAGACTCACGTGGATAGTAATAAGCTCGACGACTCGCGAAGACAGAACGGGCACCTTGTTGTACCCAGGACGACGTCCCCGTCGGCGTGAACGAGAATAGCAGCAGCAGCGCCAGTGCGATCGTTATCCTTGGCGGTCTCATAACAGAGGAAGCCGCGGTATCGTTGCTGAAGCTGTCACGAAGCGACTAAGGCGATTGCCGCTGCGCGACATCACCAGGACGACAATTTTCGTGCCCGTGTAAGCACTAACTTCACGATTGGCCAAAACGTTTACACTTATTTCGCAGATTCGTTGAAACTCGGGTGCGACCCGTTATACGATCGCCGTGAGAATATCCGCTTGGCGGATTCAAATTCTGCGGAATTGGCAAAAGGTGCTTTCGTGAGTCGCCAGTTCCTCCTCCACCGCCAGCTCTACGACCTTCGTTCACTTTCTTGACAGCTGATCCCTAGTCGCGTGCCACAAACCGTTAACCATGCCATCCTCACATACTCTTAACACCGTGACACCTGGGTCAATGACATCCTCATGGGAAACCCGTATCCAATTCTTCCAGCAGATTCCTCCGGTAGATTAACAAAAGCCCCGGATCCCCTAGACCCGCTTAAGCGTCTATTATCAAATCTGACATTCGCGTTGTCCTAGAAAATCTGACATTCTGAGAACCTTTGCCTAACGAGCACCTTGCGTCCCGTCGTTCAAACAAGGCCTTCGTGCGGACGCTGCGATAAATACCGTCATTACATATTGTCGGTCTGTTAACGTACCTCGGAGGCGTCAATATTTGACAATGTCGAGCCGAGATATACCTTTCGGTAATATTTAAACTGCAAAGAAAAAGAATATATAGGTGGATAGGTATAACAGGGGTAGGTAAGGCAAGCCTCGCGACTCCCTATCGCACGAAAGTTATCGCGCTATGAAAACATTGGATTTTCAAGAATGCCAGTCGACGACGTTCCCTCGGGAACCCTTGTTTGCCCTTCGCCACTTACTATACCAAGGGAAGTAGATGTAAGAACTCGTACCGAGCCAAGTCCTTGGCAGTGGATTTCAAGCCGGTCTCCTTCACCCGCCACGACTTCAGATGACACTTGACGCAATCGACTACGAGATGCGAGTCGTGACTCAAGACTGGCAAGGGCTTTCTCACGCAAGGGGAATCCACTTGTCAAGAATGGCCAAGTACTTCGCACACGTTATTAACCAGGGTCCATGCGTTATATACCATCCATGTACCATACTACTTACACTGTATGTACATGTGGATCATACCTAACTCCCCGTGCTGTGCTCTACGTGCACACAGCACTCAATGAACAGCTTTGACAGACCCCGACGCGGCATCGAGCTCAATTAACTTATAGACTGTGCTCGATGCAGCCAATATGAACTTTCCCTTAAACGATTCTAGCGCCGCCCTTTTCCACGGGCGTAAACCCAGAACGTCAAGCGATGCCGACGCTTCGGCTGAGTACTCCAGCGTGAAATGGTTTGATCGGACGCGGAGCGTCTCGACGGCTCGGCGCCGTCCTCTCTTCATCCCCCTTTATTACTCCCTCGTTCTCTCAGCCTCCCACAGACACACACACTTCCTTCTATCCTTTAAGAGTGCATCCCTCTTTTGGTTATGTACGTTCACTGACACCGAGGTAATATACAGTACTTCCCTTTTGGTAATAGCACACGTATTGCACCGCGAGACAATAAGGATGGAATTTTATGCCTGCAATTCTTTCAGAATCAAAATTACAAGAAGTGACGAGACTATTCAGCCGTGTGTGAAAAAGACCTTGCTCTTATTTGCTTCTCTCGATTCGCAGCAATGCGCTCGACGGCTGGTGGACCCGATTAACAGTAGCGAGTGAAAAAAAGAAACAAGGAAATTCATGGAATCATCAATTGGTTCACCTCGATAGACCGTGATGAAATTGAAGAAGGAATTGACAGTTTGACTGATACTGTCAGACAGTGGCTGTGATGTCTTTTGGATTTCTTGCTTGTGTATGCTATTTTTATATAATTATCATTGGCTTTGGATTTGACGTTTCTATTAAGCATGCCGGAAACGAATGGCTTTATGACTTTACGAATCCACCTTTCAAAAAAGTATTGTGTCCTCTGTAATCGTCGACCTGAACATTCTTGGCCCATTGTTTTGTCTGCGTAAGGAATGGGATATCATTAAGGTGCGTTTTAAGCGAGCGACACGTTACTCCTGTTGCCTTGTGCTGCACGTGTGGCTCCGTTTGAACTAACTTGAGACTATTCACTGGGTCACGTGACTCTCGCAAGAGACGACGAGACAATGAGAATTCTTCACGTTGAGTTACGCCTCTTTATTATTTATAATCATTGACGTACCAAGGATACGAGTATGGTTCCCCCGTTGTCACCATAGAATTCACTGTATTGATCTTGACGCAGTATTTATTCCGGTTCTAGAATCTTCTGCGGGAGGTTATTCTTTGTCGAGATAGGATAAGTAATGTATCCAGTAGCGTCATCGTCTACAGTCGTATATTACATGAAAGTGCTATAGGATGCGCTGATTAATAATAGAACAAGGTCTGTGTCAAATATATTTTTAAAAAGTCAATTTAATGAGCCTGGATAGAATCGAGTAACACAATTGATATGGTGATATATTGTGGTACGAGTTAAATTTTCATAAATCTTAAGAAATCGATACCAACAAGTAAACAATGACTAATAAATTTGCAAAATCCTAAAGAAATCAATAACGTGCGGCAGACAGCATGAATAACGTTGTTTTACGAAATTGACGTACTGCGGGTGAGATTGACGAAGCTTGCGAAATCCTGCGGAACGTGTGGCGAGCCAGTCGCGTAATTGAAATCGAACAAGATATACCGAATAATTGTGTGCGGTGCGGCGATTCGTATTGCAGATTGAATCAGGGAAGTGGCGAAGGCGTGAAAACCCAAAGTGTGGGAATTTATGTAAGGAATATGAACTTATGTAAAGTTCTAAATGCGCTTTAACAAACCCTCTCGCTCTGCTGACAATCGAATGGCGGTTAGCTGGTGTTGAGTACGATTGTTACGCATGGCTGAACGAATTTCACGCGAATGCGAGTTTTTAACGAGAGGGAACATGCAGCACCTTTGCACTGCGCGGACACGTAATGAAAGGACAATTGCCAAACAACACTGCTCACCTATATAAGTTCACAATGATACCTATTGTCTATCAGTTTACTTCTAGTATCCGAAGGATCGATACTGAGAGGTGAACTAAGTTCGATAGACACTTTCAACCCTCCTGTATTTTACTTTGCTCTATTCTATTCTATATAGTATCCTGCTCGGCTTTGGTCTCTCCTACTTTTTCGCAATGGCCTTCAAGGTAGGTGCTATAGGATCTACGACCTGTGACCTATGACCCACGTCCCAGGTCTCACGCAATCCTATATCCTTTATTACAGAGAATTTATGTTCTTCTCTTTTATCTTGTTGCTGTTTCATATTTGCATTTGGTATTTCTAAGGATTCTCGTGCATTTCAGTTCGTGCCTTTAATAGCCCTCGTGGCTGTGATGGGCCCTACGTGGATCCTGGGCCAGAAGGCCCACTCTTTTCAACACTTTCTAAGTCCCGTAAGTCCCGTGGCCGTCGGCGAGCAGATAATCACTTGGAAGGATAAGCATGGCCATCATCATCATGACTACGTTGCTCATCCTAGTTATGAGTTTGCCTTTGGCGTTAAGGATCTTCATACCAAGGACATCCATGGACAAAAAGAACATCGCGATGGGAAGAATGTTGTTGGGGAGTATTTAGTGCATGAGCCTGGTGGCAATGTGAAAACGGTCAAGTATCAGGTTGATAAGTACGGATTTCACGCTCATGTGCACAATACCAACGGGAATGATCACTCTGGTGGTGGTTATGTTGGACATGGAGGAGGTGGTCATGGTGGACATGGAGGTGGTCTCGGTGGACACGGTGGTGGTCACGTTGGACATGGAGGATACGGTGGAAGTCATGGTGGATACGGAGGAGGCCATGGTGGACACGGAGGAGGTTATGGCGGGCACGGTGGAGGCCATGGTGGACACGGTGATGATCATGGTGGACACGGAGGAGGCCATGGTGGACACGATGGTGGTCATGGTGGACACGGAGGAGGCCATGGTGGACACGGTGATGATCATGGTGGACATGGAGGAGGTCTTGCCGGACACGGTGATGATCATGGTGGACACGGTGGAGGTCATGGTGGACATGGAGGAGGTCATGGTGGACACGGAGGAGGTTATGGCGGGCACGGAGGAGGCCATGGTGGACACGATGGTGGTCATGGTGGATACGGAGGAGGCCATGGTGCACGGAGGAGGCCATGGTGGACACGGTGGAGGTCATGGTGGACACGGTGATGATCATGGTGGGCACGGAGGAGGCCATGGTGGACACGGTGGAGGTCATGGTGGACACGGTGATGATCATGGTGGGCACGGAGGAGGCCATGGTGGACACGGTGGAGGTCATGGTGGACACGGTGATGATCATGGTGGGCACGGAGGAGGCCATGGTGGACACGGTGGAGGTCATGGTGGACACGGTGATGATCATGGTGGGCACGGAGGAGGCCATGGTGGACACGGTGGAGGTCATGGTGGACACGGTGATGATCATGGTGGACACGGAGGAGGTCATGGTGGACACGGTGGAGGTCATGGTGGACACGGTGATGATCATGGTGGGCACGGAGGAGGCCATGGTGGACACGATGGTGGTCATGGTGGACACGGAGGAGGCCATGGTGGACACGATGGTGGTTATGGTGGACACGGAGGAGGTCATGGTGGACACGGAGGAGGTCATGGTGGACATGGAGGAGGTCATGGTGGGCACGGAGGAGGCCATGGTGGACACGGTGGAGGTCATGGTGGACATGGAGGAGGTCATGGTGGACACGGAGGAGGTCATGGTGGACACGGTGACGGTCATGGTGGACACGGAGGAGATCATGGTGGACATGGAGAAGGCCATGGTGGACACGGAGGAGATCATGGTGGACATGGTGGAGGTTATGGAGAGCACGGATTTGACGGCCACGATGGTGACTATGGCTATCATGGTGGATATGATTACGGACATGGAGGATACGGAGGACATGGATTTGGAGAACATGATTTCTACGGTGGACACGGAGAACACGATTTTCACGAAGATCACGAAGTTGATGATCATGACTTTCATAGTGTGCATGATATATACGAAGGATACGGTGGACATGGACATATTCACCATTACTAACAATAAGTTTCTACATAAACAAAATGGTACCAAACCCTATGAACTAAAGTATACTGACTCCATGTGCTTTACGATCGTTACCGTCCCATTTTTTTTATCGTACTCGTTGCCAATATACTTGTTACTATTATATTCCAACCATTATTAAAATTTTCTACAAATCCTCTCATCTGCAAGTATCAAAGTACATTTGCGAGTCACCCTCAAGCTCAACCAGCCACCGGCAGTCAGCGCCACCGCCATTAACAAGGAAGAGTAGATGAGCCTGCAATAATACCCCATAAGGCAGAATATAAAGTGCTGCCGTAATGCGTTACCATCTAATGCGTACCGCCCTGTTCTACGGTCCATTATTCGCTCGCGAATGTCGAATGCAGTAGCACAAAAAGGCGGCCATCTCGTTAGGGCAAACGTAAAGGCGCACTCGGCGGCAAGTATAGAGAGAATATTTTAATGCATGAAAAGGGAGCAGAAACGATTCTTCACTGTCAGCTTCGCGTCCACCACCTTAGCTCGGTTCCTCGCTAGTGGAAAATAGCCCAGTCACTACACCGCAGTATATCGTTCGTCCCCTTTAGCCCGGCCATTTTCCATCCGCCGACTTTCCTTTATTTTCTTTCCAATATCGAGTTACGAGCCTTTTGCCTTTCGCCGTTTGTCACTCGCTGCCAATAAAAAAAAAAAAAAAAAAAAAAAAAAAAAAAAAAGAAAAAGAAAAGAAAAGCCGCTCTCGCCGCTCATCGATTAGAAAATTACGGCTGCGGTCGCTCGTTTCGTGTACTCTATCAACGGCGTCTCGTTAATTATTTAACGAAGGTAGAAAGACTAATTCGCAAGAGAGAAGGTTACTGCCGAATGAGCAGGAGAATCCAAGTCGATAAAAAGGAGCAGCCGGCCACGTGTCGCTCCAGCATTGGTCGGTTGAAACGGTATTGAGGGTGAGCGGAAGTGACGGAACGAAAAAACAAGTGAACTAAAAAGGGTCTATCGGAAGGAAGTGAAGGACTCTCGAGTCCTGTCATGCCGTCGGTAACGAGTTCGACAACGACCTCGAGAACCACGCCGACAATCGAGCCTCTCGGGCCAAACGTCGTTTAAACATGCATAAGCTCGAGTTTTCAGGGAATAATTCAAGTGGCTTCGGGGCTTTCGGGCCAAGGTCTTGTGATTGACTGGAGTACATGCTTTCCGGGCACTTGGTGCTAGCACCTTACGAGCCGACGAGGAAGACGAGCGTCGAGACGCCGCTCGTACGTAAATTCCGTTTCACTTAAAGCGGACAACTTTAGCGCGAGACACGAGGGAACGTTGGCGACGTACACACGACTGTCTTTCCCTTCTCCTTTCCCTTTTCCTCCTCCTCTGACACTCACTCTACATCCGTGCACTCTATATATATGCACCGATGCATCGCGTGCATGGCACTCCTGGTGTGTAAGGCATCCGATTCTGGCTGACCCAGCACGCCAGCCTAACCACTGGCACTTGATAAAGATGCAACATCTGAGACGCGTCGTTTACGTTAGATATCCTAATAATTTCTAAGACTGACAATGGGTACGTCATGCTGTACGGATTTGCAGTGATCGATAGAAGATTTTGGGTATAGAGCTTGTTGAGTCTATGAAAGTGGAAGGTATAAGGATCCCGAAGTGGAATGATCATGCATGAACTAAACGAGTAACAGATCAGCGTATGATTTGATTGTACGTGCAGTGTTTATGAATACGAGTAGCACGTGGATGAAAGGCCCAGGAGAACATAGATACAAGTAACTGGTGAAGGGTGAACGGGAGGAGGCCGCCATGTTGTCTGGCTACCCCGCATTGCGCCAGTGAACTCGGCGAAACCCCGGATGCCCCCCTTCCACACCCCGTATCAGCCGCCCGAACCTACAATCCAGCCAGCCACCCACCGAAACGCCCAACCACCTCAGTAAGCGCCTCTCTTGCTCCTCGACCCGTAAACCCATAACCCATAACCGAGTCGCGACGTATCCTGGTGCTGACTTCTTCTGGAACAGCCTACGAACGACGACCCGGCGGAGCGTCGCGTTGCTGGAATTTTTATTTCGTTCTATCCGGCGTGCCTATTATCTTGCGACCCAATTCGCGTGGCTGCTCCATTCTACTGTCTCACTCTACTCTCTTTCTCTCTCTCGCTCCCTCTCTCGAATTCCCGACGAGCCGTAAGGGCAGCACCCAGCCTAGAAATCCAGGATGCCCAGGATGGAGCCAGATATATGCGAAGGATGTACGTTCGCCGTGTCTCTGATGCTTTAGGGCTAAATCCCAGGATTCCGGGGGATTCCCTTTAAGCCGGGGGAAAATCAATTTGGTCGGAGGGGTGGCGGGGTGACGCTCTCGCCCGAGTATATCCGTGTGCGGGGACGCTACTTGTAACGTCGACGTCGGCAGCGATGCCAGCGAACGAGCCACCGCTAGGACCCGATAGGTCTCACAGTCGTTTCTCTGTCTCGGCATCGTCGCCGTCCTCACCGACGTCGTCCACACGCTCTCCTTATGGCAGCAAAGCCGCCACCGTGAAGACCCGCAAGTTCGACCGCACGAGACGTCGTTGCCCGTACCGGCACTCTTCAGAGTTCGTACGGTTCTCAAAGCTACGACCACCACGCGATTCACGTCGCTCGCTGCGTGGTCATGCATGCATGCTTCCATTGGGTTCAGTACACTGTGCTGCGTATACGTGGGACAACGGGTACGATGAGAGTGCACCCTTCCACCTTGGACTCCCGGTGTGGCAGCAGGTGCAGGGATATCCGCACGACCTACGCGCCAGCACCTGCTCCCGCCTATCTGGTATTCTTCCTGGTGAACCAATCAAGTTGTTTACCACCCTGGGACTCGAGCTGGCAGCAGCGTGTCAGTCGAATAACCAAACGGGATGAAAAGCCGCGCGGCAGACTTACCCTGCAACGTCATCAGAGAAGTAGATTTAACTAGGTCAGAGCTTCCATAGGCTTGTGTATCTATGTACATCGTGGCGCAGAGTAATCTGCCGTTTCTCATCCCTGCGGGGCCTCTGAGATCCAGCCTGAGAAAGAGGACCGTGTCGAAGGTCTGAAGCAGCGCGGCGGGGTCAGAGGTCATTACAGAAGAGTCTTATCAAGGGACGACAGGAAAAAAAAATCTACCTGGAATTCGTAATTTCATTTCTTTCCAGGAGTCGTCGATTACTTGCCATTGCCAGACCTGAAGGACGGAACCGTAATTTCCCGTGGAGAAAAACAAATCAGTTTGACGAGCGGATGGCGAACGGGCGCCGCGACGGAGACGCTCACCTTTTTAAATAAGGGCGATCGAACGAACGTTTCCCCATCAGTTATACGCGAGTCGAATGTATGTAACTAATCAGTAGGAAGGAGGTGAAGGTGGAGTTAGAGGTACAAGATGATGGAATAACATAGGGATCCTTGAGGCTTGACAGGGTCTCAGGCTCCGAGACGCTTAGGTGTAATTTGTCCTTTCTACGAAGTAGAAGCACCGCGGCGCCCTGTCACTGCAGGACGTCTGCCACCAATCACCGGTGCTTTTGCCGACGATGAAGAAAATCTGCCAAGTACCGACTACGAGATGGCGAAGTGAAAAATGGGAAACAACTGACGACAGCTGAGGGCCTCTGGTGTTTATCGTTGTTGCCGATGGGGGAAAAATTACGATGAACCTGGCGCCACGAGGGGAGTCTCAAATACAGTCGTAGGTAAGATCCAAACGCGAACCAGTTATACGTATTTCAAAGTTACGAGCACCTTTGTATACGAGCACGGTTTATACGGACTGACAGATAGAGTCGGAAGATTGAGATAGGGCCAGTAATTCAGTCTAGCAATTTCTCATGAGTCTCTTCTACTTGCAAATAAGTTTCCTTATGAATTATTTACCCAGAGATAAGTCCTGCCGATCGGAGAAGCCCGGTTTTAGATTGAACAAAATTCTTAATACGCTTATATAACCGCTTATATGATCGTAAAAGATGATAAAGATATACAGTCGATTGGTAAAAAGCACCCCTTGAATACCCATTGCATTGTATAGTAAGGTGAATCAAATCCAGAAGGTCTAGGTCTAAAATTTCACGTATCCTCTATATCCACTGTGAGTACGAGAAGGACGAGCTTATAGCAGCTCGCATGAATCAGAGAGAGACAGACGCCGAATAGCCTCCAAAATCACGAAAAATATCATTGACTGTAGTTACCGTGACAAGCATTAATATGAAATTAATTGATGTCATAAAATGTCAACAAGATGTTTTCCTTCTCTCTTTTTTCTTGCTAAAAAATTCTATTTCCGTACGTCCACCAACTTTTCCACTTTTATATAACCAATGCACGTCTCCATCAGTGATGTAAATCTTACTCTCGCGCGTAGCTCTCCTCTTCATTCTCTCTTGGCCAGGAACTCATGTGCAACGAGTACAAAGAAACGACCTCCAGAGAGCGTTCAAGAGAGAGCGAGAGAGAGAGCGAGAGAGAGAGAGAGAGAAAGAGAGAGCGAAGAGAGAGAACACTCGTCTGGCGCGTGTCTGGCGCGATTCGTCCGAAGGAACATTGTCCACCGTACCGAGGGAAGTGCGAGAGCGCGTATAGCAACACGGTAAATCATTTGTGCTTGACACAGGCCGGACACCCCGATGTTGTGGCTACTGGACGATAATTTATGCCCGTGTACGCGAATCCTCGAGCAATTTCTCGCATCATGGAGTCCGGAGAGTCGCGGGATCCCGGGTAAGATTTGGCCCAGGGCCAAACAATCAGGCACAGTTCAGTTCCTCTCGTCCATTGGATTGGACAAAGTACACTTGCCCTGCTTGGGTCTCCATGTAGAAGCGACCTGGTGCATCCTCTAGGTCTAGGCACCCGTTAGACGTGTGCCTACATACACACGGTAGCAGCGTGCCACTTCACCCAGGAATTCGTCCAGGGCCGTCGCGCGTGCGATTCGGCACGAGGAACGCTTCAGCATCGACATGTGGAACACGTCGTGATGAGAATGGATACGTACCCAAAGCCACAGGAATCTCAGACGGTAGTTGGCGGAATAGTTCGGACTGTCTGTACGCTGCCTAACCGTTAGCATCCGGATA